AAAAATGATTTCATCCCGCTAAGAACTGATGTGGTTGGCACATGATCTATCCGATGCAACAGACTTTCACTACGGTGAAAGTTACAGTTAACTAATCAGTTGGAAGTGGACACATCTACTGAAGCCACGACTGCAGTGCCACTTTTTTTCCGTTTTTCACAGGTAGTCCCCGATCTTCAAAGTTTTGGAGTTTTCGAAATTCCTGAACTGTAAGCATCGTAAGCAATGACAAACTAAGTCAAAATAAAGTAACGAAACACAAAAAGGTTGCCCGGCAATTGGCCGGAACGTTTGCCAATGGACTTCTAAGCGCGCGACCGGAACAACCGTAGAACTCCGTCACGTGATCCGCTACCAAAGTGATGCGCCCCCTGATGGGCACTTGCCAAGCTACTCCAGGCTGCAGCTGGGGTGAAAAAAATGGTATAACTTCGGTAAGAATCATACTAATATGATATAATCATACTAACATAATACTTCAGATATTGATACAATTTGAAATAATCATATTAACATGATAATATAATCCCTATAATATCTGATTCAAAAGTCCACAGGTAGGTATGCAGCCTTTCAAGTTGGTACCTAGCCTCATATCAGCTCGCGTCCCTGGCAGGATCGCCTCGCCAAAGTTGAGAGTACTGCGGCCAAGAGGTTGCTTGGATGGATGGGCTGAAGCCTGCTGCTTCACAGGGTATGGGTGGGGCAATGACACATGTGTGTGAAGTAACATGTGTTGCTCCAACTTAGGCTGAAGACACAGATCCAAGATGTTTGAAACAAGCTGCAGACCTTACATGGCCCAGTCACCCACCATCTCTCGGAAGCTACCGCAAACCCTGAGACAATGGGCAAGATTCGTTAGCTGGCCATTTGTGTTCAACTCATGCTTGTCATATCTTGTTATATACCTATTTTGTCAAAGTACTTGTGGTTCTATGCCAAGATGTCTCAAGCAGCTAGTGCTTGTTCACATGTCCTTCCCTGACATACTTCCACCGTTTGCCTCGGCAGGGTGTGTTGTCACAAAGGGCTTCCTCGGAACATGGCACTGGGTCCGGGCATCAAAAAAGCCTAAGAGTCCAAAAAGCGCCAGGAGTCAAAGGCTGAGAATCCCAAGGAATGAATACTTGTTTTTTTGGGGGTATGGTGTGACATACGTGGCTTTTGGTGGCTCTTGGAGCTCATGTGATCCTGTATTTGCCAGGTGATAGACTACCATTGTTGCTAAACTTCTGTGCTTTCAAGGGGCGTAATTTGCCTGGTAAAAGGTGCAATTATGCAAAATCGGGCAATCACCCACTTTCAATTTCGGAATTGATACGGGTCTAGGTGTTCCAGGCACGACACAGGTCACAAACCATGGGCGCACACGGCGCACACAACGCAAACAAATTTGAATGAATTGCGTTGAATTGCTTGACACTGGGACCATGGGTTTTTGTCTTAAGGGTTTCAAGCAGCTTTGCCCTCTTTCATACTATTCTGGCGACTTGTTCATCCCACTCTGGCATGTCATGCAGCTCTTCAGTCGCTGATTAGGTGCTAGTAGCTGGCACCAGCAGTTGTAGCATCGGAATCACAACTTGGAACAAAACTACATAGATATGACTCAGGGATGAATCTTCCAAGGACACTTTCCTTGCTCAAGAAAAGTGCCAGGGGCGTTTTTTCTTTTAAAGGGCTGAAATTGTGTACCCTTAGCTAAGGGGCCAAAATTTGGCACAGATGGAAATTTTGCAGCGTCGAACTATTCCCTACATGTTGCATGGCGACGAGGGCTGTGCAGTACTGATTGTAAGTTTTCAAGGGGTGGATCGAAAAAGGATGCTAACCTGTCCATGGATGAACTGTTGAACTCCAATAAAAAAATGGGTTCCCCTGAAGGTCGAGTTGTGGAGTTTGGGCTGCGCTCCATCAAGTTCTTCAGGTTGTTTTGGGAAACTCTGGCCCCGGTCAGTGGCCCAACAAGTTGTGGGTCATGGGTGGAACATGCTGGAATCTTTGAACAATCGCACTTACATTTTGTGTTTCAACTACTTGAATATGCATCAAGTATTGTGATGTATTGTGTACATGTGCCTGTGCAACTTCTTGGTTGGAATGTAGCACAGCTTGCTTCCATGAAAAAGCGGAGCCTTCGGTATGTCAAACCTAAAATCCATGTGGAGTCGCATATTTTGCACCATGGCTGCAAACAAGTAAAAATCAAAATATTATATAGTCGTGTGCACTTTATAAAGATTTTAAATGCACAATCTGAAATCGAGCTAACTATTAAACTAAGTCAGGATCCTGAGTACCAAGTGCTACAAGTAGCTGGATGTGAGATGATGTTAGTATTGCCTCAACCCGGCACGCCTAGACCTCAAATATGCTGAGGATCATGTGCCTTGCAACGTGGAATGACGAAGATTTCATAGGGCGCATAGCGGCATAGCGAGATGTGCCCGCAAGGTACATGGACCCCCTCGGCTCTGAGAGCCCCAACGTTGGCGAGACCAAGGCGGCCTCGTGTGAAAGATGGAACCGCAAGGCTATGTCTGTGGCAACTGATACGTAAAGTTCTTTTCTGCGCTTGCTGTGGCGCTTCAAAAACTGCAGAGATGCACTTCAAGCGCTCCGTCCCTGAACATTTTAGCAAAAGCTTACGCCCATTAAATCATACAGCAGCGGAAGCGAGGTAGAATTAATGCAAACACTCGACGAATTCCAAAGGTTGTCGTCCAGATTGAGTGACTGCAGTTGCTCAAGGCCTTGGAATGTTCCCGCAGGAATTGTCGTCAACTTGTTGTACCCCAGACTGAGTGTCTGCAGTTGACCAAGTCCTTGGAATGTTCCCGCAGGAATTGTCGTCAACCTGTTGTAGTTCAAATCGAGTGTCTGCAGTTGCTCAAGTCCTTGGAATGTTCCCGCAGGAATTGTCGTCAACTGGTTTTCCCTCAGAACGAGTATCTGCAGTTGACCAAGTCCTTGGAATGTTCCCGCAGGAATTGTCCTCAACCTGTTGTAGTTCAAATCGAGTGTCTGCAGTTGCTCAAGTCCTTGGAATGTTCCCGCAGGAATTGTCGTCAACTGGTTTTCCCTCAGAACGAGTATCTGCAGTTGACCAAGTCCTTGGAATGTTCCCGCAGGAATTGTCCTCAACCTGTTGTAGTTCAAATCGAGTGTCTGCAGTTGCTCAAGTCCTTGGAATGTTCCCGCAGGAATTGTCGTCAACTGGTTTTCCCTCAGAACGAGTATCTGCAGTTGACCAAGTCCTTGGAATGTTCCCGCAGGAATTGTCCTCAACCTGTTGTAGTTCAAATCGAGTGTCTGCAGTTGACCGAGTCCTTGGAATGTTCCCGCAGGAATTGTCGTCAACTGGTTTTCCCTCAGATTGAGTGTCTGCAGTTGCTCAAGTCCTTGGAATGCTCCCGCAGGAATTGTCGTCAACTGGTTGCCCCCCAGATTGAGTTCCTGCAGTTGACCAAGTCCTTGGAATGTTCCCGCAGGAATTGTCATCAACTGATTGCCGCCCAGATAGAGTTCCTGCAGTTGCTCAAGTCCTTGGAATGTTCCCGCAGGAATTGTCGTCAACTGGTTTCGGTACAGAGCGAGTTTCTGCAGTTGGCCAAGTCCTTGGAATGTTCCCGCAGGAATTGTCGTGAACTTGTTGCTGCTCAGATAGAGTGTCTGCAGTTGACCAAGTCCTTGGAATGTTCCCGCAGGAATTGTCGTCAACTTGTTGCCGTACAGATTGAGTGTCTGCAGTTGACCAAGTCCTTGGAATGTTCCCGCAGGAATTGTCGTCAACTTGTTGCTGATCAGATAGAGTGTCTGCAGTTGCTCAAGTCCTTGGAATGTTCCCGCAGGAATTGTCGTCAACTTGTTCCACCCCAAATCGAGTGTCTGCAGTTGACCAAGTCCTTGGAATGTTCCCGCAGGAATTGTCCTCAACCTGTTGTAGTTCAAATCGAGTGTCTGCAGTTGACCGAGTCCTTGGAATGTTCCCGCAGGAATTGTCGTCAACTGGTTGTACCCCAGACTGAGTGTCTGCAGTTGCTCAAGGCCTTGGAATGTTCCCGCAGGAATTGTCGTCAACTGGTTGTACCCCAGACTGAGTGTCTGCAGTTGAACAAGTCCTTGGAATGCTCCCGCAGGAATTGCCATCAACTGGTTGCTGTGCAGATCGAGTGTCTGCAGTTGACCAAGTCCTTGGAATGTTCCCGCAGGAATTGTCGTCAACTTGTTGTACCCCAGACTGAGTGTCTGCAGTTGACCAAGTCCTTGGAATGTTCCCGCAGGAATTGTCGTCAACCTGTTGGACTTCAGATTGAGTGTCTGCAGTTGCTCAAGTCCTTGGAATGTTCCCGCAGGAATTGTCGTCAACTTGTTGCCCCTCAGATTGAGTGTCTGCAGTTGACCAAGTCCTTGGAATGCTCCCGCAGGAATTGTCGTCAGCCAGTTTGACCTCAAGCTGAGCCATCGGAGCTTCTTTAGTCCTGCAAAGGTCGCCGGGTCAATCTTCTGGAGTCGGTTTTGGCCGAAGTCGATCACCTGCAGCTGTTCGTTGTGTCCGAAGATGGCCCCGAGCTCCGTGATGCGATTGCCCTTCACGATGGTGCGCCCCCACCCGTCTTTGTCGAATTTGCCGCCCAAGAGAAGCTGCTCCAACAGCGGCAGGTGTCGGAGCACTGCAGCCGAGAGCTCGGTGAGCCGGTTCGAGCCTTGGTCGATACGACAAAGAAAACCGACATGTTGAGATTTAGCAAACGCCAAAGAAAAGTGTTCATGTTCAGCTGACAAGTGTCTCATCGCTAATAGTTTCAGCTGCTTTAAGCCCCGAAGAGAATCTTCGTGCAGTGTTTCCAGCTTAACGCTTGTCAAGTCCAACTGCTCCAATGATGATAGACCTGAAACATCAAAGTATGGCTGCTATATGAACATCACACATTGTGTCATTGCATGGCAGCCCGAAACCTTCGCAGAACTATGCAGAATTGTTCTTTGAACGCTGCTCAAAGCTTCCTGCCTTCGAAGAGGCCCGGAGGCAGGTGGATCAAGCTGTTGTTCGCCAATGACAGGCGCTGCACATGTCCGAGTTTGCTGAAAGCCTTTGGGTCCACGGCAGTGATGTTCTTCGCAGCGAGGTTCACCTAAAGCTGGTGCGCTGTGCAAGCATATGTAAGAAAAATGCATTATCCATCCATATGGAATTAGATGCACAAAAGAATATAATTTAATGTGATAATTCCCATTCAAACATATTCAAACATTTTAATATTAAAACCTATTATTAATTAAAACATATTTCCATATACAGAAAAAAACTGCCGATGGTCCGCCTGGCCTGCGTCTGTCTGAGGACGACTGCAAGGTTGCAGCTGCTAATCTGTTGGCCAGCCGAGCCAACATTTTTAGCGCAATTGCACGGGAAACACCTAGGAGACACAAGTTGCACAGGTACTTGTAATCCCATTCCACGACCTTTTCCTATAGATCTTTTATGAGAACTTCCGATGGCAAAAAGGTACAAACGGTTCCCTGAGAGCTTAACGTAAAATCTCGTCCATGGGTCATTGGGAAGACTTCCTGCAAAGGCGCTTGAACAAGTGTTGTCAAATCAAAATCACCACTCACAGTCACTCACGCAAATCTTGTGCGGCAATCCTGCGTCACAAGGAGCGTTATCAGCATCGAAAGAAGCCCAATGGAAAGGGAGCACCCAAATAGTCTTGGAAGGCATCGCCACTTTTGGCGCTTGCCCCTGACATGGTGCTTGCTGCTGTCAGTTCACAAGCAATATCACTGACATCATCTGACCTCTTTACATGGCAAGATATGGCATGGCAAGATATGGCATGGCAAGCTGTTTAGTCTTGTTGTCGCCTGGGTCGCACTGGCAAACGCCAATTAGTGTGCTGCAAAATGTGTGCAATGCAGCATGCATGCGCCAAGTTGAAATACACGGCGCAATAGCCCAATAGGTCGGTAGGAAAAGCGAACACGGGGTTGATGCGATTGCCTCAATTCAAACAAGTTGCCGTGAAGATCCCACTCGCATGGCGCAGGTATGCAAAGAAACACTGGAGACACTCAATGTTGGTTGACGCACAACCAACCATTCTGGAGCTTAGTTTCTGAATTGCAACGTCAAGTCCTCGCCAAAATTTCCCCAACCTTCGGAGGCTGTCCGCAATCGCAGCATCGCCACCAAGACCTTGCAGCAATGACGCTTTCCATTGAAAGACATCTGAGAATCAAACCATCAGGATCTAAAGGACGATTCCCGTGAAACTTGTCAAACCAAATCTAAACCAAGATGCCATACCCAGGTAGGTCAAGATGTAGCCAAGGTCATGAGCAGCATCCGTAAATGCTGCTCCAATTCGAGCCCAGGCAGTGTCAGGGAACATAAGAAGAAAGGCGGGATAGAGACTGTTCCAACACAGCAGAGCAAAGAAAGCCCAGAAGCCAACACTAAGCCAAAGAATGGCAGTCGCGTCCTGCTCTTCTTGGGCAAAGGTGACGAGGCCCCCCAACAAGGAGATTTTTCCAAAGGCTTGCACCATGACGGTGAGACCTTGCAAAATCGCCACCTTGACGGGGTAGTAAGCTCCGCGCAACCCAAAATATCGCTCCTCGGGTTGCACAAGTCACTAAAAGTTAAATTGATTTGAACACATGATCATGGGCAATTTTTAACGCCAGAATATGACAGACTGCAATCACCCAGATTGGTTAAATCATGCTGTTGCCCAGGAACGTACAGGATCTTCGTCGGTTGAGGCCTTTTTCTTCTTTGCTTCCGACACACCAACTGCTGCAGGAAAACGGCCACCAAAACGAGGTAGGGCAGTGCCAAAAATATGGCCTCAGCTGGGCCGAGGGGGAATTGGCATCTGATTCAGTCGCACAACTGGAACGTCAACATATGGAACTCTGCAACATTTACCAAATTCCCAGGCCTCCAGGATAGTCTCACCGGACTCCTCTCCTCTGTCCAGCAGCAAGCCATCCAAAACCAAGTCAGGCAATTGGGGCCGGATCCTGCGGGATTTCCGAAACTGCGGCAATTGGCTGTACAGAAGAATTTTCCGAGCTGACAATGACTTAGACATTAGTTCTGAAACGGGACTCTGACACGACTGTCAACACATAGACCAAGTATTGGAGAAGGCATGAGAACAATTGGGAACGGGTCTCCTGTGAGCATAGCGTAGGAAATATTGAAGCGCCATGAACATGGACATGGCCAAAGCCAGAACTTGCAAGAAGATTGTCCCTGCAAGGACCAAAGGTCTGCGAACGTCAGACACGGAATTCTAAAGCCTAGCAGCTCGCAAGGCCAGAGGTTCGCTCAGAATCATGGTTTCAGGCTGAAGGCTCAACCTTGCTGAATGAATATTGAGCAAGGTTGCAGCAAGGTCGATTCCCGGCCTTAACGAAGTCTCCCACTTGGATTTCATGTCATCTAGCAACCCAAACTGCGCAGCCAACTTGGTCACGCTGCTCAGCTCATTGTCCATCCTGTTTGCAGCTCATTGTCCACCCTATTCTATTTTAGAATGTCTTAGAACTTAGTCGATGTAAACAAGGCACATCAAGTCGCAAAGGCACATGGTGCTCTACTGTTCCCATGGTGTTCTACCGGTCCCATGTCAAGTTCTCGGCACCACTTCCCTGCTCCGAAGGAGATCCAACCCGGGCCCCAGATCGCCTCGTGAGGAACGCATCCATGAGAAAAACCGAGGCAAAATAATTCTCCATCTGCAGGATCACCTGCCAACAAATGTGCAATCCTGACCCCAAACAAGTTGTGAGAATCCGTGCGACATTGTATACATTGTATAGATTTACTGATCAGCCAGGGTTTTTCAATGTTTTTCTCCCAGCACGTGCATGGCGCCGTAACTGTGAAGATGCATCCAGTAGTCCAATGAATGGTCCTCTGAAATTACTCATGAAAACTCCATTGCATCGACCCATCGACCCATCGACCCATGGACCAATCCGCCTGGCAGCACTTGTGGCCGCTCATCTCCGCAAAGGTATCCTGAACTGCAGCGATTTGCAGGGAAGCCAGGTCTTCGCTCTGGATTCTGTCCTCAAGTTCCAAAGCGAAGTGCATGTTTGGCTCAATGGCGAAGCCCTCCCCTTCTGCCACTCACGGCAATAGTTACTTTAAATTTTCAGGTTTGAGCCGTGATGGGAAAGTTGACAAACTGTAACTTATATCAGCAAGACACCTCCAAGCCCTTGAATGCCTCCTGCACTCCCAGCATGTCTTCGCACAACAGTTCACATCGCAGGGCATCCAACACTTTCTCTGGGCCTGGCAAAGGAGCTTGAGCCCTTCAAACATCTTCAGACCATGTAGAAGGGCGTACGAGCGCTGCATGCGCCGCATCTATGGTACATTGAAAAATAAGAACTCTAGGTCCACATGCACATGTCTGGTCAAAGCATGATTATGACATGCCAGTTGAGAGATGCATAGCAGAACTCTCAGAGTTTACGCAGTTCTAATTTGGGCAGCTTCCTGCACAAGGTCTCAAACAACACAACTTAAAAGCAGTAGCACGAGCAAGGCCTTTCCAAAAGTTCTACTTGTGTTCCCCCAAACATTCTGTCAACTTTACGGCGAGGACACAACACGTGGTACATGGTGGAGGTGCTTTGCTGCTCTTCGTTGCTCAAATGCGTCAAGAGTTTGATCTTCACAGTTGCATTGGGAAGCACCAACTTCATGGCTCTCCTGGGAAAGAAACATGCCCAGAAGCAGGCTGAGGAAATCGGGGCTGGTTTGCCAAGCAATACACAAAAAATGGGATACACTGGATTACATCAGATACATGGCAATGGCATGGCATGTTTTATTATCCTTCAAGCTGGTTTTCATTTGATGCCTTCGCTGCGCAATCTAGGACCTAAAAAAGTGAAAGAGACATTTTTAGAGAACATAATTCACCATATCTAAAGACATCCAATAAGAGCGAAAGGAAACATAACATGTAGAAAAATCTAAACATATTCCGTCTCCCCCTTCGATGGAAATTCTACAGATTTGCTGGGGGACTTGGCCTGGTGAATTGCTCCAGACTAATTAATTGACCAATTATCCAAGTTTTGGGTGAATATTGTCAACGGTCTTTCTTTCTGGAGCATGGGAGTCTTTAAAGAATTTGTTAGGATGTTAATTTTCGCAATCTCAAATAACGTAGCCATAGCTCAAAGCCGACAAGACGCAGAAAGAGAGGAAGGCGGCTTTGCGCATCACTGTAAATCGTACTCCTGCAAGCCCAAGAAGCCCAAGACAAAGGATTGATTGGGACAAGAATCTTCTCGAAACAGACATAATGGTCCCATGAAAACATCCGATGGCCAACAGATTCCGGGAAACATCGGAAAACCATGCTTTCGTTGGAAATGAAAGTCATCCCAGCATCGATCCGCATGACCATAACCAAGCTACGAATCAACCAAACCCTAAACTCAAAAAATATGAATTCTCCGAGGCACAAGTCCGTGCTTCGTTGATGCAAAACGCTCGAATCTGGGTAGCTGCAGCCCGCCATGGTAGGAACTCGAAGCATGCTGCCAGAATCTGGCAACTGCAGCACCTGTCCATGCACGATATAGACTTCTCTCATGTTGCCATGGTTGCCTACTGTCTTCTCATGTTGTGTCAGATCCATCTTGACTATTTTGAAACTTCTTCTCATACCTGTTCATCTTCTCTCCTGCAATTATTGTTCCTTATAGATCTTGCTCGCACTGATTGCCTCAAAATTCATGCTTCAAACTCACGGGCATTTCCTGGAACAAGACTCACCAGAAGTGGCACAAAGGAAGCAATTAACAGCAAGGACGCGCAAGGAAATTAAAAGACTGCGCACCTGAGAGTAGCTTGCTTCTGTTGCCACTGATTGCTTTAGAATCTGTACTCGCATGTTGTCAAAGCGCACGCTGGTAGTTACCAAGCTGCCTTGGAATTGACACAGAACCTGGTTTGAGGGATTTGAACTTTGGATCAAAATTACGCCCCACTTGAATCCATTTGATGACTTCCATCTAGTATGCCCATACGAACACCAAAGCAGTTGGATCTGAGTGGCAAATCACCGCGACCAAGAGCAATGCGCAAGTGATGGCCCATGGAATTCCCACAGACTCCTCCAATGACAAGCAGAACACCGGATACCTCGGGGCGACAGAAATGAAAAAAAAGTTTCTTGCTAGGCTGAGCTGGGTGTTCCAGTATTATCATGGCCGTTTCCAGCTACAAGCTTGAAAACAATGATTAATCAAACATGTGAAATAAATGTGAAAACAAAAACATTTTAAAAATGCATTTTAAAAATGTGAAACATGCATTTTAACATGTGAAACACATGTGAACAAATGTGGAAAATGTGGAAACATGTGGAAAACAGGAAATTACATGCTCTTAATACTTTTCCTAATTTAAATTTTAAATAGAATTTACATTCATTGTGAACCTATTGGCATGAATCATTGAAAATGAATATATGCTTGTGGAATCCTAATGTTTAACTTTAAATTATTCTATAATTTAACATTTTGGTTTTCAAAGAAAACCTGAAAAGTGGGAAACATGGAGCTAAGAAACAGGAACTTTTCAACTGCCTTTTGTTCCATTTTTCACATGTTTCATATGTTTCACATTTGGTCACATTTTTTCGCATTTTAAAAACACTGTTTTCAATTTTTTCAAACGCATTTTCGAAACGCATTTTTCGCCTTTTTCAAAAAACTGTGAAAAAGTGCGAAAAAGGTGCGTTTTGAAAATGCACTTGGAAAAATGTGAAAAATGCGTTTTGAAAATGCACTTGGAAAAAATGTGAAAAATTGTGGAAAACGGGAAAAAGGACATTTGAAATCCAGTTGGGAAGATGGAACTCTGATTTTTTTCGTCAGGTTTGAGCTTTTTGGGCCCAGTTTTGCTGCAGTTACTTTGCTGCCTGCCCAACTTCTGCAGGTTGAAAATCAGAGAGAATCGATCGGAAGTGGACTGTGCAGATCGCAGATCTGTTTAATTTCTCTATAACAAAACAATGACTACCAGGAGCAAAAACATAACATCTAATGCAAAGGAAAAGAGAACAAAGCTTCAATTTGTTCGATATTTTGCATTTTGGAACCGCATTTTTTCACCTTTTTTAAACAACTTTTTTTCACCTTTTTAATTCAAACTGCTGCAGCCCTTCTGTAGCTCAGTTGGCCATGATAATTCCAGTAATATTCAGTGATCAAAGAAAATCAAATGGCTGGACAGGTATGACACCCGGCAATCAAACGGCAAGTGATGGCTACTAGTAGCTAGGGTTCTCGCCAAAACCAACTTGGGTTCACACTGTCAAATGATTTCAGGGTCGGGGTAAAGCTGAAAGATTCCAACATGGGTTGGGTATAAAGCGGCCGAAGGAGTGACACAACGGTGACATCGGAAATCACCTGAAATCCATTAAAATCCGTTGATTCCAAGTGCAGCTTCAGCACAACGAGAGCAGGATGGCCACCAGCGTGGCGCGATGCTCGATCTCGGCTGCGGCCTGGATCGCGAAGAGCAAGCTGAGCTCGGTCCAGCACCAAGCCTTCGACATGGCAATGAAGGTCTTCTAACACTGCGGTTGTTCAGGTGTGGGCAACCATGAACAACCAACAACCGGCCAAGGAGCTGTCTGCCAAACGCGCCCCAACTTCCAACAATGCCGCCACATGCGGTGCTTGGGGCAAAAGCCACTCAAGTTCGAATGGAAGATGTCGCAGCCGCCGTAGCTACATGGGAACGGTAGAGTCTCACTTCCAAAATTCTCCAACTCGTCCACACTCTTGCCGCCTGCCAACTCCACATCCTGCAACACACCAAGGCCCTGGTATGCCCTGGTTGGATAGGACATGAGCTCTCACATGATAAGATCATTTCCTCATAAACTGTCACTAGCTCCCCATGATTCCCTACGTGCTTTTCTCTTTCGTAACGGCGACTTGAGAATGTTTCGAAACACCGCAATGGGGCAAGACTCTACCCGAGAACGGCCCAAGACCATTTCACTTTTGGCTCCTTGACAGCTGGCCTCTGACATGGCACCCAGGGCCATGATCGCTCAGCCACACCCTGAACTCTGTGGGTTTGGGGTGTCAAAACTTCAGATATGTTTAACTCCTGAAAGTTGAACAAATTATGAGATGCTATGGGATCTGAAACATGTGGTTCCCCTGGGCTGACACAAATTGCAACTCGTCCCTGTGATGGCGCAGCTTGGCTCAGCCTCGATCGTCAATCGCAGTTCCAATCCTCTCTGACGACGTTTCAGACGTTGGACGCAATCATACCTTGAATCCGACATGTCCCAAACAGTGAAAACGCAGGAACTGATGGGATCTGATGAGGATTCCACACGTGACAATATCAATAATTACAATTTTAGGATATCGCAAATATGAATAAAGTTGGGAATGTTGGGAAATCCTTCGCCTTGTGCGCCTCTGTTGCGACCTTTATGCATGGCTCTGCTGAGAAAATCTACAAATCCCATATTTTGAGAACTGCCACAATCACAAGAACCTCAAGCACCAGATCTTTGACACATGTCGGGCGCAAAACCTCTACGCAAAATCTTTCCAAAAGACGTCTCCGGAGTGGTGCAAGATCCCTCCGATCAGTGAGATCCTGTGGGATGATCGTGTGGGATCACCAACATTTCACAAGATCTCTCGGTTCAAGATCTCTGTCCTCATGTGTTACATTGTGTTACGCAAAAACGGTCAGGGGGTCACGAGGTCATGTTTGTGCTGCACCTGCCGTGCAAAATTTGACGTTCACGTCCCACTCCTTGCCACATGGAATAACGCATCTACGATGCGCCAGACCAGGAGAAACCACGATCACTTCAAGTCGACTCAATCAACCCATGCCACGCAAAGCCGCGCAGTTGAACCACATTGACCGCTGCGACCGCACTCTGCATACACTTCCCGCAACCCCCTCACCTCCACCACGCTCTTTGGAGAACTATTTTGTTGAAAAATACCTGAAAAGGATGTAACGAAAGCTTCATCAAAGGTGAGACATGGGACTGACGATGGAAGTCAGCCAGCGAACCAAATGAGGAAAGTAGTATACTAGGGTCCCGTGAGCTAGGCCTAAGGCCCACATAGTGACATACGATTTTGTGCACCAAGTCCTAAGTCACTTGGGCTGTTATTGGACTCAAGCACCTTTTAGGGCTAAAAAAAGAATATTCTCTTAATGTTCTAAGTCATCAGAAAAGAGTATGGACTTGGTGCACAACATGTCTATATATAAGGGCTTTATAAGGAAATCAGCTGTTTGGTAATTGGATCAGATTTCTGGAATCTAAGCTTTTCTTAATGAAAAGTATAAATAAAATTTGAACTAAATTAAATTAAGCTAATTGACTTCTAGTATTGGAGAAAAATTTGGAGTTGCTGAAAAAAGCTTCCACTATTGCCATGTTGGGTCCACTATTGGCCATGCCCTCTGGACAAGGTCTGAACATGACTCCTTTGGCAATACTAAAAGTAAATGGAACTAATTGACTTTTAGTATTGGAGATAAAACTGGAGTTGCGGACAAAAGTTTCTACTATTGACAAGATATCACTATTGGTCAGAAACCATTACTGTAATATTTTTAACAATCTTTTTAATTGCAATAACAATAATTTAAAAAAATGTCTGTATTTTGGATATATAAATCGATTTTTTGGAAATATTTTTTTTGAAGATCGGCTCAAGTCCTAAGTCATCAATTTTTTCAGTTGGCTCGGGGCCTTTGACCCGACAAGGCAGTGCAACGGGGTAATTCAACGGGGATCACAATAGGGAAGCACAACGGGGAAACAAAACGGGAAAAAATACCCCCCTCATTTTCTTTAGGAAAAAAACAGAAGGGGAGGGGTCAGAGAAAAACGGAAAGTGGAAGCAAACAAAATATATACCTCCACCCTCCACCCTCCGAGGAAAAATGGTCGTTCAAAGAAGATAGGTCAAACAACCCAATGATTCACTTCGATCCACGTTTCTGGGAAAATCTCAGCACTACCCCCGCGTACACAAAAACGTGAGGAATTTTGGAACTCTACAAAAATCCGAAAACTACCTGAAACAAGGAGATTTCAGGATTTGCAGTTTTTTGCGGGTTTTTGCGTTTTTTTTGGCGGGTTTTTGCGAGGTTTTGCGGTTTTTTTCCTTAGTCGTCTGAAGCGCTGCAGACATTTTTTGGCCTTTGTCTCACCAAGCCCAAAAACATGCAATCAAAGTCCTAAAATCGAGGACCAAAGTAGTATCTAGGTGTTTTGGGTAAAATCAGTCGATGTAGGTCAAACTCCGAAAGCACCTATATTTTCCTAGGATTTGGAGGGTCGTGGTAAATTTATATTTTATTTATAAGCTCCCCAGGAGGTCATGCCACCGCCGTGTTACCCCTGCGCCAATACCTCAGGCATGAGCCCCTTGGGAGCTCCTGGGAGCCCACAACGGGAGGCACAACGGGAAGCCAACAACGGGAGGGAAGCAACGAGGAAATGAAAAATGTGACGACCCAAGAAATAACTTAAATTGATCAAATGGATAGACCTGGTTCTGATGACTTAGGACTTGTGCCCCTCCGATGACATACGATTTTGTGCACCATGTCCTGTGCATGTATGTAATTCAATGATATTCAATGTAATGTAATGTACTGTAATGTAATGTAATGTACTGTAATTGCATTACATTACGTTACATTACATACATACATACTTGTTGCAGCCCACGAGCATGATGACTTAGGCCCATCTTAATATATTTCTATTAGTTCATTCCTAGGTCATCATGATTTACGAGCGGTCCATGCCGCACTAGATTCTTGAAAAAATCAATACTTTTCAGCAAATCAAAAAAATCAAACATAGTTTCTGTTTTCGGACGGACACCTGATGAGTTGGGGGTCCGGCGCATGATGAGATAGGACTTGTCCACCCCGGGGTATCTTTCACAAGTCCGAGTTCACGGGTACCTAGTATAAATATTTCGAAATTTCTCACCCACAAACTTCTGACCCACCCGATTCTCACCCGCAAAATTCTCACTCCCAAACTTTTCACCTATACAAACTTCTCGCCCACACGCTTCTCACCCACAGACTTCTCACAAACAGACTTCAATTATACTTAAAATCTCTACATGCTCTGTTCTCATCACCAATTCTTTAGCTTCTCAATCCTCTCAAAACGCAGGTATATTGATTCTCATCACTCGTCGTCATCACCCTTTTTATGGCGTCTCATTGGCTTCAAAAGGCACGCTCCACGCCACCTATTTACGCGTTTTTTCTTCCAATTGGCCCTGCCCCCAGACCCTTAAGCTCACTATGTTCCCGATAAAAACCTTCAGCTCTAGCCTACGGCTGGCTTTCATAATTTAGAACATCAAATTTCCATCGGCGGGATCCCGTGGCGACTCTCTTGGGACTCACCGCAATTCGATCCCTTTTCGCATCTCATCATCTCCAACTGCAATCTGAGAGGCAAGGATTGCTTGGCTTCGTCAGTGATGGCCTCGCAAGAGTTCAGCTGCAACACCAATTCTTCCAGTTTCAGCTTCGTGAGAGGCTCCCATGAGCCCAGCTCCACCAAGGACCTCAAAGAATCGCTCAACATCCATGGCTGATGCTGCTTTGAGCATCTCAAACCTCAAATTTTTAAGGTGAAATTCTCCCCGTGACGGCTGAGCTGCGCACGGCAAATTGGAAAACCAGAGCTGCACAGAGCGCAGTGACTGCGACATCGGCTCGGCACCGAGCATCTGCCCCAAGCCCGAAGCGTTCGCCAGGTGGGAGCCCGTGAAGCGCAGGCTGAGTTCCTGCAGTGGAGGCATCTCCATCTCCTCGACCTCTTGGCAAGTCTTGGCGTGGGGCATCTTCTTCAAATTCGAAGAGTATCATATCATCATAAGACAATTGACAATTTATTATATATTGATATTGTGGATACTAAATTTCTATTGATTGAAACATTGTATCTAATGTTTTTCGTATTCAATATCTCAAAGTTGCCAACCTGGTATATACATAGTTTTAGACGACGTCAAAGCACCCTGGCGCACGGCACGGAGCTTGTGCCTCTGGGAAAGCCCAGCATTGGACTCCACTGAAGCCCATATCTAGACGAAGCAGCAGCAGCTGCCTGCCAGAATATCCAGAATTCGGCAATCAAATTTATTTCCATGGCGTCACACCCTGCACCGGTTTTTCAGCCGATCTGCCTGGGAAGGTGCCGCAGCAGCTGGCTCAGCTCCGCATCTGTGAAGCCACGGCAGCCCGTGAAGGACAGCTGCACCACTCTCCGAAAGCTGTCTGCCGCCAGGGCGCTCAGGAGTCGCTCTAAAACCTTGGAGTCGAACGAGTGGCGTTTCGCCACGAAGCCGAACCACGACGCCAGTGCAAAGTGCGCCGCCAACGCCTGGTTCCTCAGCTTCCCACCATGAAACAACGCATTCTTGTTGAAACAGGCACAATTTTCAAACAAAGCAAAGCCAACGAGGCATAAGTTCATCTGCCGAGCGGCACAGCCGTATAATTTGGATCTTCCAATGGTGCAGAGTCAGAGAGTACCTCTACCAGCGGGAAACGTAATTGTCCACGCCATCTACAGTGTTTCTGCAGTTCATGTTTGATTCCATGGAATGGAACTACCCTTCACGTGCTAATTGTTTTTGCTACTAGATGCTACTAGTCAAAAACCCGATCAATTTCATGCCCACGGGACCGCAGCTCAACTAGACCAACTAAACTAAACGGGGCCACATGGCAGCAACGAGAACGTTGAAACCACGTTCAGCAACCAACACTGATAAATTTGACTGGAGATGGTTGACAGTGTATCTAAGGCGGTGTTCTGCCTAATAGGCAAAATATTTTCCACTGAAAGTCTAGAGTCTATAGCCTTGAAGTTGTCGGCGATACCTACCCTGTTTATTTTCAAACCGCGTTTGTTTGAGAAGGAAACTCCTAGGATAACTTCACAAAACATTCACATCACAATATCTCATATTATTTAATATAACATATCGCGCTACTACATGGACCACAAACATCTTGAGAAGATGAACTTTGCACATGGTCTTTGCACACCGCAGCTTTGCACCCGCAGCTCTTGTAGGCTCTCTATTTGGGCAACTTCTGTCCCGCCTTGTGCGGCTACAATTGGTAATTATTGGTAAAACCAAACATTTTTGAAAACAATGTCTTGTTTTCTGTTCTATTGTTTTCCAAATCCGTTTTTGTCAAGTCTTTGGACAACCCATTCTCAGCTGCCGGAGCCTGGCCTTGGTCCTTGCGCGTGGCAACCTGATAGAATTCAGGATGGCTGTCTTGTCTGACGCTAGGCTGGCATCGGCTTGCGCGATGTCAACGTCCAAGCCCTAGCGTTGGCACTTTCACATACAATTCGACCTGCCATGAAGTAACCGGTAAGTCACAGGCTTGCAGTTTTTGGCCATGCAGGTTGCAGCAAACATTTTTTTTGCATCAGATCCAAACAGGAATCTCATGATACTAGTGCAAATAATATGTTTGACAATGCAAAGTTGAATGAAATATGCAGATTCATAGTTGATCTACTTCAGAAGACCGATGCCTACCCCAACTTCACGCGGCCTTCTGCACCAGTGGTGTGGGGAAGGCCGCTTCACGCACAGACTTGGCTAGAAAACCAAGCAGCGGCATCCGGAACGCCTCTGCGGCCGCCAAGCCATCAGTCAGCACGTGCGCCTGGCACACGGTGCTAAAGAAGCCTGCCATCATGCCATCAAACAAAAAAAACTTAGAGCCACCGAAATCCCTGTAATTTGAACCTATTTTTCGGTGGCCTAAGTTTTGATTTTGTTTTTAGCTGACCCTGGAAATCCCGTCTGGCTTTTAATTCTCGCCTGAAGGGAATGTGTGCGTTTTGGATTATATTCACCGTTCGCATTTCTGCTGTCATTCCTGGAAATACGAATCCCTTGCCAACAGGAAAGGAAACCTGGGGTGGAAGGAAGCTCACCGGCAGAAAAACGACATAATAACAATCTGCAACTAAAGTTGACAATTATGCTAAGCAGCGCCGCGTTGACAATTCTACTCTTTACCTGCCTCCTTCTGTATATAAAATGGTGTTTCCCACGCGTCTCACTGGATCCCAGGCTTTGCATTTCACCTGGCTCCCGATTTCTTTCAAGAAAACAGACTCAGGCTCCCGGGAATCCATCTGTAGGTCGTGTTTCCCCTTTTTGGAGGACGCCGAAGACATGAACCACTCTAAAAACGACTTATATGTTTCCTCGTTTGTCGTTTTCCCCTTTTGACCCAAAAACTGGATTTTTGCAAACATGTGCAAACCATCATCTATAAAACACTGGAATTTACGCAGCTTTCGTATTGCAACTGTTACCTTTTTGCCATGTGCCAATACAAAAACGACGTGATCGGCAATGATTTTGCGGTCACCACGTATTCTGCGGCCAAAAACTAGAGTTGAACGGTGTTTAGCTTGGGACAATGCGTTCACTTGCGACCTTTGCTTCTTGGCGTGCAATATTTTCGGTGTTTTTGGTTAGCCATCATCCAAGAACACTGGTATTTACGCAGTTTTCCCAATATGGTGGGATTTACCTTTGCCATACACCAAATACAGAAACACCGTAATTTGTGATGTTTTTGTTTACATTTTTCCGGAATCCATGGCTGCTATGACCAAACCTTCCTTCACTTTTTTGGCCTAATCCCCTTCAGCTGCTCCAGCCTTCCCAAGCCCTCTGTGCAACTCCACCTCCCCTAGATCCCTTTAGTACCCACTTCGTTCGCCTGAATTCTGTCCATTCTTCAGCTGGCTTTCAAACCCGAATCGAATGAAGTGTTGTTGGAACAGTTTCCTGTGAAGCAGCGTATGAGACAGCCTATACCTGCATCCTCGCGCAGAACTTTTTTTAAGCCTGAAGCTGCAGCTGTTCAGCCTAAAATTTCAGGCGTTTTTTCTGCCCGATCAGTTTTGTTGCCTTTTGGGTCTCTGAACATAGTGTACCCAAGGGGCATCATTTTACACAATCATTTTAGAAGACAATTTTCCGGTTGTCCAAACCCCCATCACACCAAATCAGGCCAGCAGCAGGCCAAATCATCCCGATTCCTTTACACCAAAATGCTTTAAAAGAAACATATTTTCTGCTTGGGAATGTTTCATTGTTTTTTTAATTGTCTGCGGTTTTCCCATCCAAACTTGGCAAAAATTGCTCGGATATGGAAATCAGCCCGCAGGCTGTTTGTTTGCCCGATACCCCATTCAGCCTAGATCCTGTCTCAGGCTGAAATTTTAGCCCGTTTGAGGTCCTAGGTATGCAACCAGCAGCATTGAGCCCCGTTGGTTTCTTTGGCCTCGTTGGCAGGATCAGTCGCAGCCACATCCAGGAGCAGGGGCATCCCAGCATTGCGTTCTTCCACCTCGAAAGTCATGTGAAATCATTCGGAAAGTCTGGAAATGGAACTCGAAGCACTGGAGTTGCGGTTGTCATTTTTTCAGAGTCTTTAGCCGGGCAGCGGCGATGCTTTCCTCAAAACAGCACCAAATCCTTGTGAAAGGCGTCGTTGTTGTTGTTGTAAGCGGACGTCAACCTGCTCCTCACCGAAGTGAAGTAGTTAAGACGCCATAGTATGCCATCTGCGAGAATCAAGTTCCCATACTTCTCCAAGCAAAACTCAAAGGAAGCGAAACCTGCCTGAAAAAAAAATAAACACAGTGCGCCAGCTAGCATTCCGCAAGGAATGTTTGTTGATCAAGTACGACTTGCCAAAAAGGTAAAGTCCGTAGCCTCTGCAGACGCCAAACTGCTGCAGCCCAAGCCACGGCTCGCTGATGTCGCTGCACAGCCGCAGCGATCATGGAGCGTGAGTCACGCAACACCTCACCTGCCTGAGCATCGGCTGTCGCATTGAGAACGCGGCAGAGATGAACATCAATCCAACCATCTGGTGGTGTCCAGTCAGGCACCTTGTTGTGAGAAGGGATCCAAGTGCAAACAGTGCCCTGAATCAATAAGCCGCTGATCCGCTGCCAGAAAAGCGGCAAGTCACCCTCCCAACGGCCAGTGCTAATGCCTCGCTGAAGCCGCCGCACCAAAGCCTGATTGTCAATCAAGAGCATCACCGGTCTGTTAGCTGCAGAAGAGGCTAAACAAGCTTGCAGAAGAGCAGCACGCTCACCTGCAGCAGGTGTTTGCTCAAAACCAGTCACGGCACCTTGAACAGTGGTGCCTGAAAGTGTCGAAACCGCCCAGCTAGCTCTTTGCCATCGATCACAGGAAGTAGCTATGATACAACTGCCGTCCAAACCCAAGGTGGGTCGCTGAAGAGGATCGAATTGCTGAATAAAAGTAACCAAAGCAGGATCTGCAACCATGTTGGAAAAAGGCAACACAGGAGGAGCATCCACAAGTGGAACCAGCAAACGACGTTCAGTAGCGCTCCTGAACTCACCATCCCATGGCTGCGCTTGGCAGTGAAAAGTGAGATGTTCTCGATCAGGAGACCGCAATCCACATTCACAACTCAAAGCAGAACCAAAGCGCTCTGTGACCCTGCCATCCACTGCAGCACCAGTCAAAACCCTGCGACTGTAGTAATCCATGCCTAAAGCTGCATTTGCCTGAAAAAGGAAAACCGGCTCCTTGCCGTTTGGCCATCGACCATCCGTTTTGGTGTCTTTAGTCCACAAACCAACGAGCCATGAATGGATAGCGGCTTTTTGCAAGCTTTTCAAAGACATCCACCCAGGTTTCAAAATCCCAGCAGGCGTGTGCCACAGGCCCTCGTCAAGTCGCCATTTCCAATCTTTGAGCACTGCTTTCCAGCGAGGAGCAGGCGAGGTAGCTGCAGGCAACCCTTGGGCACGGCGGCATTGCCGATTCCATTCCGCCCGGGCGGCGGTGAACTGGAGCGCAAACATCGGATGTAGTCTTGCAGAACCCAAAGAATTCCAAAAGAGCAGCCGGCTCCTACCTGGAGGAGCCCTTCGACCCCAAAGTGCAGTTTCGATCATAGATGTCCATGTTCGAATGGTTCTTGCACTGAAGTGATGAAAAGCACCGGACCAAGCAAATAAAGATATCACCAACTTATGCACCAATGCAATGCGAGTGCCTAAGTGCTGTGCTGCCAAACGAATTTTGAGACATCGTCGCTGAATGTTGTCACTGACAATATCCGCATCAACACAAGAACTGGGGCGTGACAAATTGTATTGAATGCCAAGCAGTGTGAAAGTATCCGCAGGTACACCTACTAAATCTTTCTTCTTGCGCACCTTGGCAACCAGATGCGGTTTGGTGGCGAAGCTAGCCAATTTGTCAGGGTGAAGTTCGAAGCCGAGAATAGCATCGGCTTGCGCTCCCGCAGTCATGGCGTTGATGACCACTTCAAAACTTTGACAACCTTGTTTCCACATGGTGCGATCGTCCAAATAAATAGCCAAAGAAATCCTTGGTTCCTGCCGTTTGACAAACCTCACCCAAACTGTCATCAAAGCGTTCAGTAGCGCAGGGCTGGCTGGACAGCCTTGCAACAAACCCCGTTGAGCAATAACCGGATGAGGGTGATAAGAACCTTGCCAAGCAAACCAACGACGCTGTTCACTGTAAAAATCAGCGAGTAAATCACAAATTGATGAGGGAGCACCGAACCATCGCCACACTTTAATGGCTGTCTGAGGGCAAACTGAATCAAAACACTTGCGAACATCAGCTTTGCACCCGACCAAATCGACACGAGACTGCTTTGCCGTGCTGACAGCTTCGTAGAAACGTTCATGGACTTCCATGATGCCCTTGCCTGGTAGACCACCAAAAAGTTCGGGCGAAGCCCATTCCGCAATCCAAGGCTGTAATTTTTTCAGAGTGGCACTCATGCAAATACGCCACAGGACAGTGACAATGGCTAAAGGGCGCATGCCACCAGTAGCTTTTGGTAACAAAGCAATTCTAACATCTTTCCACATCGCAGGAACACAGCCATGTCGCAAGCAAGCATCCCAAAGAGCACCGACCTGATCCCAAAAAGCAATGGGAAGATTGCACAAATGGAGAGCTGTCCAGGCATCCATGCCCGGAGCCTTGTCCTTCGCTTTGAGCGCAATCCGAACCAATTCAGAACCACTAACCTGAATACAGTCATCCGGCAATGGATCGCTTGCAGAGCCAATCTGAGAGTACAACTGGTCCCCCAGATTCAAATTCGGAAGCGACCCTGGATCCCAATACCTCTCCCAATCCAATGCTGCGCACTTGGCCCTATCTGCAGGTAGAATGGGGCCATCAAAACTTGCAGTAGGACTGGCGGGCGGCACCTGTTTGACCCACCTGCCTAGTTTGGTGGCATTTTCCTGCACGCTGTCCTTCCACGCCTCCAAGCGTAACTTGGACGCTGCTGTAGCTTCTGCATTTGCCAATTCTAGCACTGCACTAACCAACCTGGGGTCATCCAAAGAGAAAAAAGCCAAAGAATGATGTAAATGAGGGCCATCACGAACCAACTTCTTCTCCAACTCTGGCAACGGGGCCTTTTGGTACTCCACCCCTCTTCGTGCGAAGCGTCTGAGCTTGCGCTCTTTCACTGTTTGCAAAGAAGGCGCTTTTGAAGACGGAGGACTGGCAATTTGCTGCGGGCCCTGGCGCATAGCACGACCAGTTTTGCCACGTGCGAGAAGAAGAGATTCTGCGCAGTTGCTAAGTAAGGTCCAAGCAGAGTCCACGTTGCCTGTACTCAATGCATTTCCAAAATCGTCACATACTTCTTCCGAAGCACTTAGCCAAGAAGCTTCAGCAACCTTTTCAGAATGCAAAGGGGCACCAACTGGGAGAGTCCACGGTGTGGATAATGAACCAGGCACATGCAAGTTGTAAACCACCGCGTCATGGTCAGCCACGCCAAGATGTTGCTCCCTACCAGTAATAATTAACCGAGGAGTGCACAAGCCATAGTCAATGACCACACCTGTATAAACACCTGCAGCAGTTCGATGTGTACCACCTAAAACACGATCTCCGCAAACCAGCTCATCACAGGACCGCCACTGTCCAGTAGCCAAAACGTTAGAAATTGGCCAACATTGCAGCTATCTGGACAACCTCCGCGCGGTGGCTGCGGGTCTATGCATTGCTGATGGGCCCTGGCAGTGCTTAGAAACGAATTGTTCAGATGTGGTGCTTGCAAGTTTCGATTTGCTTCAGAAGATTTGGGCTGTGTCTTCAAAAGAGCGGAACGCACTGATGCATGCCATGCATGGCAATGGTGCAGGAAGCAGAGCAACAGCTCGCAAAAGGAAACAGAAACAAAGCAATAACCAAGCAAATGGCTTCAATTTGCAACAAGCAGGTGAGATTCTCAAACTACTCTCTCAGCTTTTCCAATTGTTGGGACTCGGGGGTGGCGGTGGGAATTTGCTTCAACAGCTCAGTGCTATGATGGGCCATGGCGGGTGTGCCAAACCCAAGAAGACTTAAGAACAAGAACAAAAATAAACAGGGCGGTGATGGTGGTCTGGGGGATTACGGCCAAGGGGGTGGTTCTTACCCTTCTTCTCCTCCTACTCAGCCTCCGCAGAATACTTCGAAACCACATCCTAAGCAAAAGGCGGACGTCCAAAAACAGCCACACACAGAGCAGCAGCTCCACAAAACGCCCAAGACCTTTGCTGAAATGGTTCGAGCCAACACTGCGTTTAAGCCGGTGTGGAGCCTGCGTCAGTCAGACTGGACGGGGCCCATTTTGGGCTTTGATGACTTTTGTGTCGCACTGGATAAGCCTGGAAATATTTCAGCTACAGTGCAAGTGAACTCGGAAGAGCAACTTGAGGAGTTGCAGGTTTTGCTGAAAGGCGATTCCCCTGATATCAAAAGAGAGCTCAACATCACAGCTGTGATGCTAGCGCCGAAAGAGGCCAAGCAGACTGAGGAGGATCGACCTTTGCGGATGGTGCCAGGAAAGATCTCGGGCAAGGTGCAGCCCAGGCAGGCGTTTGTGATCCCACTTCAAGGCCAAGGGCCATCACTCAAGAGAGCTGCCGTTGTGTCAGCGGCTCCTGCAGTGCAGCCTGAAACTGTTGTAGTGAGATTAAGTGTTGATGCAAAATATTTGCAAAACAACGAGTGGCAGAGCATCCAGGCCAAGCCAAAGGCAAACGCGCAGGCTTGGTTGCATCGGCATGTTCCAGAGCATGTTGCGGACAAAGTCTTTGATATGTGGGCGTTTCAGCAAGAAAGCATGAAAGGCGGAGGCAAGCCAGTGATCACTGGCCTTTTACGCATTGAGCGAAGTGCTGCCAAAGCTCTTCTAGGCTGCTCAGGCAAAAGTACCTGGTTTGTGGAGCCTTTGCAATGGAACAACTCCGTGATTGAATCTTGCGATGTTGAGTGGGTCAAGAAAAGTTCGGAACTTGATGGGCCCAGCTACTTGCAGAAGGTTCAGTCCATGGCTGGTGACCTGGGCATTGCCCGGGGATGGAATGGACTGGGAGTACGTAAGCCCAGGAGCGCCGAGCCTCCTCCTAAGGCCAGAGCTTGGCGCGTCACTGGTGTTCCGCGAGATTGGGCGGCTAGTACCTTGACTCAGGAACTTACACGTGCTGGCCTGACTGAACTCAAGGTGTTGTCCCGGAAAACTGTGGGCAAACAAGTGGAATGGTGGGTGCAGGCCAATGCTCAAAAGGATATGGATTTCATTGAAATTCAGGCTGGCGAAAAAGTCATTGTAGCTGTTGAAGCTCCAAGACAAAGACGGCAGAGAACACATACCATGAAACTGGCTAGCAATGGAAGGGTCAGTTATAACCAGAGCCATGCATGGCAGGCGATTGCCACGCCTGCTCCTCGCAAATCTTTCTACATGGGAACGCCAGTCAAAAAGCCAGTGACTATTGCAGGGGCTGAGAAGGTTCCTGCTGAGAATTTGGACGAGGACAAGTCGGACGCAAAGATGGACAATGCTGGAGAACCCGCTGGGGCAAAAAGAACTGTCAGTACTCCTGAAAAGAGTCCTCCGGCCAAGCGTGTTGCGGGGGAACCCAAGCCCCCTCACAATATGAAGGTGAAAAGCATCCCTGCTGACGGCAACTGTCTTTTTGAAGCCCTTGCTCAAAGTTTGGGCGGAAAAACAGCCAGGAATGTTCGTGCAAGCGTTGTCACCCACCTGACCAAGCACCAGGGTCGTTACAAGCCCTGGTGGGACGGCAAGGAGCCAACAGAGGCGGAGAATGCTTGCGAATCATGGGAGAGCTATCTCACCATGCTCTCAAAGATTGGTGCTTGGGGCAGTGCTCTTGAAGTTTCTGCTGCGGCTGTGCACTACGATCGCCCGATCATTGTCTTCCAGCCTCGTGGGGTTCCGGAGATTTACAATGGTCGTGGCAAGGGTGGTGCTCCCATCGCTTTGTGGTTTCGTTCAAAGCACTATGAACGACTTGAAGGTGCTTTCCCTCCTGAAGTTTTGACTCAGGCCGCAAATGGTCCAATGCAGGGCAACAGAGGTGGAGGATCGGAATGTGGCGCTACTTCAGTTGGTGCCACCAGATTGTCAGCTTTGCCGTCACTGGTTCATAGCAACAATAAACGTGGAAGGTGTGCTAGCCCCGCGCCCGCCTCTACTTTGTCAGAGCAGCGCAAGAATTCTTCTTCCCCTGCGGCTGCTACTTCGGGTCGGGGTCCGTGCACGCCACGTGCAGCCAGTGAAGGACAAGACGCAGCCAGTGCTTCGTCCAGACGCACTAAGCGTACTGAGTGGACATGCCCTTTGTGTGACTTTTCCACTGGGGTGTGCAAAGGATGGGTTGACAAGAAGAGAGCTCATATCAATGCTTGGCATCCCGATGAGAAGGAACAGTTGAAAATCGGCTTCAAAAACACGTTGCCTGCGCTGTCTGCGGTCAAGAAGGGAGGAGTCTATAGCTGGAAGTGTCCTGTTTGCAAACTTGGCTTGTCCGCTGATCACAACCTCAAACCTGGCCAAGTGTACAGCGTCATCCGCAAGCATAGGGAAGACAAACATCCTCAGGCGGATGCCAAGCTCTTCCACAAGGACAGCAGCTTCAGACGGGAGAATGCTAGCAAAGCCACGCGCCAGGTGCGTGCAGCTGCAGTGGCTCGAAGGTTGCTTGGCTTCAAGCGTGGCGATGCTGGAGCACATGACCCCACTTTCGTTACCATTCCAGCCACAGGAAATGGCAAACAGAAAAGAGTTGGAATGTCTTACGTCATTTGCAAAACTTGTGGCAGTATGGCTTTGACAGCGAAGCGTTTGGCAAAGATTGCTTGTGAACAGTATGCTTCCAGCAAAGGGCCCAAACGAAAGCAGTTGGTGGAAAGATTGCGTGCGTGCCTCAAAAATGCAGACATCAGCGATGACCTCAAGAAGGGTGCCCGCACAGTTTTGGAAATCATCGACTCTGGAGCAGTTTCGCACCACTGATACTGCAGCAGACAGCACGCATCAGATTGAGGCCATTGTGTGGCCTGCCAATTTTACGGTGCGTTTTGCTTGTGTGCATTGCAAGCGTTGTGTCAACAACATCAGACGGCTTACAGGAAGTCAGTGTCCTCGTAAAATGGTTTGGACTAAGTTTCGAAAGGGCCAGAGGGATATTTTGGTGCCTCTTGCGGCTCAGGCTCCAAGTGCCAGACAGCGAGCTGCTTCGCGAGCTTTGGACATTTTGGGATTGCAGCAGGATGGCGCTGTGGATCAGAACCCATGACGGGCTCTGACAGCACTATGCGGTTGGGGACTATGAATGTACGGTCCTTGGGAGGCCGCTTGGGTGGTGTGCTTGACTTTGCTCAGCTCCAGAATTTACATGTTCTGTGTCTTCAAGAAACTAGAGTTAACAATCACAGCTGGAATGCTGTGACTCGTGCCGTCAAGGCACGCGGGTGGCAACTTTTTCCTGGCCCTCAAGGAAGAAATTCGAAAAATGTAGTGGAAGGTGGTACATTGGTTCTAACAAAGTGGCCTGCTGAGGCCTTGGCCCTTCCTGTCGACATGGTGTCTGTGGAAAGATCCATGGCCGTCAAACTCTATAGACCTCAGCAAAGGCCGTTGATTCTCATCAATGTTTACTTACATGCTTCAGATCGCACAGCTGCCAGCCGTGCGCTGGGTGCGCTGTTCGAGTTTGTTGCTGCTTGTGGTGAAGATACAGTGATCATGGGTGACTTCAATTTGAAAGGCGTCGCTTTCTCATCCAAGATCAGTACGATGCCTATGGATAATTGCATCGCGCGATAAAATGAAGTTGAGCGCGGATTTGCACAGATTTCTTCCTGCCAGCAGTGCCGTGTGATACAATCACCCCGTCGCTAAACCAGTTGTTTGAACCACTCTAAACTCACCCAAACTCATTGCCCACAGCAGTGTCTGGCACTCCTTGAGCCTGTGCTGATTATTAGCGTAGGCGCATACCCAGTACGCGCCATCCGCTACATTTCGCAGCGCGGCATGCTGCCGAAGACAAGCCACGAATTTGAAGATGGCTTCCTGCGAGTGAGGGATCAAAGAAAATAAAACACAGGTATCAAAAAATGATACCAGCATAGACCCCAGATAATGATTTTTTGGTCAGTTTCCAAATTTGCAGACAAGACTGAGAGAGCAGGGGGACAAGCTGGCGAGACACAGCGGCAGCGGCAGCAAAGGTGGCGATCATGGAGGGAGACAAGAGTGGGAGACAAGGCGGCTGCAGCGGCAAACTTTTCGTCGATCAGGATCCCCTACATAGAGAAGTAAGAACCCCTATAGCTGACGCTACTTGGGGAAAACATATTTCCTATAGAAATTTACGTTGATGGTGGGTTAGATATAATTAATGTTTTTTGATCTGGAATATCTTCTTGATCAGGCAACGAGGGGATCAAAATAGTCTAGATTGACGACACTTGCAGGTAGCAAAGAAATATTCCATATACAGAAATAGATTTGCATGTTATATTATGTTATTTAAATTTGGTCTCGATTGCCACTTGGAGCGGCTATCCCAAATATGATCCCATTTAGGGTTGGTTTAAGTTTCATACAGGGGTGGTTTAGATTTATACACAAGACGCGTTAGGGAGTTTTTCGGCGCTTCTTTGTGGCTTCTCTGTCCTTCACTGGCATGGTGTTTCCCTGTCCGGAAGCTATGTTTTGCGCTGCCGTGTCTGTTTTCGGCGTCTTTTGCAGCCGTGCTGGCCACGTCGTGTTTAATCTTTTTGGAAAGGCTTCAGACGACACGTTAGGCAGTTTCTCGGTGCTTCTTTGTGGCTTCTCCGTCGGTCCTTCACTGGCATTTTTTGGGCTGCCGTGTCTGGTTTTGGGTGTGCTTTGCAGCCGTGCTGGCCACGTCGTTTTCAGCTTTTACACGTTACACTTTACACTCCACACTCCACACCGTACACTTTTTACTCCACTCCATACTTGACACTTTACGCTCGACACTCTGCACTTTACACTCTACACTTCACACTTTCCCACTGCACTTTAAACTTTACACTCCACACTCTACAATCCCCACTTCACACTCTACACACTACATTCCTCACTCAACACTCGACTTTCTTCGCACTCCACCCATGCTTCATCTTCGGGGTCGGCAGGCGGCAGCCCTTCAATAATATTGTGTAATATATTTACACCATTTTACACCTGTGCAAGCTTGGATTGGAAGGGGGAATTTTGGACGGGGGGACCGGGAGGAGGCGCGCGCGCAAAGCATGACGACAATAATTATTCTCACATGTAATGGAAAAACATGAAACAAAAACAAGAAATCACATTCTTTGTTTCTTCTCGTCTCATGTCCTTCCTTTCTTTCATTCTTTCCTACCCTTTCTCCTCTGTTGCTTCCTTCCTTCCCTCCTTCCTTGGTTGCCTTTTCCCTAATATGGTTTGTGTCCTTCCTTCCTTCATTTCTTCATTCCTCCTTCCTCTCCTTGTCATTTATTTGATTCTTTGATGAACTTTGATCAACCCCCCCTACCTGCCATGCGTGGCTCACAAACCACCATGGATACTGTGCATCAGCATCCGTTGCCACTAGCTCCACCAGGCTGCAGCAGAGCTTGCGCGTGGCAGGCGAAATGATCCAGTGACACGCTTGGTGGAGGTTGAATTTCTCGAACTCCAATGGCAAACCGAAGCTGGGGCTCTGTCGAAACCTGGAACGAACGGAACGTTGGCGGCTTTGGCGTCTCGTTGGATCTCAAACTTTGACGCCTAAAGAAATGCGCTCGTAAGCAACATGTAAAATGCTAAAAGCGTCAAACTTTATGACCAGAAAGCTCCAAGGGACGTTTCCACCCAAAAACGGACATGCTTCTGGATGAACTTCTCGATCTGTAGCAGTTGCTGCACGGTGATCCCACGATGCTCAGTTTTCGCGATGGAGACGGCAGATGTGCCGAGGGCATCATAGCTTACGAGCGCATACCTAAGGCCAAGTTTCGCTGAGAAAGCGATGACCGAAACTTTAAAAACTCCAAAAAGTTGGAGAACCAAACAAAATCTGAACCACAACTTTGTTTCATACTCCGCTCACACTCCCCGGTGCGGTCTCTGCGGTCTTCTCACCAAGATGCGTGGAGTTGTCCAAGGCCTTGCCTGGTTCTACCTGGTCAACTCCACATGACCTGGGATTTGTTTCAGAGACATTCCAAGCATTTTTTGTTGACATTCAGAGACACATTGGAAACAAAAAAAGTGAACAAAGCCCGAAGCAATCCAAGGTCACAGCAGCACATTGTCCCAATGTTCCTCCGGCAGCGCCTGTCGCACGGCAGCGATGGCAGTCTCAAACGTGGCCGGCAGCGGGCAGTGGATCACCGCGCTCGACGTGACCACCGAAGCTGAGGTCATGCCCAGGGTCAAAAAGCAAGGGGATCAGAAAACCAAGCAGATCTAGACAGCTGAACCCTCTGAATTAAGAAATACTGCGGAAAGGCCATGAATTCAAGTGACTCAACAATCAAAATCCAAATCTGTGACACTGTGAATCCATCTGTTGTCCAAGTCTATGGCTACACCTATCTGCATTTCTATTTCTGTTACGTATTTGTGTCTATTTTTTCTACCTCCAAAAATCACAGGGTCTTCATCTTGATCTCTGCCTAGCTCTATTTCTATCTTACCATTTTGCAATTTGGCCCTGAGGGCCCGGACCAAGCAGGGCCTGTGGTCGCCGTGTCCCAGGTTGGAGCCTTACTCATCTTACTCGAGGAAACAAGATATAACAAGTATAGTATAACAAGATATCTAATTTGAAGCTTAGGCCCTAAAGCTCATTGTTCACCCTTAGGCCAGATTGGTTTGTCTTTTGTCAGAATTGTGAATGCAAATGCCATTCCAAGAGTCGCAGCTGCAAGATGAAGTGGAGCATTTCCTCGTGGAGCCCAACTTGGCAGTTGCAGAACTGTCAAAAGATCAGAAAGCAAAGTCAAAACTTCAGAGGTTTGCAAGGACTTCATATGACTTCATAGAGCTTGCTAGGTTTGATCAAAATATCGGTGTCCTCGGGATGCTCTAGCCAGCCCTTGCCAGCCCTTGCCATCCGATGACCACATGTCCAGCAGCGATTCGTCTAGGATTCACCAATCCATTGTTAGCCTCACTTCGAAGACACCTGTGCAGGCTAATGACCAATGCTTGCCTTTGAAAATATCACGAACAGTCAAGAAGCATCGGTAACTGCACCAGCATCTTCCAGCAAGATTACACCGCTCGCAAAACATGCGATTTCTCAAGCCTAGCCTATCATTGCAAAATCTTTCTTGATTACTTGTCAATTGGCGATGGAAACCCTCATTGGGCATTGCCCTCCTGGTGCGGGATCTCGTCCATCAACAGTGGCAGAATCGTGCCCAATCCTTCGTGGGAACTTGTGTTCGCCTTTCAACCCTTCAAAAAGATTCAAAAAGCAGGCCAGAATAGGCCAGATCTGCCTGTCAGCACTCGTTGGCGACAAAACTGGGAGCCTCCCGAACTTGGGGGAAATGTTGCCATGTAGCACTGAAGCAGCGGTCCGAAAGACAAAACATCCTTTCAAACAGGGTTTCTTAATGGTGATTTTAGAGGGAAAATAGTCGCTGACAACGACGCTGAGAGAGGATATCCCGCCTGTCGGATCTCGTATGCGACGACATGGCTTGCTGACGGGCTGGTGAAACTATGACTGAATGCAACACTGGGCTCATTGGACAAGCATTGTACCCTTGTCCCGATTCTTGGTGCCAGCTTATAAGACTCTGAATCTATGCAACACCAGTATAGGTTCAAAACATGCCGACCTTTGGCAAGAGTGATTACTCGAACCCACCTTGCAATCACATCCATGTTCGTCTGTATGAATGTGTCTTGCCAGTTTGTGCAACATGCTCTTCCCAACATGTGTTCTTCCTTCTGCCGGCATGCGGAATTTATATTTATGTTCGATCTGAAAATTACTTTGATCACACGGGCAAACAGCTTGAAAATACTTCGAACAACTGAAATTCATTAAAATTGGCCTTGTAAGCTCGCAGAACCAGTCTCACGCGAAGGTCTTTGGAACATGTTGAGACAAGTGCGTGATCGCAAATCTGAGCAACGCAAATCACCAGGTTCACGAGGTCGTGGCACCATGACGTGTGAAGAAAACAACCGTAACTGAATGTTTAATGCTTTTAGAAGTGAAACATGTTCCTTGCCGTGAAACCTCTGAAACGAGAGTTAAAACTGCTATCCAAGCATGAACCTCATCGTAGGTTCATCATGAACAAGTGAAACTACATGCAGAAATGCTTGTACAACAACCACAATCCAAGTCCAAGATAGTTACAGTCCAAGCTGATGGAAAGTTGCAGGAGGTTTCCTGAAATCAGAAGGAAAACCAGCACTTTTCTGCAGGAGACAGGCGCTGAAAAACCCATCAGATTTTTGGACATCGCTTCCTGCGCTGGCCGTGGCAAGACCACTACCTGGGATGACCGTCTACGAAACAAATCAACAGATCCTAGGATTTGGATGGATTTGGGTGATCCAGGATGGTTTCGATTCGCGTGTTGGGCAACCCTGGCGCGTGTTCCCTGCGTGCTTGTAAGTGTTTGATGTATCTTACGGTTCACAGTTGTGTAAAAGGTTCAAAAGGATTCAGGTGCATTATATCATTACTATATGAGTATTATGAGTATTTTGTTTGAGTTGCAGTTTTGGTTCCTGTCAAGCGTTTCCGAAAAAATGATTTCATCCCGCTAAGAACTGATGTGGTTGGCACATGATCTATATCCGATGCAACAGACTTTCGCTGGAAAGTCGGGCAGGCTATACGGTGGAAGTTACAGTTAACTAATCAGTTGGAAGTGGACACGTCTAACTGAAGCCACGACTGCAGTGCCAACTTTTTTCCGTTTTTCACAGGTAGTTCCCAATCTTCAAAGTTTTGGAGATTCCTCAACCGCAAGCAGCGTAAGCAATGACAAACTAAGTCAAAATAGAATAACGAAACACAAAAAGGTTGCCCGGCAATTGGCCAGAACGTTTGCCAATGGACTTCTAAGCACGCGACCGGAACAACCGTAGAACTCCGTCACGTGATCCGCTACCAAAGTGATGCGGCCCCTGATGGGCACTTGCCAAGCTACTCCAGGCTGCAGCTGGGGTGAACAAATGGGTATAACTTCGATAAGAATCATACTCATATGATATAATCATACTAACATCAGATATTGATAGATATTGATATCCGCCGACCCCGGCAGACGCAAGGGGGAGCGCGCCAGGGAATAAGACAAGCAAAGACAAGCAAGTTTAGCCGCACTAGCAGCAAGAGCAGCGGCAGCAGCAGCGGCAGCAGCAGCGGCAGCAGCAGCAGCAGCAGCTGTGGAAAAAGGTTGTTTTTCTAGGATTTCAGAAGCAGAAGCAGCAGCAGCAGCAGCAGGCAGGCTCAGCAGCTGCAATCGCTTTGTTTTTACCAGAATCCAGAAGGGACGTCAAGCCCCGGGGCAGCATGTTTTTTGAGGTCGTTCCGTCCTTCAGTACAGTAGCATGGTGTTTCGGTGTGGCGAAGGGTGCGTTTTGGGGGCTTGCAGCACCACCTCTAGCAACACGACCGGCAGCAGCAGCAGGAGCAGCAGCAGCAGTCCCAGCAGCTGCAATCGCCGTTCCGTCCTTCAGTAGCATGGTGTTTCGGTGTGGCGAGGGCTGCAATCGCTTTGTTTTTACCAGAATCCAGAAGGGACGTCAAGCCCCGGGACAGCATTTTTTGGAGGTCGTTCCGTCCTTCAGGGCCATGGTGTTTTGCTGTTTCGCGACCGCCCGCTAGGACTTTGTTGTGGAGCTGCTTTGAGGGCATGGGAGCTGCACTTTGGAGCTGGTTTCTTGTTGGTTCAGAAGGCACCGTTAGGCACCACCAGCAGCAGCAGCACCACCAGCAGCAGCAGCAGGCCCAGCAGCTGCAAGCAGCAGGCCCAGCAGCTGCAATCACACTTTGTTTTTACCAGAATCCAGAAGGGACGTCAAGCCCCGGGACAGCATTTTTTGGAGGTCGTTCCGTCCTTCAGGGCCATGGTGTTTTGCTGTTTCGCAACCGCCCGCTAGGACTTTGTTGTGGAGCTGCTTTGAGGGCATGGGAGCTGCACTTTGGAGCTGGTTTCTTGTTGGTTCAGAAGGCAACGTTAGGCACCAGCTCCAGCAGCAGCAGCAGTTTAGCCGCACTAGCAGCAAGAGCAGCGGCAGCAGCAGCGGCAGCAGCAGCAGCAGCAGCAGCTGTGGAAAAAGGTTGTTTTTCTAGGATTTCAGAAGCAGCAGCAGCAGCAGCAGCAGGCAGGCTCAGCAGCTGCAATCGCTTTGTTTTTACCAGAATCCAGAAGGGACGTCAAGCCCCGGGGCAGCATGTTTTTTGAGGTCGTTCCGTCCTTCAGTACAGTAGCATGGTGTTTCGGTGTGGCGAAGGGTGCGTTTTGGGGGCTTGCAGCACCACCTCTAGCAACACGACCGGCAGCAGCAGCAGGAGCAGCAGCAGCAGTCCCAGCAGCTGCAATCGCCGTTCCGTCCTTCAGTAGCATGGTGTTTCGGTGTGGCGAGGGCTGCAATCGCTGTTTTTACCAGAATCTAGAAGGGACGTCAAGCCCCGGGGCAGCATGTTTTTGGAGGTCGTTCCGTCCTTCAGGGCCATGGTGTTTTGCTGTTTCGCGACCGCCCGCTAGGACTTTGTTGTGGAGCTGCTTTGAGGGCATGGGAGCTGCACTTTGGAGCTGGTTTCTTGTTGGTTCAGAAGGCACCGTTAGGCACCACCAGCAGCAGCAGCAGCACCACCAGCAGCAGCAGCAGGCCCAGCAGCTGCAAGCAGCTTGTTTTGCTGCCGGGAGCTGCGGCAGCAGCCAGAGCAGCGGCCGTGGCCAGTGGCAGCGGCTCTTAAAAAGCGGGAAATGTGATACAGTAATTTCCGCACCAACAGCAAGCTTTTTGTAGGATTTCAGAAGGGACGTTTCGGCCCCGGGAAACGTACATTTTGGACTTGGTTCGTCCTTTAGGGCCATGGTGTTTTGCTGCCGGGAGCTGCAGCAGCAGCCACAGCAGCGGCCGTGGCAGTAGCAGCGGCAGCAGTGAGTTTAGGAGCCGCAGTAGCAGTAAGGTAAAAAACTGATTATAATAACTTTCCGCACCAGCAGCTCTTTGTAGGATTTCAGAAGGGACGTTCCGACCGCAGGACGTATATTTTGGACTCGGTTCGTCCTTTAGGGCCATGGTGTTTTGCTGCCGGGAGCTGCAGCAGCAGCCAGAGCAGCAGCCGTGGTGTTTTGCTGCCGGGAGCTGCGGCAGCAGCCAGAGCAGCGGCCGTGGCCAGTGGCAGCGGCTCTTAAAAAGCGGGAAACTGATACAGTAAAATTTCCGCACCAACAGCAAGCTTTTTGTAGGATTTCAGAAGGGACGTTCCGGCCCCGGGAAACATATATTTTGGACTCGGTTCGTCCTTTAGGGCCATGGTGTTTTGCTGCCGGGAGCTGCGGCAGCAGCCAGAGCAGCGGCCGTGGCAGTAGCAGCGGCAAGCTTTTTGTAGGATTTCAGAAGGGACGTTCCGGCCCCGGGAAACGTACATTTTGGACTTGGTTCGTCCTTTAGGGCCATGGTGTTTTGCTGCCGGGAGCTGCAGCAGCAGCCACAGCAGCGGTGGTGGCAGTAGCAGCGGCAGCAGTGAGTCCAGCAGCCGCAGTAGCAGTAAGGTAAAAAACTGATTATAATAACTTTCCGCACCAGCAGCACGCTCTTTGTAGGATTTCAGAAGGGACGTTCCGGCCCCGGGAAACGTACATTTTGGACTCGGTTCGTCCTTTAGGGCCATGGTGTTTTGCTGCCGGGAGCTGCAGCAGCAGCCAGAGCAGCAGCCGTGGTGTTTTGCTGCCGGGAGCTGCGGCAGCAGCCAGAGCAGCGGCCGTGGCCAGTGGCAGCGGCTCTTAAAAAGCGGGAAAATGATACAGTAAAATTTCCACACCAACAGCAAGCTTTTTGTAGGATTTCAGAAGGGACGTTCCGGCCCCGGGAAACATATATTTTGGACTCGGTTCGTCCTTGAGGGCCATGGTGTTTTGCTGCCGGGAGCTGCGGCAGCAGCTAGAGCAGCGGCCGTGGCAGTAGCAGCGGCAAGCTTTTTGTAGGATTTCAGAAAGGACGTTCCGGCCCCGGGAAACGTACATTTTGGACTCGGTTCGTCCTTTAGGGCCATGGTGTTTTGCTGCCGGGAGCTGCAGCAGCAGCCACAGCAGCGGCCGTGGCAGTAGCAGCGGCAAGCTTTTTGTAGGATTTCAGAAAGGACGTTCCGGCCCCGGGAAACGTACATTTTGGACTCGGTTCGTCCTTTAGGGCCATGGTGTTTTGCTGCCGGGAGCTGCAGCAGCAGCCAGAGCAGCGGCCGTGGCAGTAGCAGCGGCAGCATGTGAGTCCAGCAGCAGCAGTAGCAGTAAGGTAAAAAACTGATTAATAAAATTGTAAAAAAATGATACTTTCCGCACCAGCAGCAAGCTTTTTGTGAAGGGACGTTCCGACCGCAGGACCATGGTGTTTTGCTGCCGGGAGCTGCAGCAGCGACCAGGCAGTAGCAGCGGCAGCAGTGACTCCAAGAGCAGCAGTAGCAGTAAGAAACGCACATTTTGGACTCGGTTCGTCCTTTAGGGCCATTGTATTTTGCTGCCGGGAGCTGCGGCAGCAGCCAGAGCAGTCTTAAAAAGGAAAAAATGATAATTTCAGCACCAACAGCTTATGGGTGTTTATGGATGTTTATGGTAGATACATCTAGTTACTATGGTTCTTAAAGCAAGCTATAACTGGGGGGGCACCACCTTGTAATCTCTAAGAATGGCAAGTGGTTCGTCCTTTAGGACCATGGTGTTTTGCTGCCGGGAGCTGCAGCAGCATCCAGAGCAGCAGCCGCGGCAGTAGTGACTCCAACAGCAGCAGTAGCAATAAGAAATACACATTTTGGACTCGGTCCGTCCTTTAGGGCCATGGTGTTTTGCTGCCGGGAGCTGCGGCAGCAGTTAGGGCAGCGGCCGTGGCAGTAGCAGCGGCAAGCTTTTTGTAGGATTTCAGAAGGGACGTTTCGGCCCCGGAAAACGTACATTTTGGACTTGGTTCGTCCTTTAGGGCCATGGTGTTTTGCTGCCGGGAGCTGCAGCAGCAGCCGCAGCAGCGGTGGTGGCAGTAGCAGCGGCAGCAGTGAGTCCAGCAGCCGCAGTAGCAGTAAGGTAAAAAACTGATTCTAATAACTTTCCGCACCAGCAGCACGCTCTTTGTAGGATTTCAGAAGGGACGTTCCGATCGCAGGACGTATATTTTGGACTCGGTTCGTCCTTTAGGGCCATGGTGTTTTGCTGCTGGGAGCTGCAGCAGCAGCCAGAGCAGCAGCCGTGGCAGTAGCAGCGGCAGCAGTGACTCCAACAGCAGCAGTAGCAGTAAGAAACGCACATTTTGGACATAGGGCCTAGTTTTTTGCTGCCGGGAGCTGCGGCAGCAGCCAGAGCGGCGGCCGTGGCAGTAGCAGCGGCAAGCTTTCTGTAGGATTTCAGAAGGGACGTTTCGGCCCCGGGAAACGTACATTTTGGACTTGGTTCGTCCTTTAGGGCCATGGTGTTTTGCTGCCGGGAGCTGCAGCAGCAGCCACAGCAGCGGTGGTGGCAGTAGCAGCGGCAGCAGTGAGTCCAGCAGCCGCAGTAGCAGTAAGGTAAAAAACTGATTATAATAACTTTCCGCACCAGCAGCACGCTCTTTGTAGGATTTCAGAAGGGACGTTCCGGCCCCGGGAAACGTACATTTTGGACTCGGTTCGTCCTTTAGGGCCATGGTGTTTTGCTGCCGGGAGCTGCAGCAGCAGCCACAGCAGCGGCCGTGGCAGTAGCAGCGGCAGTGAGTCCAGCAGCAGCAGTAGCAGTAAGGTAAAAAACTGATTATCCGCCGACCCCGGCAGACGCAAGGGGGAGCGCGCCAGGGAATAAGACAAGCAAAGACAAGCAAGTTTAGGCACACCACCACCAGAAGCAGCAATCTAAATTTCTAGGTTTTCAGAAGCAACGTTAGACAGTTTTTTGGTGGGATTCTCGGACTGCTACTAGCAGCCAACAGCAGCGGAACAGTAGGAACAGCAGGAGCAACAGCAGCTGCAGCAGCCGCAGCAGGAGCTGCAGCAGAAACAGCAGCAGTAGCAGCAGCAGCAGCAGCCGCCAATTTTTGGCAAATATTTTCTGTCTGTGCAAATTTAGCAGCAGTAGCAGCAACAGCAGCTGCAGCAGCCAATTGTTGGTAAAGATTCAGAAACTTTCTACGGTTCCAGCAGCATCAGTAGCAGTAAGGGCAACCGCTGCCTTGCCGGAAGCCGCGTTTTTGGTCAGCTGCAGCAGCAGCAGCAGCAACCAATTTTTGCAAAGATCCAGAGCAGAAGGCAATTTTACTGCCGGGAGGTGTTTAGCAGGCTAAGAGCAGCGGCAGCCGTGCAGCAGCTAGCAGCCAGCCAGCAGCAGCCAGCAGCTTTTAACAGCTCTTAACAAGGTAAAAATAAGGTGGAAAAATGATAAAAATGAAATTTTTTTATAGGATTTCAGAAGGGACGTTCCGGCCCCGAAAAACGTAGATTTTGGCATCGGTTCGTCCTTTAGGGCCATGCTGTTTTACTGCCGGGAGGTGTTTCGCAGGCGTTCGCCAGCCACAGCAGTAAGAGCAGCCGCAGCAGTGCAGCAGCTAGCAGCCAGCCAGCAGCAGCCAGCAGCTTTTAACAGCTCTTAACAAGATGGAAATAAGGTGGAAAAATGATATTTTTGTAGGATTTCAGAAGGGACGTTCCGGCCCCGAAAAACGTAGATTTTGGCATCGGTTCGTCCTTTAGGGCCATGCTGTTTTACTGCCGGGAGGTGTTTCGCAGCCGTTCGCCAGCAGCAGCAGTAAGAGAAGCGGCAGCAGTGCAGCAGCCAGTAGCCAGCCAGCAGCTTTTAACAGCTCTTAACAAGATGGAAATAAGGTAGAAAAATGATAAATGATATTTTTGTAGGATTTCAGAAGGGACGTTCCGGCCCCGAAAAACGTAGATTTTGGCATCGGTTCGTCCTTTAGGGCCATGCTGTTTTACTGCCGGGAGGTGTTTCGCAGGCGTTCGCCAGCAGCAGCACTAAGAGCAGCCGCAGCAGTGCAGCAGCTAGCAGCCAGCCAGCTGCAGCCAGCAGCTTTAACAGCTTGTAATCTCCTTCCTGGTAAGTTGGCAATTGAAATTTCACCTGTTGAAATTGAGGATTTCTCATTGCCAAAGCAAATTTTCATAGTTCTTTTGGTTACAGCAGCTAGCAGCCAGCAGCAGCCAGCAGCTTTTAACAGCTCTTAACAAGGTGGAAATAAGGTGGCAAAATGATATTTTTGTAGGATTTCAGAAGGGACGTTTTGGCCCCGAAAAACGTCGATTTTGGCATCGGTTCGTCCTTTAGGGCCATGCTGTTTTACTGCCGGGAGGTGTTTCGCAGGCGTTTGCCAGCAGCAGCAGTAAGAGCAGCCGCAGCAGTGCAGCAGCTAGCAGCCAGCCAGCAGCAGCCAGCAGCTTTTAACAGCTTGTAACAAGATGGAAATAAGGTAGAAAAATGATAAATGATATTTTTGTAGGTTTCAGAAGGGACGTTCCGGCCTCGAAAAACGTAGATTTTGGCATCGGTTCGTCCTTTAGGGCCATGCTGTTTTACTGCCGGGAAGTGTTTCGCAGGCGTCCGCCAGCAGTAGCAGTAAGAGCAGCGGCAGTAGTGCAGCAGCTAGCAGCCAGCAGCCGCCAGCAGCTTTTAACAGCTCTTAACAGGGTGGAAATAATAAGGTGGAAGAAATATATTTTTGTAGGATTTCAGAAGGGACGTTCCGGCCCCGAAAAACGTAGATTTTGGCATTGGTTCGTCCATTAGGGCCATGCTGTTTTACTGCCGGGAGGTGTTTCGCAGGCGTTTGCCAGCAGCAGCAGTCAGAGCAGCCGCAGCAGTGCAGCAGCTAGCAGCAGCCAGCAGCTTTTAACAGCTCTTAACAAGGTGGAAATAAGGTGGGAAACATGATATTTTTGTAGGATTTCAGAAGGGACGTTCCGGCCCCGAAAAACGTAGATTTTGGCATCGGTTCGTCCTTTAGGGTCATGCTGTTTTACTGCTGGGAGGTGTTTCGCAGGCGTTCGCCAGCAGTATAGCAGTAAGAGCAGCGGCAGCCGTGCAGCAGCTAGCAGCCAGCAGCAGCCAGCAGCTTTTAACAGCTCTTAACAAGGTGGAAATAAGGTGGAAAACATGATATTTTTGTAGGATTTCAGACGGGACGTTCCGGCCCCGAAAAACGTAGATTTTGGCATCGGTTCGTCCTTTATAGGGCCATGCTGTTTTACTGCCGGGAGGTGTTTCGCAGGCGTTCGCCAGCCACAGCAGTAAGAGCAGCCGCAGCAGTGCAGCAGCTAGCAGCCAGCCAGCAGCAGCCAGCAGCTTTTAACAGCTTGTAACCAGGTGGAAATAAGGTGGAAAAATGATAGTTTTGTAGGATATTTCACCAGGGACGTTCCGGCCCCGAAAAACGTAGATTTTGGCATCGGTTCGTCCTTTAGGGCCATGCTGTTTTACTGCCGGGAGGTGTTTCGCAGGCCTTCGCCAGCAGTAGCAGTATAACAGTAAGAGCAGCGGCACCCGTGCAGCAGCTAGCAGCCAGTCAGCAGCAGCCAGCAACTTTTAACAGCTCTTAACAAGATGGAAATAAGGTGGAAAAATGATATTTTTGTAGGATTTCAGAAGGGACGTTCCGGCCCCGAAAAACGTAGATTTTGGCATCGATTCGTCCTTTAGGGCCATGCTGTTTTACTGCCGGGAGGTGTTTCGCAGGCGTTCGCCAGCAGTAGCAGTATAACAGTAAGAGCAGCGGCAGCCGTGCAGCAGCTAGCAGCCAGTCAGCAGCAGCCAGCAGCTTTTAACAGCTCTTAACAAGATGGAAATAAGGTGGCAAAATGATATTTTTGTAGGATTTCACAAGGGACGTTCCGGCCCCGAAAAACGTAGATTTTGGCATCGGTTCGTCCTTTAGGGCCATGCTGTTTTACTGCCGGGAATTGTTTCGCGGGCGTTCGCCAGCAGCAGCACTAAGAGCAGCCGCAGCAGTGCAGCAGCTAGCAGCCAGCCAGCAGCAGCCAGCAGCTTTTAACAGCTTGTAACAAGGTGGAAATAAGGTGGAAATAAGGTGGAAAAATGATATTTTTGTAGGAGGGACGTTCCGGTCTCGAAAAAAGTAGATTTTGGCATCGGTTCGTCCTTTAGGGCCATGCTGTTTTACTGCCGGGAGGTGTTTCGCAGGCGAGAGCAGCGGCAGCCGTGCAGCAGCTAGCAGCCAGTCAGCAGCAGCCAGCAGCTTTTAACAGCTCTTAACAAGATGGAAATAAGGTGGAAAATGATATTTTTGTAGGATTTCAGAAGGAACGTTCCGGCCCCGAAAAACGTAGATTTTGGCATCGGTTCGTCCTTTAGGGCCATGCTGTTTTACTGCCGGGAGGTGTTTCGCAGGCGTTCGCCAAGCACTAAGAGCAGCCGCAGCAGTGCAGCAGCTAGCAGCCAGCCAGCAGCAGCCAGCAGCTTTTAACAGCTTGTAACAAGGCGGAAATAAGGTGGAAAAATGATATTTTTGTAGGAGGGACGTTCCGGTCTCGAAAAACGTAGATTTTGGCATCGGTTCGTCCTTTAGGGCCATACTGTTTTACTGCCGGGAGGTGTTTCGCAGGCGTCCGCCAGCAGTAGCAGTAAGAGCAGCGGCAGCATTGCAGCAGCTAGCAGCCAGCCAGCAGCTTTTAACAGCTTGTAACAAGGTGGAAATAAGGTGGAAAACTGATATATTTTTTTAGGATTTGTAGGATTTCAGTAGAGAGTTTTACTGCCGGGAGGTGTTTAGCAGGCTAAGAGCAGCGGCAGCCGTGCAGCAGCTAGCAGATAGCAGCAGCCAGCAGCTTTTAACAGGTCTTAACAAGGTGGAAATAAGGTGGAAAATTGAACCTGTGCGGCGCAACACTAGCTGTATAATAATAGGGCCAGAAATATCATATATATATATATATCTCTATCTATCTATCTATCTATCTATCTAACTATTATACAGTTACTTAGGTCCATGAACCCATAAAACCATAGGATCAGAATATTAACATGAACACAAATGAAAAACCCATTTACACATGAAAATTCAAACCTATCAAATATATTTCACAACAATATACATAGGAAAAAGGTCGAAAGCCTCAAGCTACGAAACACCGAAGAGTTTTTATGCCAATTTGCTTTGCTTCCTTGCCGATTCTTCCGGGGTCGGCGGCAGGGGCGGCAGCCCTTAAATAATTTGACATATTAACATGTATTATATCATATAATCCCTATCATAATAACTGATTCAAAAGTCCACAGGTATGCAGCCTTTCAAGTTGGTACCTAGCCTCACATCATCTCGCATCCCTGGCAGGATCGCCTCGCCAAAGTTGAAAGTACTGCGGCCAAGAGGTTGCTTGGATGGGCTGAAGCCTGCTGCTTCACAGGCTATGGGTGGGGCAATGACACATGTGTGTGTGAAGTAACATGTGTTGCTCCAACTTAGGCTGATGACACAGATCCAAATGTCTCAGAAGCTACTGCGAACCCTGAGACAATGGGCAAGATTCGTGAGCTGGCCATTTGTGTTCAACTCATGCTTGTCAATTGTTATATACCTATTTTGTCAAAGTACTTGTGGTTCTGTGCCAAGATGTCTCAAGCAGCTAGTGCTTGTTCACGTGTCCTTCCCTGACATACTTCCACCGTTTGCCTGGGCAGGGGTGTGTCGTCGCAAAGTGCTTCCTCGGAACGTGGCACTGGGTCCGGGCACGAAAAAAACGGTGCAAGGAGGCAAGGAGGCAAAGGCTGAGAATCCCAAGGAATGAATACCTCAACGTGGCTTTTGGAGCTCATGTGATCCTGTATTTGCCAGGTGATAGACTACCATTGCTGCTAAACTTCTGTGCTTTTAAGGGGCGTAATTTGCCTGGTAAAAGGTGCAATTATGAATAACCGAGCAATCACAAACTTTCAATTTCGGAATTGATACGGGTCCAGGTTTTTCAGGTACGACACCACAAACCACGGGCACACACAGCGCACACAACGCAAGCAATTTTGAATGAATTGCGTTGAATTGCTTGACGCTGGGACCATGGGTTTTTGTCGGGTTTTTGTCTTAAGGATTTCAAGCAGCTTTGCCCTCTTTCATACTATTCTGGCGACTTGTTCATCCCACACTGGCATGTCATGCAGCTCTTCAGTCGCTGATTCGGTGCTAGTAGCTGGCACCAACAGTTGCAGCATCGGAATCACAACTTGGAACAAAACTACATGGATATGATTCAGTGATGAATCTTCCAAGGACACTTTCCTTGCTCAAGAAAAGTGCCAGGGGCGTTTTTTCTTTTAAAGGGGCTGAAATTGTGTACCCTCACCTAAAAAAAACAAATTTGGCACAGATGGAAATTTTGCAGGGTCGAGCTATTGCCTACATGTTGCATGGCGACGAGGGCTGTGCAGTGATCGTAAGTTTTCAAGGGGTACTTGGATGGCAAAATGATGCTAACCTGCCTATGGATTGCCATGGATGACCTGTTGAATTCCAAGAAAAAATTGGGTTTCTACGTGAAGGTCGAGTTGTGGAGTTTGGGCTGCGCTCCACCATCAAGTTCTTCAGGTTGCTTTGGGAAACTCTGGCTGCCCCGGTCAGTGGCCCAACGAGTTGTGCGTGGGTGGAACATGCTGGAATCTTTGAACAATCGTACTTTACATTTTGTGTGTCAACTACTTGAATATGCATCAAGTAGTGCGATGTATTGTGTACATGTGCCTGTGCAACTTCTTGGTTGGAATGTAGCACAGCTTGCTTCCATGAAAAAAAGCAGAGCCTTTGGTATGTCAGACCTAAAATCCATGTGGAGTCGCATATTTTTGCACCATGGCTAGTAAAAATCAAAATATTATATAGTCGTGTGCACTTTATAAAGATTTTAAATGCACAATCTGAAATCGAGCTAACTATTAAACTAAGTCAGGATCTTGAGTACCAAGTGCTACAAGTAGCTGGATGTGAGATGATGTTGGTATTGCCTCAAACCGGCACGCCTAGACCTCAAATCTGTTGGGGATCATGTGCCTTGCAACGTGGAGTGACGACGATTTCGTAGGGCGCATAGCGGCATAGCGAGATGTGCCCGCAAGGTACATGGACTCCCTCGGCTCTGAGAGCCCCAACGTTGGCGAGACCAAGGTGGCCTGGTGTCCTTGATCACTGGCTGACCGAGGTGGATAGGTTTTGATGTGAAAGATGGAACCGGAAGGCTATGTCTGTGGCAACTGATACGTCAAGTTCTTTTCTGCGCTTGCTGTGGCGCTTCCAAAACTGCGGTTGCAAAAGGGCCAGATGCACTTCAAGCGCTCCGTCCCTGATCGTCCCTGAACATTTTAGCAGAAGCTTACGCCCCGCAAATCATTCAGCAGCGGAAGCGAGGTAGAATTAATGCAAAAACTCAAAGAATTCCAAGGGTTCCCGCGGAGATCGAGTTTCTGCAGTTGCTCAAGTCCTTGGAATGTTCCCGCAGGAATTGTCGTCAAATTGTTGTCACTCAGATAGAGTGTCTGCAGTTGCTCAAGTCCTTGGAATGTTCCTGCAGGAATTGTCGTTAACTTGTTGTTCAACAGATCGAGTGTCTGCAGTTGCTCAAGTCCTTGGAATGTTCCCGCAGGAATTGTCGTCAACTTGTTGTACTCCAGATGGAGTGTCTGCAGTTGCTTAAGTCCTTGGAATGTTCCCGCAGGAATTGTCGTCAACTGGTTGCCGGCCAGATAGAGTTTCTGCAGTTGCTCAAGTCCTTGGAATGTTCCCGCAAGAATTGTCGTCAACTTGTTGCTGCCCAGATAGAGTGTCTGCAGTTGCTCAAGTCCTTGGAATCCCCCCGCAGGAATTGTCGTCAACTGGTTGCCGGCCAGATTGAGTGTCTGCAGTTGACCAAGTCCTTGGAATGTTCCCGCAGGAATTGTCGTCAACTCGTTGCTGTACAGGTAGAGTGTCTGCAGTTGCTCAAGTCCTTGGAATGTTCCTGCAGGAATTGTCGTCAACTTGTTGTTCAACAGATCGAGTGTCTGCAGTTGCTCAAGTCCTTGGAATGTTCCCGCAGGAATTGTCGTCAACTGGTTGCCGGCCAGATAGAGTTTCTGCAGTTGCTCAAGTCCTTGAAATGTTCCCGCAGGAATTGTCGTCAACTTGTTGAGTCTCAGATCGAGTGTCTGCAGTTGCTCAAGTCCTTGGAATGTTCCTGCAGGAATTGTCGTGAACTTGTTGTTCAACAGATCGAGTGTCTGCAGTTGCTCAAGTCCTTGGAATGTTCCCGCAGGAATTGTCGTCAACTTGTTGTACTCCAGATAGAGTGTCTGCTGTTGCTTAAGTCCTTGGAATGTTCCCGCAGGAATTGTCGTCAACTGGTTGCCGGCCAGATAGAGTTTCTGCAGTTGCTCAAGTCCTTGAAATGTTCCCGCAGAAATTGTCGTCAACTTGTTGAGTCTCAGATCGAGTGTCTGCAGTTGCTCAAGTCCTTGGAATGTTCCTGCAGGAATTGTCGTGAACTTGTTGTTCAACAGATCGAGTGTCTGCAGTTGCTCAAGTCCTTGGAATGTTCCGGCAGGAATTGTCCTCAACCAGTTCGACCCTAAGCTGAGCCATCGGAGCTTCTTTAGTCCTGCAAAGGTAGCGGGGTCAATCTTCTGGAGTTGGTTGGAGCTGAAGTCGATCACCTGCAGCTGTTCGTTGTGTCCGAAGATGGCCCCGAGCTCCGTGATGAAATTGCCGTCCACGATGACGTTGCCGCGTTTGTCTCTTTTGCCGCCCAGGAGCAGCTGCTCCAACAGTGGCAGGTGTCGGAGCACTGCGGCCGAGAGCTCGGTGAGCTGGTTCTCGCCTTGGTCGATGCCAATCTGTGGAAAAGAAGAATGGTGAGATTTAGCTGGTTTCGCTCTGTTTAGCTAAAACATGTTCAAAAAAACTGTGTCAAAGAAATGTGTGTTCAGCTGACAAGTGTCTCATCGCTAATAGTTTCAGCTGCTTTAAGCCCCGAAGCGAATCTTCGTGCATTGTTTCCAGCTTAACTCGTGTCAAGTCCAACTGCTCCAATGATGATAGACCTCAAACATCAATTTAATGTATGGCTGCTGTATGAACATCACACATTGTGTCATTGCATGGCTGCTCGAAGCATGCTCGAAGCCTTTGCAGAACTATGCAGAATTGTTCTTTCACCAACGCTGCTCAGAGCTTCCTGCCTTCGAAAAGGCCCGGAGGCAGATGGATCAAGCTGTTGTTCGCCAATGACAGGCGCTGCACATGTCCGAGTTTGCTGAAAGCCTTTGGGTCCACGGCAGTGATGTTCTTCGCAGCGAGGTTCACCTAAAGTTGGTGCGCAGGGGAAGCATATGTAAGAAAAATGCATTGTCCATGAAATTAGATGCACAATATAATGTGTGATAATTCCCATTCAAACATATTCAAACAACATTTAACATTGAAACCTATTGTTAAACATATTTCCATATACAGAAAAACAAACTGCCGGTGGTCCGCCTGGCCTGCGTCTGTCTGAGGACGACTGCAAGGTTGCAGCTGCTAATCTGTTGGCCGGCCGAGCCAACATTTTTAGCGCAATTGCACGGGAAACACCTAGGAGACACAAGTTGCACAGGTACCTGTAATCCCATTCCACGACCTTTTCCTATAGATCTTTTATGAGAACTCACCGATGGAAAAAAGATACAAACGGTTCCCTGAGAGCTTAACGTGAAATCCCGTCCATGGGTCATTGGGAAGACTTCCTGCAAAGGCGCTTGAACAAGTGTCGTCAAATCAAAATCACCACTCACAGTCACTCACGCAAATCTTGTGCGGCAGTCCTGCGTCACAAGGAGCGTTATCAGCATCGACAGAAGCCCAATGGAAAGGGAGCACCCAAATAGTCTTGGAAGGCATCGAGACTTTTGGCGCTCGCCCCTGACATGGTGCTTGCTGCTGTGAGTTCACAAGCAACGAAAACTGACATCATCTGACATGTTTACATGGCAAGATATGGCATGGCAAGCTGTTTAGTCTTGCTGTCGCCTGGGTCGCACTGGCAAACGCCAATTAGTGTGCTGCAAAATGTGTGCAATGCAGCATGCATGCGCCAAGTTGAAATACACGGCGCAATAGCCCAATAGGTCGGTGGGAAAAGCGAACACGGGGCTGATGCGATTGCCTCAGATTCAAACAAGTTGCAGTGAAGATCCCACTCGCATGGCACAGGTATGCAAAGTTTCACTGGAGACACTCAATGTTGGTTGACGCACGACCAACCATTCTGGAGCTTAGTTTCTGAATTGCAACGTCAAGTCTTCGCCAAAATTTCCCCAACCTTCGGAGGCTGTCCGCAATCGCAGCATGGCCACCAAGACCTTGCAGCAATGACGCTTTCCATTGAAAAGCATCAAGATCTAAAGGACGATTCTCGTGAAATTTGTCAAACCAAATTTAAACCTAGATGCCATACCCAGGTAGGTCAAGATGTAGCCAAGGTCCAGAGCAGCATCCGTAAATGCTGCTCCAATTCGAGCCAAGGCAGTGTCAGGGAACATAAGAAGAAAGGCGGGATAGAGACTGTTCCAACACAGCAGAGCAAAGAAAGCCCAGAAGCCAACACTAAGCCAAAGAATGGCAGTTGCGTCCTGCTCTTCTTGGGCAAAGGTGACGAGGCCCCCCAACAAGGAGATTTTTCCAAAGGCTTGCACCATGACGGTGAGACCTTGCAAAATCGCCACCTTGACGGGGTAGTAAGCTCCGCGCAACCCAAAATATCGCTCCTCGGGTTGCACAAGTCACTAAAAGTTAAATTGATTTGAATTGCACATGATCATGGGCAATTTTTAACGCCAGAATATGATAGACTGCAATCACCCAGACTGGCTAAATCATGCTGTTGCCCAGGAACGTACAGGATCTTCGTCGGTTGAGGCCTTTTCCTTCTTTGCTTCCGACACACCAACTGCTGCAGGAAAACGGCCACCAAAACGAGGTAGGGCAGTGCCAAAAATATGGCCTCAGCTGGGCCGAGGGGGAATTGGCGTCTGATTCAGTCGCACAACTGCAACGTCAACATATGGAACTCTGCAATATTTACCAAATTCCCAGGCCTCCAGGATAGTCTCACCAGACTCCTCTCCTCTGTCCAGCAGCAAGCCATCCAAAACCAAGTCAGGCAATTGGGGCCGGATCCTGCAGGATTTCCGAAACTGCAGCAATTTTTCTGTACAGAAGAATTTTCCGAGCTGACAATGACTTAGACAATAGTTCTGAAATGGGACTCTGACAAGACTGGTCAACACATAGACCAGTTAGTGGCCAAAGTATTGGAGAATGCATGAGAACAATTGGGAACGGGTCTCCTGTGAGCATAGCGTAGGAAATATTGAAGCGCCATGAACATGGACATGGCCAAAGCCAGAACTTGCAAGAAGATTGTCCCTGCAAGGACCAAAGGTCTGCGAACGTCAGACACGGAATTCCAAAGCCTAGCAGCTCGCAAGGCCAGAGGTTCGCTCAGAATCATGGTTTCACGCTGAAGGCTCAACCTTGCTGAATGAATATTGAGCAAGGTTGCAGCAAGGTCGATTCCCGGCCTTAATGAAGTCTCCCACTTGGATTTCATGTCATCTAGCAACCCAAACTGCGCAGCCAACTTCGTCACGCTGCTCAGCTCATTGTCCATCCTGTTTGCAGCTCATTGTCCACCCTATTCTGTTTTAGAATGTCTTAGAACTTAGTCGATTTAAACAAGGCACATCAAGTCGCAAAGGCACATGGTGCTCTACTGTTCCCATGGTGTTCTACCGGTCCCATGTCAAGTTCTCGGCACCACTTCCCTGCTCCGAAGGAGATCCAACCCTGTGGGTTTGCCCCAGATCGCCTCGTGAGGAACGCATCCATGAGAAAAACCGAAGCAAAATAATTCTCCATCTGCAGGATCACCTGGCAACAAATGTGCAATCCTGACCTCAAACAAGTTGTGAGAATCCGTGCGACATTGTATACATTGTATAGATTTGCTGATCAGCCAGGGTTTTTCAATGTTTTTCTCCCGCGCCGTAACTGTGAAGATGCATCCAGTAGTCCAATGAAGGTTCCTCTGAAATTATTCATGAAAACTCCATTGCATCGACCCATCGACCCATCGACCCATCGACCCATGGACCAATCCGCCTGGCAGCACTTGTGGCCGCTCATCTCCGCAAAGGTATCCTGAACTGCAGCGATTTGCAGGGAAGCCAGGTCTTCGCTCTGGATTCTGTCCTCAAATTCCGACGCGAAGTGCATGTTTGGCTCAATGGCGAAGCCCTCCCCTTCTGCCACTCACGGCAATAGTTACTTTAAATTTTCAGGTTTGAGCCGTGATGGGAAAGTTGACAAACTTATAACACCAAGACACCTCCAAGCCCTTGAACGCCTCCTGCACTCCCAGCATGTCTTCGCACACCAGTTCACATCGCAAGGCGTCCAACACTTTCTCTGGGCCTGGCAAAGGAGCTTGAGCCCTTCAAACATCTTCAAACCATGTAAAAGGGCGTACGAGCGCTGCATGCGCCGCATCTATGGTACATTGAAAAATAAAAACTCTAGGTCCAAATGCACATGTCTGGTCAAAGCATGATTATGACATGCCAGTTGAGAGATGCATAGCAGAACTCTCAGAGTTTACGCAGTTCTAATTTGCGCGGCTTCCTGCACAAGGTCTCAAACAACACAACTTAGAAGCAGTGGCACGGGCAAAGCCTTTCCAAAAGTTCTACTTGTTCCCCCAAGCATTCTGTCAACTTTACGGCGAGGACACAACACATGGTACATGGTGGAGGTGCTTTGCTGCTCTTCGTTGCTCAAATGCGTCAAGAGTTTGATCTTCACAGTTGCATTGGGAAGCACCAACTTCATGGCTCTCCTGGGAAAGAAACATGCCCAGAAGTAGGCTGAGGAAATCGGGGCTGGTTTGCCAAGCAAGACACAAAAAATGAGATACACTGGATTACATCGGATACATGGCAATGGCATGGCATGTTTCATTAACCTTTAACCTGGTTTTCATTTGATGCCTTCGCTGCGCAATCTAGGACCTAAAAAGTGAAAGAGGCATTTTTAGAGAACAGATTTCACCATATCTAAAAAACATCTAACAAGAGCCACAGGAAACATAACATGTAGAATAATCTAAACATGTTCCGTCTTCCCCTTCGATGGATTTCTACAGATTTGCCTAGGAGGCTTGGCCTGGTGAATTGTTCCAGACTTATCCAAATTTTGGGTGAATATTGTCAACGGTCTTTCTGGAGCATGGGAGTCTTTGTTAGGATGTTAATTTTTGCAAACTCAAATAACGTAGGCATAGCTCAAAGCCGACAAGACGCAGAAAGAGAGGAAGGCGGCTTTGCGCATCCCTGTAAATCGCACTCCTGCAAAGCGAAGAAACCCAAGACAAAGGATTGATTGGGACAAGAATCTTCTCGAAACAGACATAATGGTCCCATGAAAACATCCGATGGCCAACAGATTCCAGGAAACATCCGAAAACCATGCTTTCGTTGGAAATGAAAGTCCCCAAAAGCTCTGGTTAGGCTAATTTCTAGCTATTAGGTTGTTTCAGTTTTGAAGGTTATTTTCTATCTATTAGGTTATTTCATTTCTTGACTATTAGGCTGTTTGTCTTGCCCAAATAGGCTATTTATATGAATAACCTATTTTTTCTGTAGGTTATTTATGTGAAAGGCCTTGCGTTCTGTTTGTTGTTTTGATGAAAAAACTACGTTTGTTTCAGATTGTTTCTTTGAAAAACAGACTTGTTTTATCAACCACCTCAAAGATGCTCAGCATTTTGTGAATATAATTGGAAGAAAAAGTTCGAAGAAAATCAAGACAGGTCACAAAAGAAAACAAGAGTAACTTGATGTCTTTCTCAAGTTTAGGTTGAAAAATTGGTTCAAGATCTTTTGTGAAGTTTTGGGAGTTTCTGGAGGCCCACGGTTTCAGTTGTAGTGATGCTTGGCTAGATCAAATACAAGAGCATCAGCTCAGGAATGGCACCTATGTTGGGGCTATCCTGCACATTTTTGGCATGCGTATTTGATAGACCTGGTTGGAAGCTGTATATATTCGAAACCAAGTCATGGACCTTTGGTGGGCCCATGTTGGGTCACTTGATGGCTCTGCTGGGCCTATGTTCGGCCTATCTTCAGCCAATTTGAACCCAGACCTAAGAAAAATTAGGTCTGAGTTGAGGAAAACCGCCCTTTTTGGGCCATGCCCCAGCCATATTGGGCCTATCCTGTGCCAAGTTGGGGGTATGTTGGGCCAATCTTGCAGCAATTGGCACATCCACTGCTTGGGCTACATGTTGCCATTTTTCATTGTATAAAGTTAAATTTGACATGACGCATTTTTTCACTTAAAATGAGGCTGTCCAGCAACATGCAAATATATCAGTGGAATATTTTGTTTGGATGGGCAAACCAACAAGGGATGGAAACAAAAGAACAATGTATGTGTATGTGAGTGTATACATATATATATATACATATTGATTTAATGCTTTATCTATTTATGTATTTGATTATTTCATTTTATCTATTTCTGCATCTATGAATTTGTATCGATGCATGTACATCTATATATAAACATGTGCTGCAACAATGGCAATGGACAGTTTTTTTCTGGGCGCCAAACCAGCACAAAATGGAGGGAAACAAACATGATTTTAAACATTTTTTTCAAAACAAAATTTCCTTGAATTAAAAACATGCAAAACGAAACGCACAAGATGATAAATCAACAATTGTGAAAACAAAGGTTGAACACATAATTTGCAAGCTGCATTGGTGTGGAAAAACGGATTTCATCAAAAATCGTAAGAATACATTGGAATTCATGGGTGCTCCTGGGTCTTCATGTGCGTTCATGGGTGCTCACTTGTGCTCACCGGTGTTCATGTGTTTTTGCTTGGTTGTTTGGTTGTTCCCCACCTGCCAGGTGAGGGTTGTTAGGTTTTATCAGAGCTGTTCTCGGCTAGCTTCTCCTCCTCCTCCTCCTCGTCCTCCTTCTCCTCCTCCGCTCCTCCTCGCTTCCTCGTCCTCCACCTCTGCCTCCAGCTTGCCAACTCTTCGCCAAGCTCTTCGCCAAGCTCTTCGCCAAGCTCTTCGCCAACGTCCGAGCTCAGTGTGCACCGCTGGACCTCAACCTGTGACTTTCCCAGCTCAGTGTGCACCGCTGGACAACCTGGGACCTGCCCAGCTCAGTGTGCACCGCTGGACCTCAACCTGTGGACCTGCCCAGCTCAGTGTGCACCGCTGGACCTCAACCTGTAACCTGTCCAGATATGCCAGAAGATATGCCGGATGGAGTGCCAGAAGATATGCCAGAAGATATGCCAGATAGAGTGCCAGAAGATATGCCAGATAGAGTGCCAGAAGATGTGCCAGAAGGTATGCCAGATAAAGTGCCAGAATGTTTGCCAGATAGAATGCCAGATAAAATGTCAGATAGAATGCCAGAAGATATGCCAGATAAAGTGCCAGAATGTTTGCCAGATAGAATGCCAGAAGATATGTCAGATAGAATGCCAGAAGATATGCTAGTAACAAAACGTATAAATGTTTGTGTGTCTAATCAATCTGATGGGATTCGCGAGGTATGTATGTATGTAGTGATGGCCCTAGCCAACACTAAAATGACACAGGATCCCATCGGCCATTACCGATGAAGATTTGCCAGCGCGCTTCAAATCACTGTCTTCCCAGGCCCCGTTACGGGGTGGGTTGGGAGTGCGCAGCTGGGAGCATGAAAAACGGGGACCGAAAACACTCATCCATCGCCATTCTGAAACACAAACCACGTAGTTGCAAGAACACTGCCTATTGTGTCTAATCAATCTGATGGGATTCGCGAGACCTTGCCAGGGACACTGATTTTCATCCAAGAGACTCAAGATTCTGTATGTAGTGATGGCCCTAGCCAACACTAAAATGACACAGGATCCCATCGGCCATTACCGATGAAGATTTGCCAGCGCGCTTCAAATCACTGTCTTCCCACCACCCCCTCAGACTGGAAAGTGTTGAAAATAGCTCCTTCAAACTCATGGAGTCGTGCAACTGTGACTTGCTCAACATTCACTGTTATCGACTTGAACTTGAACAATTTGTCGTACACCGCCCATGGAGAACGATTAATGCTTGCCCATTGCTGTATTCTAGCTGCTGTAACTGGTTGCAATTGTTGACGGGCACGCGCTATGCCCACTTCGCCCTGACGTATGTATTCCCGTGCTGATCTCTCAGTGCTCCAACGCCCATACAACAAAATGTCCGCCAGGGGTAAACCCTGCCGGGCCAGTTCAGACGCCCCGGAGCGTCTAAATGTATGTGTTGTAAGAGACAAATCATCACATCCCAAAAGAAAGGCCAAACGTTTCACCCAACGCAAAGCTGACGAATAAGAGATGGAAAACACTGGTTCACCGTGAGAGACAGGAAAACGCTTGAAATATTGCATAAAGAAAGCTACAACTGAAGGATTGCGCATCACCACCTTCTGTTCAAGTCCGCGTTTCGTCTGACCCAAACAAAGAATGACCTCAGTTGCCTGCAAAACCACATCCTGCTGCCTCAACGCTAGAGCCTCCCTAACTCTGAGCAATCCCGCATAGCATGAAACCATGAGGGCCGCCAGAGCTGGGCGGTTCAATAGCAATGCGACCGCGAACATGGCATGCAACAATTCAGGAGGGGCCGCTGGAGCCTGCTTAGGGGGTTCTTTCTGACCCCATGCATCATATACCTTCCAGGAAGTTCTGAGGCGAACACGTGGACAAACCTTCTGCACTGCCGACAAAGCCCACCCATATTCGGCCCGGTGGTGCCCTGCCTCATAGCCAGACAGGAGCCACTCAGCTACAAATTTGTCCTGATCCTCCTCATCCATATCACTCCACACCAACTGTTGGTCAGCAAGTTCATTGCTGAGGTGTTGAAGTGCCTTGGTGTATTTGTCTATTGTGGATTGCTTCAAGGAGTTGAGCAAGAAAACCTGAACTCGGTCCAGGCCAAACCCACCATCCATACCGACTCTGATTCCATGGAACTGGTGCGGTTTGGTCCCTAATCCTTGGAGCAAAAGGTTTGGAATACGAACGGTTACCAACCAAGTCCAACCGATCTGTAAAATTTTTTGCCAAAGCCCAACAAAGACCACTGGGATATTTAGCTGCCGGTGTGGTACGAAACATGCCATGTTCATCCAATCCAATCAACACTGAATGCTGTTTAGAATGATTGCACTGAGGTGCATGAAGTGTGCAACGTTGTGGCAACAAAAGACCTGTGGGTTTTTTGGTGATGGCTCCAAACATGCATTGATGTATGACTTGATACCGAAGTTGAAACTGCTCACAAAAGGTCTGCGTCTCCTTTGTCGCAAAGAACGACGGGTATGGCTCCCGGCCACGGTCTGCAGGATGTTCCAAACCTACCCAGCCTCCTCGTGCCGCTATCTCCCCCAACATTCCTAGAACAATGAGGAAAAGTGCAGAACCAACCCTAACAGCATGTTCCTCTTTCTCTGTCCGGTTGGGGAGACAGATCCAAGGCTGTAGCCGAGCCCGCAAAGGCCGGGGAGCTGCATGATATGATTGCCCCGGTTTCAAAGGGACATGTCTTGCTGCGGAAATTGTACAACTTGGAGGGGACCCAAAACCACCCAAAACTGACCCAGAATCAATAATATCCAGCAAAAAATTCAGCCATGAATAATCCAAAAGGTCAGCATGACATTGCGGGACATCCGGAAACCCAAATTGTGCCAAGGGATCAACAGCCAGCCCAACGACGTTCATACCAATCTCCGCACATGACTTCTCAACAGCATCTATGAGATCACCATTACGCCTAGGTCCTGAGCAAAGATGGATGAAAAACTTTGTATCGGCCGGCCAAACCCCAAGCTCCCGCAGATCGGATACTGGCTTCGCAGAATCTAACTCAGGAGCGCCCCCGCCAGGCTCACTTCCTCGTTCAAATCGCCTGGACGGTCTGTCTGCTGGATTGTCTTTGCTGGGAACCCAGGGGTAGAAACATTCGTGGCCCCCTGCAATGTTGATGCTAGCCAAGCGCCGACAACGACTGGTCAAAGCCTTGGAACTTGATCGCCCCTTACTAAAGGAACCCACACAGGCTGCCGAGTCTAATGGATGAATGAAACGGCATCCATCGTCCGAAGGCCTCCTCAGCCTATCTTCCGCTGCCCAGCAAATAGCATCTGCCTCACCGAGGGTGATGTGAGTGCTTTCCCAGGGAACCCCAACTTCTGTCCACCGGATTCTCTCGGCCGGCAACCGAACTTTCCTCAAAGGACATGCATGCTCCTCTTTCAATCCTATGCTCCACGGTAGTTTCAAATTGGTATATACTGAAGGATGGTCACTGTACCGGGCCAGAGCCTGCGCCACGTGCGTTGGAATGACCCCAAAGGCTCGGCCAAGGCCTGTCATTGAAGCATCCGTGCACTCAATGCGCTGGCTCCATGGACTTGACAAACTGAACTGTGCAAACCCAATCAGAAGTGCTGACACGCAAAGTTCAACCCAAACATCATCGGGGATGACAACTTTACCGCGCCTGTGATGTCGCACCGAAGCAATCCATGGATAAGCCGCTTGAAAGATTGACCTCAAACACGGTCTAGCTGACTGCATAAACCCATGCTTCCCAATCAACCTGTCAACCACCGCAACCACCACTGTTGACCTCATTAAGATCATCAAAGTGCACTGTAAAAGATGCCTCCGCTTCTCTAGTGAAACCCCGACCCAATGACCTTCAGGATGAACAAAATATCCCTGAACTTCTTCACCTTCATGCGCGTCAACTGATTTCCGATGATTAGGCTCCACACCCCGAAGACACCAGCACTCCTCCGCCCTGGCCAGCCAAGAAGGACCGGAGGGGGGAGAATTGCCCGCATCGACGTGGTCAAGTGCCCAAATGTCATCAATGATTGAACCCCAAATAGGCAACCCTTCTGGCACCACTATGTCTGGATGTAATCGCTGGTGTTGTGGCAGCTCCGCATCAAAAGCAACCACATCAGTCAAACCCTGAGCCCATCCAGCTGATGGCCCGAACCCCATCGGGGCCGAGCGGCATGAAGGATACCGCTCCCCCCCAGAGGCACCTGCACCAGCTCTGATTGGTGGGCCGCACAGCCACTTCCCCCAACGACGTCCTATACGAAGCCGATGGAAGTAATGCCGCGCATCGCGCTTGCTGACCACAATCTTACCCCCAGACGGAACTGTGACACTACGAAGGGAGGGAATATATGCAAACCGTGGCCTAGGCAGGTGCTCCTTGTCCAAAAGCTGATTAACCTGTGGATCAGTGATAACTCTATCCTCATGTTCATCCTTAATAACCGCAAAAGCCCCAGTTAAAATCTTCTTACCACGATGTTTTGCAACCTGATGGCCCCGCTTCAGAGAATGAAGCCCCGCCTTCACGTTCTTCTTGACCAGCAAAGGGTACGTAGCATCCAGCCAGGTATAGCCACGTTTGACGCACCTGGGACGCTTCCGTGAACGAAGCAACAAGCTTTGAGGACAAAGTACCTGTTTGCTCATAATTGGAAAATGATGCGCCAAATGATCTGCTAGAGGAACATCTCCGGCTATGTCAGGAACACCACCTCGCACCCCCAATGCCAGCACTACCCCGCTGCCAGAGTAGAGTTGACTGTGTCGAGAAAAATTGTCAAGCCCCACTGGGCCTAACGTTGGCTCATCTGTCATCACCAGAGCCCTCAGACCACCCTCAATGCGAGAGTGCACCCGTTGGTGAGCTGCGGAGAGCACAGCATCATGCTGCACTGTCCACTCTCCATGCATCCAATTGAGTGCCGCCACCACCAGGTTACCCCCATAGTAGAGACACAGGTCATCAACATTATCCCGCATACCCCAAGACTCCAGCAACTGTGCATCCTTGCTGATCGGAGGCAGTGGAAAAACATGCTGAGGGGAAACACCAGCCTGCTTCCGATATCTCATCTTAGAACCAGACTTCTTGAATTCGGACATGCACTGAGGAGAGCCCGCCACATGGAATGTTGACTGAACCGCTCGACTGAAAGGATGATCAACCATGGCACTCGTGAGAACTTGTGTCAAAGCCCTACTCATCTTGCCAAAAAAATCGCTAAACCCTTCAGATTCATCCAGTCCACCACCCAAGTGCCGCCAGGCCCTCCACAACCTTCCTCCTAGTTGTTGGTGAGGGCGAGCATGCTGGAGCTCGCCAAGGTTCGCCTGTTGTCCACCAACTCGATGGCTTCGGCCCGTTCCCACGAGCCCCCCTTTTGTTTGGCTGACTGAATGGCCAAAATCCGCTGGCACAGCACATCCAGTGCCTGTGAGATTTCCTTCCTGTTCACTGCATCTAAGATCTCTGCCAGTGTCAACACCTCCTTCACGTCCCGCACCTCGGTCAGACCTGAGAACTGATGAGCCCAAGCCGTCACCGACACATCCCTCAGTTGAGAAGAACGGGTCAGCTGACCTTTGGACAACCTCTGGTACACTGATGCTAGGAAGTGAGCCGTCAAGGCACCTGGATGACGGGCCGCAAATGCCACCAGATCTCCACGCTTCTTGAACTTCAGGCCGTCCACATGGGAAAGATCCGAGTAGGTGACCTTCTTGTCTGTGCCATCGGCCTTCCACCGCAGAGGCTTCTTCTTCCCGTTGGAACTGCTGCTGGAAGAGGAACGGGATCTCGACCGGTTGCTGCTGCTGTCCGATGAGCTTGAGCTCCCCGATCCCTTCTTCTTTTTCTTGCTCTTCTTGTGCCTCTTGTCCTTCTTGTCGGACTTTGTCTTCTTCTTCTTCTTCTTGGACCGCTGACTGTTGGATGGACTGAGGGCCATGGCCTGCAACTGCTGCACAGCTGATTCCAATTGCCTCAGATCCACCTGGTTCTGACCAGCGTCTCCCGGGGGCACGATGCCCAGCCCGGCGGCCCCTGGCTGAGGCCCGGCCAAAGCCGCGCCTCCTCCTCCCCCTGGACCAATGGGACCACCCCCCACCGGTGTAAGAGGGACCAGTGCACCAGCCACTCCCGGCTGATTGACCACCCAACCAGTCGCACCCGCCTGATACTGCTGCAAAATCAGATTGGCCTCTGCTGTTCCGTTTGCCACCTCTGCCACTGATGGGACCCACATTGCTGCCCCTGCCGGTGGAGTGCAGATCCAGTTCACATCTCCATGCACCACTCCAGCTGGGGCCTGACGCGACCCATCGGCCTGGATCAGAGGCAAACGAATGAACATACCTACCATATTCACCAGTGTCCAAATCCAATCCACTCCATCGGTGGAAGTTGTCTTGCAAATTCCAACCTGTCCCCCATCTGCATATGCCAGGACTATCACCTCGTCCCATTCCGGAGGACGTGAGATCAATGCAAATGACCCTGGAGGAAGCACAGGCCCTCCAGCGCCCACCACGGCCATCACTGACCAGGTTAGAGTCCGATCTCGCTCTGCTGTCTGTGTTGAAGCCTGTGCCACTATATGAGACCCGTCAAGCCACTGATGGAAATAAGATAGCCAGCCGCTGAGCACTTGTATCAACCCACCCACAACTCGCATGAAAAACGGGGACCGAAAACACTCATCCATCGCCATTCTGAAACACAAACCACGTAGAATGTATAAATGTCATGGTGGGGATAACTCGAAGTAAAGTAATTTGGTTGTTTGTTTTTTTGATTGCTTGATTGTTTTTAAAACCCCACCCATTTTTTTATCTTGAAAAAATGGGATTGAAATGGAGGTCCCTGAGTGACTGTTCAGCTTTGGACGGGATTGGTAATAAACCACAGGCTAGAGAACCCCAAGAGAAACACATTTTGTGAAATTTGTTTGGACGCCGGGCAGCAATATGTTTTAAAAACAAAAACCAAAGGTTGGATGGGGTTTTGCTTGTAAAAAGTAGTGGTGGGCAAAAACATAATTGAGCAAATGCTCTGCAAGGATTTGTAGAAGAAATCCAGGACACAAAGTTTGTGGTTTTGCTTAATGCGCCACCCTTGAAGTGTAAGTTTACTCCAAACTTACACTGGCAAGTGTAAGTTTACACTTGTAAATGTAAGTTTGATGTGAACTTACACTTGCCAGTGTAAGTTTGGAGTAAACTTACACTTCAAGGGCGTAAGTTTACATCAAACTTACACTTCACAAGTTTAAGTTTGATGTAAGTTTGGTGTAAACTTACACCCCATGAAGTGTAAGTTTGATGTAAACTTACACCAAACTTACACCTCAATACCATACAATTTGACCGAAAACGTGTTTTTCTCAATAAAAACAATGGTGTTTTCAAAAAAATGTTTGTTTTTTTCCAAAAATACCGTTTTTTTTTTGAGAAAAATGCATGTTTTCCCAAAGAAAATGTGTTTTTGAGGAAAAAAACTGTCAAGCACACACTTCCTTGGATAGATTGTTCATGATTTTTCCATGTTTAAGCCAATGAAATTGATGGCTGAAGCGCCCAAAGTCATGCAAAACAATTGGATCAACTTTTTCAGGGCATAAATTTGGCATCCAGCAATGCCCAAGTGATTGACTGACTGTGGGTTGCAATGCCTTTTTTTAAAACATGGATTCCGGAAAAACAATCCTTTAGTGATACATTGGCTCTGGGTTGGCCGTACGTTTAAATTTAAAGGCTGGGGACCCCAAATTATAGGTAAACTGTGCGTTTAGCTGCATTCAGAAATAGAAAGGCTGATCATCCCAAGTCATTGGCTAATCTTAGGGTTTGGATGTTTTGTCATGAATATAAATGTCAAGGCTGGAGACTCGCCTTAGTGATGGGTCAGGTTCGCGAAGGCACAGTTGTTGCACTCCAAAGGCGGCGCATGAAGCAAAAACAACAATTTTGTGTCTTGCATTATATACCCAATTTTGCACATTGAATACATCCAATTGTCACCAAACACTTGATCGATTTTTTCCTACCACTACAAGTGAAATGCCATCCAAACCTTGACATGTTTTGGTTTATAAAATTGCTGCTGCCCATGATTAAAGTGATTTCGCAAAGTGTTTTTCAAACCCAAGGTTTGCCAAACATTTGGGGTTCTCCAGCCTTTAAATGTATTACAAAAAATCGAAAACAATCCAGTCCAAGGTTGAACAATCACTCAGGGACCTCCTCTTAAAACCTATGTTTATCTCAATAAATGGACGGATGGAAAAAACATCAAACAAACATGAACACCGGTGAGCGCCCATGAACACCCATGAACACCCATGACCACCCATGAATTTAAATGTATTCCGTTGTGTTTTCATTGATTTTTTCCAAAGCAATGCAGTTTGCAAATTATATGTCCAGCCTTTGTTTTCAAAATGGTTGATTTATCATCCTGGGTGTTTGGTCTTGAATGTTTTTAAGTCAAAGTATTTTGTTGAAACAACTTGAAAAATCATGATATGTGTGTTTTTTTTTATCCTGTGCTGGTTTGGCACCCAGAAAAAAACTATCCATTGCGATTGTTGCAGCACATTTTTATATATAGATATAAATATATAGACCTATAGATAAATAAGTAGATAAACGAATATATTTACATATAAATATATATATATATGCTGTTTTGTGTGTCCATCCCTTGTTGGTTTGCCCATCCAAACAAATATGCCACTGATATATTTGCATGTTGCTGGACAGCCTCATTTTAAGTCAAAAAAATGCGTCATGTCAAATTTAACTTTATACAATGAAAAATGGCGACATGTAGCCCAAGCAGTGGATGTGCCAATTGCTGCAAGATAGGCCCAACATATCCCCAACTTGGCACAGGATAGGCCCAATATGGCTGGGGCATGGCCCAAAAAGGACGGTTTTCTCAACCCAGACCTAATTTTTCTTAGGTCTGGGTTCAAATTAACTGAAAATAAACCCAAATGGTGGCATTTTTTTCCTCAAAATACACCGAACATAGGCTCAGCAGAGCCATCAAGTGACCCAACATGGGCCCACCAAAGGCCCATGACATGGTTTCGAATATATACAGCTTCCAACCAGGTCTATCAAATACACATGCCAAAAATGTGCAGGATAGCCCCAACATAGGTGCCATTCCTAAGCTGATGCTCTTGTATTTGATCTAGCCAAGCATCACTACAACTGAAACCGTGGGCCTCCAGAAACGCCCAAAACTTCACAAAAGATCTTGAACCATTTTTTCGACCTAACTTTGAGAAAGAAATCAAGTTACGCTTGTTTTCTTTTGTGACCTGTTTTGATTTTCTTCGAACGTCTGCTTCCAATTATATTCACAAAATGCTGAGCATCTTTGAGGTGGTTGATAACAAAGTCTGTTTTTCAAAGAAGCAGTCTGAAGAAAAAAACGTAGCTTATTCATTTAAACAACAAACAGAAAAATGCTACTCCCCAGAAAATCAACTTAAAAAAGATTTTTTTGCAATACGTTAGTTATCTTTTTTCGTTGAACAGGGCTAACATAGCATCTGAAATCTAGCATGTTCATGGGATCATTGTATGAGTAACTCAGCATCTCCAGCTGCTTGCCTGCTGCTTGCTGCTGCTTGCTGCTGCTTCTTCTTGCCTGCTGCTTGCCTGCTGCTTGCTGCTGCTTGCTGCTGCATCTTCTTGCCTGCTGCTTGCTGTTGCTTGCTGCTGCTTCCTGCTGCTTGCCTGCTGCTTGCGGGTCGAAGCTTGGAGCCGGCCGTTTTTGGATCGAAGTCCTCGATCGAGCCAGCCGTCGTCGGGTTTTTTTAAAGAAAACCGATGCTAACATAGCATCTCTTCTGCCTCCAGGATTCTAGCTGCTTGCCTGCTGCTTGCTGCTGCATCTTCTTGCCTGCTGCTTGCCTGCTGCTTGCTGTTGCTTGCTGCTGCTTCCTGCTGCTTGCCTGCTGCTTGCGGGTCGAAGCTTGGAGCCGGCCGTTTTTGGATCGAAGTCCTCGATCGAGCCAGCCGTCGTCGGATTTTTTTAAAGAAAACCGATGCTAACATAGCATCTCTTCTGCCTCCAGGATTCTAGCTGCTTGCCTGCTGCTTGCTGCTGCTTGCTGCTGCATCTTCTTGCCTGCTGCTTGCCTGCTGCTTGCCTGCTGCTTGCTGTTGCTTGCTGCTGCTTCCTGCTGCTTGCCTGCTGCTTGCGGGTCGAAGCTTGGAGCCAGCCGTTGTTGGATCGAAGTCCTCGAGCCAGCCGTTGTCTCAATTCTTCTAAGCAAAGTGATGCTAACATAGCATCTCTTCCGCCTCGAGAATTCTAGCTGCTTGCCTGCTGCTTGCCTGCTGCTTGCCTGCTGCTTGCCTGCTGCTTGCTGCTGCTTCTTCTTGCCTGCTACTTGCCTGCTGCTTGCCTGCTGCTTGCTGCTGCTTGCTGCTGCTTACCTGCTGCTGTGCCATGGTGATTCTTCTTTTCTGATGTGACTTCCCACTACCTGATGTGGCTCTTCTGTATCCCCGCCGTGCCATGGGGATGTGCCTTTTCCCGCCTGATGTGACTTAAGTACGGAGCTCGTATGTGCTTAACATAGCATCTCCAGACCTTTGCCAGCTCAATTAAATGGAATGAGCTATGGGGAAACAATGGGCGCCTAACATAACAGCTGTACAACATGTTCAAGAACAAGTTTTGGACCTGTTTTCTGACTTTTTCTGACCAAATCGATGCTAACATAGCATTTCTGTCTTCCAGGATTCTAGCTTGGTCAGTATCTTTCAGGTGCCAGGTTAGCACCAATCGCAGTTTGTTGATCTCCATTTCCTGGGGAATGCACAAATTATTCGCTCAACGGCGCCGGATGCTATGTTAATGAGTTGGTGCCCAATGGGCCCAAAATCTACCTAATTCCTTTTCCCCAGGCCGCACAACGGTACCGGATGCTATGTTAGTGAGTCGGTGCCAGAGCTGATCTGGGCTATGTATTTTAGCATTCTGACTATTAGGTAAAACACTTGTTTTACCTAATAGTTAAAAACAAATTTTAACTAATAGTCAGGAAACAAGATATAACCTAATAGTTAGAAATTAGCCTAACCAGAGCTTTTGGGTCATCCCAGCATCGACCCGCATGACTATAACCAAGCTACGAATCAACCAAACCCTAAATTCAAAATTACTTTGCTTCGAGTGATCCCCACCATGACATTTCAAAACAGCTTGTTGACACCACTTTTGTCTGAAGCTTTTGTCACGGGACTTTTGCCCAACTAACTATCCCAATCATTTGTTTCACCTGGCAGGTCATTGTGCATGTCAGACTGTCAAACAGGATATAAACATGTCAGTGGGCCATGTGAAGTAAACTCCAGAGCGCACAAGTAATATATCACATACTTGTCTGACATTCTTTCTAACTTTCTTCTGCACATTCTTTGTCCCATATCTTCCTACATGAGGTCCGGCAGGGAACACTTGGCATGGATACTCGCGGTTGAGGTCCGGCAGGGAACACTGGGCGTGGATGGTCGCGGTTGAGGTCCGGCAGGGAACACTGGGCGTGGATGGTCGTGGTTGAGGTCCGGCAGGGAACACTGGGCGTGGATGGTCATGGTTGAGGTCCGGCAGGGCACACTGACGTGGGTGGTCGTGATTGAGGTCCGGCAGGGAACACTTGGATGGGCAGGCCTCTTGTATCTAGATGGCACAGTTGTATCTGCTTAGCGCACTTGTAAGTGTAGTTGTTGCAGTTAGCACAAGTTGCCTAAGTGCACTTAGCGAACTTGGGTATGTCGAACTTAGCTCACTTGGAGACGCACTTGTAACTTACTTAGCTAAGTAGGCTAAGTAGGTCGCATGGTGGAAAACATATATTTTTCATGGGGCTCCACGATTTAAAAAAATCGCGCGGGGCATGTATATACAAAGGATTCCTATAAACAACACACGTTTCTTAGACCTGTGAAACTAAAAAACACTTACCCAAGGCGTATAGTGAAAGTACCACCGGGAAAGAATACACGTTCAAATTTTGTGGGCCACATGAAAACGATACCCCTCACGTGGTTTTGTTTCTTGATGGGCGGTATTTAAAAAGATGTTCCATCTTCCACCAAAAAAATGGGACGGTTTTGATTTTTGAAAAATAGCCAAAAAGATTGGCATAGTTGAAAAACCATCCAACCCCATGTGGCTTCATGACCCTCCATTCTGATATGGGTACATAAAAGGTGTAAATATAACTATAAGACATCCCAGGGATGGAATATCTCACTGACATCTATATAGAGGAATCCAACCAACATACTATTCCCAATATTTTTTAAAAAAAAACATCTCAATCTACATGGTGTTGCCCTAAAACTTAGGTGTAAACCGCCCATAAAAACCAACTGATATTGCCCCACAAGGTATACAGGCACCAAATCTTTTATACTGTATATCTATAAACAACCAAAACATAGTTATATATATATCTAATAATATTTATATAATGATATAATTTTAGAATATAATTATATATATATAATTCAATATATATATATATATATAATTATAAATATATATAATTATATATATATATACCCAACGTCACCGGGCGGCAACAGCTGCCCTGCGTGTGGCAGCCGCGGCAGCCTGCATTGCAGGCAGCACAGGGGTTTGTGGCCCCTGATTTGGGGTTGGGGATTAATTTATTATAATGGTGCCAGGATGGCATAGGTAATATTTACCACATATTTCTAAACCAGAGAAATGGAAACCTGTTTCCTGGATGGTATTATGTTCATATTTACCAAGTATTTCAATTTTCCTTTTTTGTATATATATATATATAGATATGTATTGGGGTTGCTACATTGAAATGGGAAAACGCGCAACGGATGACAACGGTTTTTAAAATTATACCGGAATAGATCACCAGATAGCACCTAGTGAGATATCATATTTAATGGCGTTACATATGTAGCCTTGGGGCCCAATTCTAATTGAATATGGGGTTTTAAAGGTTTCTTCAAATGGGCGATCTCAAAACCATGGGGTTCAATACTACAATTGTCCAATGGCTTGGATGAGCTGGGGTACCCCCATATAGGACACCTCCAGTATAGGTTTGTTGCAAACCCGAAGTTATACGCAACCATGATTGAGTGAAGTATATTATATATATATTCGCGATAAACCCATGTTCGGAAATCTAAAGCACGTAAATTACTAACTCACCATGCCATAATAATCCAAAGGGGGCCTATACCCGTACTTAACCACATTGGAAAACATTAACGATAATAAGGGAAACATTTAATATCCTAAGACTTGAAGGGATAATCCCATTTGGTATAACCCCACAAGAACCTCCAAAAAAACAATATTTATATGGTCCCATTAATAAGGGGGGAACAAGGACTCGTATGCTGCTCTTGGTTGCAACTTCACATCAAACAAAGCAGGGCTACACAAAGCTCGTGGATAAACAAATGATTGGCCACATGTTCGAAAATCGCAGGGCTGAACAAAGCTCGCGGACGCAGGGGCTAACAACAGCCTCGCGTTTTTTCAGCCCCACTTTCAGGGCGCGACCCTGGCAATTTGCTGGTCACCTTCCAGCCGATACACTAAGCACCTCTGGATGGTTCTTGTTTCTATGAACTCAGGATCTTCCTTGACCTTAAAGGTGTTGGGAGAACCCTGCACTGGAAGCCACGGAGCCCAAATGGTGTAGAGGGTCCCACGGGCCTCAATATGAAACCACACCATGCCTACAGATTCTTGGCCACAGGTTGTTTTCACTAGGACTACATCATTTACAGAACAAAGCTCGGTTGGCTTGAGGACAACATCGTGTGATGCTGAAACATCTAAAGGCTCTGATGCTTTCAGCCCCAAAAAAAGCTTGACATGTTCTGTTAAAGCCAATGAAGCTGATTTTGGTGACACAAGCGCGAAACTTTGTTTCGTCTGATCTTCCTTGAGTGCGGTGGACTGAAGAAGAACCACCTCCTCCAATAAGCTTTTTTCATAGGAGGTTCCCTGAGAGTGATTCGTTTGGGCATTGGCAAATCGTTTGACTTGCTTGTGTTTCCTTTCGTGGCAGAAACAACTCAACAGTTTGGGATGATTCTCAACATGTTGAAAGAGATGCCCACCATAGTGCATCTTTGGCTGGTAATTCTCACCACCATGCGCAGCCAGTCTCAGCTGCTGGTGGGTTTGCACTGCAGACTTGAGCTCATATGAAGATATCTCTTCAGACATGCTTCTCCTAAGCAAATCTAACACCTGGCAAGCAGCCAAGAAACTGCGCACTGCAAAAGATGGCTGTGGCGGCAGAAGGCTCAGATCGGGAAACTTGCTGACCACTGCCAACCGCACAACACCGTAGACAGACAACAACTCTGAAGCTGAAGCCTTCAGCTCTCCGGAATTAGCAGTGCGTTTCTCGAAGAGTCGGTAGCCAGTCATACTTGCTGCCTGAATCTTTTTTGGCCACACGCAGGCTGTGACAAACTGATGAAGCTCATCATTGCCTGGTAAGAAAGTTGATCAGCTAGAACAAACCACCATAACACATGTTCCAGCACGGGAGATATAAAAGTATATTCAGGAAATGATGGAGGGAAACAAATCAAAATCATACCCCAGAATTAAATGGCCAGTGACTGAGCAATCCTCCCAATGACTCCATCATCAAGCCTATCTCATGGTTCATGGCCCAGAAACGCAATAACAATGCATCCAGTCAAACTGCAAACTGCCCAATGGACCATGTAGGAACCGAGAATGGAACTGGTCATCGTACATGGCTCCCTCTGGTTGATACAGCAGCCCCAAATTTTTCTCCAAGGCCTCGAATTTGGATTTGTTCAAGACGCTGTGTTGCGTTCTCAGCAAGTGCATGGCCTCTCTGATGGAGTCCGCGGTATGAGGCACCATGAGAGCTGTGTTGCTCTCCGTATGTGGGATGAGAAATCCTGATTGGTCATGGGTGTGCAAATCACTTGACCACTGACATACGTTGCGGCAGAGCGGACAAGGCAATGTGCCTGCCGCTCCTTTGAAGCTCAGGCAATTTTTTAATGCTACTTCATCTCCCAGAATTACAGCCAGCCGCCCATGCCACATGACCCTTGTCTCCACAAGTGGCAGCATCACTCCATTCTGCATGGAATATGGGAAGGCGTAGAATTTTTCCACCACAAGTTTGAACAACTGAGCAGTTCCAGACTTCATTTTTTGACCTCTGATGATCTAACCGCCAGAATGTGTAGCCAGAAATCTTCATCGCTGCAAAAATACCACAGTTCAGCTATTGACCAGTACCAGCATTGTCACTTCCTGTCGTTTGTTACACGTAATGGGTTTCCAGGTAGGATTTCATCCTGGTATATGCAAACACTGTGTGGCGTCTGCAATGAAGGCTGGTGCTTGGCGACTTGTTTTCGGAACGCATCCCTGAACCCAACGCACTCAGTGCAGAGAAACCACAGCAGTGCCATGGGGTTAATCATAGGGTATTTCTTGTTTGGACCCTTCAGCATTTCCACCTCAACTTCACCCCAAAGAGGCCCCAACGGTGTGTCCTTTGGAAGAGCCAGCGACCTTTCCCGTTTCACCGTCCTCCTGCTCACCGCACTTGGGAGCCCATGTTGTCGGACATGTTGCAGAACTGCAACCAACCCTGATTGCGTCACAAAGGACTTGTGGTGACCTGAGACGAAAACTGACCTTGGATCCTTTTTGTCGGCGGGCTCACCCATGAGACCCTGCCGCGCGAGTCCACGCGTGGCATGAACCCTGCGATTAACTTGTGTGAAAATTGTGTTCAATCATGTGGTAAACTTGGAAGCTTCTAAGAGTTTGTCATGAATCACCTTTGCACAAATGACTGGGTGATAACTACATGCACCCTATGATCTGTTTACCACTTCATCAGGCTTCAAGCTTGAGAATGAAACCTTCAGCCATGAACGTTTGGATGCAAATGCGGTAACCCCTTCATCAGGCTTCAAGCTTGAGAATGATTCAGCCGCGAATGTTTTGATTTATCTCCCGTGAGAACGAACCATGCAGAAAATCCCCTATCCCATGTTCGTGTCGAAGGGCTCGGCCTGGTCTTGGTCACGAAGATGAAGCCTGGGCGCCGATGGGTGTTGGTTGCACAACTATGGTATCCGGGGAAGAAAGGGCAGGTCCATTGGTATCTACATACCATGAAGGAGTCAGGAAACTCAGAAGGTAAGAAATACTTGGATGTAATTAGGAGGAGGTTCAGGTTGCAGAAAACCACGGTCACAATTTTAAGTCTTCATTGCCTCGAAAGGGTCTCTTGCCCCACATGGGTAAGCGCTTTCCAATCTTTGGAACTGGGTGTATGTATAGCAGTGTCATGCCAGCAGCCCCATGCATCCCGTCACCACCAACAAACCATGGCAGAAAACAACCTTAGTATAATATATAAGTATGTATGTGTGTATATATATATATAAATGTATGAATATATAATAGTTGTAATATACAAAAACGAAACTATCTGAAATCAAAACATGTCAGCAGCTGAAGGATGCGACCCATGCTGATTGACAAGGTGCTTTATACAAACAAAAGCTATCATCGTAGCTTCAACGCTGTCGATCAGAATAGTTCAATGTGCGGTGAGCAGCAGCTCATGCCAATCAATCGAAGCAACGATAGGACTCAGAACTTGCGGTCATTCCAGCAGGACTTGGTGCATCCAGTTCGGAATCTGCATTTGCTGCACCCGTTTGGGTACAGCTTCGTCCTGAAGGTTGGGGTCAGAACCCTGCCATTCACCGTGAAAGGTTCGAGAGGACGTTGACCTCTGCTCATCACTGCCACAGGCGGCACAGGGGCTGCTTTGGCCTTCCCCTTGGCTTTGGGCTTGGGAGGAGCCTTTGCCTTAGGTGCACTCTTGGTGCTTCCCTTGGCCTTGGCAGTGGCCTTTGCCTTTGACTTTGGCTTGGGCCCCTTATCAACCTTTCTGTTCTGCGTGGCATCGGCCACCATCTGTGCCTGCTCTTGTGCTGACACAACAGGACGGTCATTCATGGGCTCTGAAGTCACAGCAGGCAACTGCAGCACAGTTCGCTGCTGAGGAGTGGCAACTTGTTGAACAGTTGCCTTGGGCACCTCAGCTGCAGGCTCTGATGGAGCAGCTGCAGGCTCTGATGGAGCAGCTGCAGCTGATGGAGCAGCTGCAGTTGACGCAACTGCAGTCTCTGCAGGTTGAGTCTGATCAGTCAATGCCAGCTGTTTCTTCTGGCCACAGGTTTTGGGCTTGAAAAGATGGAGACCTGGTAGTTCTGCAGCTTGACCTTGTCCTGTCATGCACTGCATGAACATCTGCTGCTGCTGCATCATCATGTTCATGAGCATGCCCTGCACACCACCGGCTGCACCTGATCCGGATGCCATGGCCAGATCTGGGACCCTGTTCTTGGCAAGCCTTTTGTTGTGGTGCCTAAGAGGTCCAAGAGGCCTCAAGTCATCAGGTCCCACATTGACACGTGCCGCTGGATCAGCTTGATCCCAGCCACTAGCAAGCAGCTCCTTTGGCAAGTCATGGGGATCCACAGGGTACTGCAAGAGATGCACTGCAGGTTTTGGTGCCACCTTCTTCTTGTTCTTCAAAGCCTTTTTGTAATCTTCGAGCATGGTTTTGAGTTCATCATCAGAGCTTTGATGATGCACCATGGACACAATTGCGCCAAGGCACGTCTCTGCTGGGCAATGAAGTCCGATCCGAAGCATTCTGCTGGTGATCACGTCCACTTTTGCGAGGTACGAAGTCTCGCTTGACTCCAAAGCCGAGAGGTCACCAGCAGATAGGTAGGCCTTGAAGTTCCCACAAGCCTGGAGCCCCCTTCTGGTGTTCTGGCCATTTCGGACCAACACACTGTTGACCGCCTGGTTGAGGCGGTCCCGCTGTGCATTGGTCCACGGGCCTGCGGCTATCTGTGTCGCAAGCTCGACAGCCAGGCCCGGAGTCATCACCATCCCACCCAACCTCTGGCACCAGGTGACCACCTGTTGCTCCTGAGCATCCGGGTTGTTCATTGTGCTCACAAACCTACCTGTAGCTTCAAGGTCTCGCACGACATCCATGGTTCACAGTGCCAGTCGTATACACGCTCAGAACAAGAATTTCTGCGATAAGATGTGGCCAGATCAATTGAAAGGCAATGAGTCAAAAATGAAGGCCAATGATTCTCATCAAGCTGTGAAACCCTTTCAAATGAAAGGTTATGCACTGACTGGTGTTGCACAACATATGACTAAATACTAGTGACATCACTATATGGGCACGAGCTCTGGCAGCCCTGCGTCCGCGAGACCCGGTCAGGTGACCTTGTCCCTGCTTTTTGTTTTGCACCAACGACTCATCTATACACTGGGTCTATGTGTGATGATCCTGTGCAATCAACGCAATCAAAAACAGCGCCTAAGTCTGAGGAGACTTGATGGATGCTACTCAGCCGGGGTTGAGCTATGCCAAGAGCACCACTGCAGGCGGGTCCATCGAAGAACGCCCTCACGGCTGGAGATGGACGCCCTTGTAGTTCTGGTCAACATAGACCTGCACCTGCTTCTGCTTGCCAATGATGCGACCGCAAGAGGTGCATGTGAGATTTACAGGAGGTGTGAGGGCTATAGAGCAGGGCACATGTGCTCGCTCCAGCAGGGATGTCACCAACATCTCGCTGTTATTCCCCTACAGTTCTAAATGCCACTGGGGTACGTGTGATACTCTTCACCTTTGTGCGATTGTCAAAGATTGTGTTGGGAACAGGCATTCCGGAGCGACTCATGCACAACGAAACCTTGTGCCACGCCCCGGCTTTGCGCTTCTCGACAAGGGACCTATATAGAGGAGACAGGCAGAGGACAACATGCGACCCTCTACACTTGTAAAGGGGAGAACAAAAGATAGGAAAGTAACAAAACCAAAAGATTTCAAATGCAGCTTATATACTTCCAAACCATGTAGGTCAAATCACGACGAGTCATGGACTTGCAGTGGTAGAGTTTGTGCAAGAACAAAATCTTCTCAGGGTTGATATTGCTGTGCACTTTGATGTACAAAGTGTCATTGTGCTCCAATGTCAAGAACACTGATCCCACGAACGAACCCTTGGGCATGGATCGAATCAGGATGCTGTGGCCAGTGCCTTTGTGTACCAAACGGTACACCGTGACATTCCCCTCAAATTGAACCTGATCTTCAACATCATGTTTGAAAAAGCCACCGCTCAAACCTTGGATGAACACGTAGCCTACCTTCTGTTGCATCCTCACCGTCTGAGTGACACTAAGCCTGCGCCACTTGCACTCGTTCTTGGAATTGAACATGGGCCCCAACAACCCGAAAGACGTCCAACCAATTGGGTCTGATGGGCAAATGTTGATATCCCAGAACAAACCATCATCCACAGGAACTGGGGGGTCATCACCAAGTACCACAGTAGATGCACTCTCACCATCACTGAGACTGGCAGCACTGGGAATAGGAGATGCAGCCATGACGCACACGTGGATGGATCGCACAACTGGTCGTTACACCCTGGAGGTAAAGCGAATTTGAACACTGAATACTGCTCTGTTTAATCCCACTGGTTGCAAATGCAAATGATATGAACGCCCTACATCACCCCTCTAAGACGCAAGGCTGTTGCAGGGATAGCCGCATGATGTTGAATGCCGGTTGAACACTATCTAGGGGAGGTGGATCAAAACTTAAACAATCACAATAGAGACCATACTTGTAAAACTAAGTACACCTAACAACATGTGAACGCACTTTGAATCCCATTTCGTTTCTTCCATACCGGCACAAACCACCCCGGATGTCTTTCAGCTGTGTTCTTTTTGGCATCTCACGACATTCCTGTCGGTTGTCGGTGTTGCTTGGTCTGTGTTGCAAGCACCGCATAGCCGGGAAAATTGTTCCATGCAGGGCCCTTTGCATGTCATACTGTCCCTTCGAAAGTGTCTTTATAGTCAGTGGCTAATGACCTGATGAGGTAAACTTGGAGCACCCGTGAATCCAAAACATGATTTTCTGAAATACATGGTCTATTGTTGTTTAACAATAGGAATGGGTCACCAAAGGGGCCCTATTGTTGAACGATAATAGGTCGGCAGCCACATCCCCAGCCCTATTGTTGAACGATAATAGGTTGGCAGCCCCATCACAGCCCTATTGTTGAACAACAATAGATCTACCACCAGAATGGCATACCTATTGTTAAACGATAATAGGTTCTTAAATAGCCCAAACACGTATTGTTGTTCAACAATAGGTGGGTTTTGTTGGGTGGATGCTATCAAGTTCCCTAGAGCCCATGGAACCGCCCAGCAGCTCCTATATTCCAGCTGGTTGGACCGCCCTTGGAATCATAATTCAAAACCTTTTTTGGGTATCCAATGATGAATTCAATTCTATCCCTTGCCCTGATGAATAGACTTGAAACAATGTAAACCAATTTGAATGCAAACATTGGGTCAGTCCAATCCAGCTGAATGGTGTGACAAAATGCACGGGATGCATCGTGAAGGCAACACTTTGCAAATAAATGCTGATAGTATCTGGTGGTTGTTTTTACCACCTGCTCTGGCTGATGGGTGATTTTAAGATATTTTGAGTTGCTTCACATCCCAATTTCTCATCGCCTATGCGCTGCAACGGATGGTGAGATGGCACAATTCCAAAACACAGTTGAGTTGGCTCAGACGCCGCCATTCCTGTTTGTGACCAATGGCCATGCTACTCATTAGAAATTGAGCTACTGAAATGCCCTTACCTGGTGGTGGGTGATGTTTGATTAGTTTCCCGTGCCTCTCACCCCGTTCTTTGCTGGGTTGCCAGCATTGCCTGGGCAACAGTTCCAGCCACCTCTAATGCCATTACGGCAGTGGACCCGCTCCCTCTGATGCGCTTCCGCTGTCTGCCCGATCCATGCCTGAGATGGAACGGGTTACAACATGTTGCAGCCATTGTGGACGTGAAGGATAGATACATTTGTCTGTTGTTTATATGTAAGAATCATATATATATGTGTATAAGATGCACATATCTGGGGTATGGATTGTCTGCAAACATATATTCAGACTAATTGTAGAAGATAAACTGAATTGTTAGCTTTGATAGATCTATTGGAATACTGTTGGGTTGAAGTACTCTTTGTAGGTCACTTGACATCCATGGGGGCCCTACTATCATGTTGACTCGATGAATGACTGGATGTTGCAACCATGTCCAATCCCCATGAACAAAAAACGAACTTAAAACAAGGCACTGCCAGAAGTTTCCATCATGATCTTGGAATCCTCCCTTCACATACTGCCCCTCTGCTGTTCTCTTGCGCTTTGCCCACGGGGCTTTTTTCTGGTAGTTTTTGGTGTTGGTGGATCTCCATGGTTCATGCCAGCCCTTGTTTTTCCATGATTTCCATGATGGTTCATTCCATCCATGTCCCCAGGTCTCACCCCGGTTCCCCCATTCATATCGGTCTCTGCTGTTGTAGTCCCAGTTCAAACTCTTTGGGTTCACCTCGGGTCCACCTGGAAGAGGTGGCGGTGGCGGAGGTGGCAATGGGTCACCTTTGGATGAGCTTGGGTGCTCCCCTCCATGTTGTTGGTGCTCCCCTCCATGTTGTTGGTGCTCCCCTCCATGTTGTTGGTGCTCCCCTCCATGTTCTTCATACGGGTCAGCCTCAGGTTCCCATTCGGCCCAGGGCTCCCATTCTTCCCATTCATTCTGCTCCTCTTTCACATCCACCCATTGTATGTCCTCGTCATCAGGCCCAGCGCCACCATCATAGTATGGGCCAGAGCCCTCGGTCTCCCACAGCGTCTGGCACAGCGCTCTCCGGAGGGCAGCGTCCTGCAGTGCCGTTCTGAAGAAGACATGAACTCGAACATGGTCGTGTGGAAATGGGCGGGGAGCACTTGGATGATGAAAACACGTTGCAACATCAGAGCCCAACACCTCCCAATATGAAATCCTCCCAGAAACCTAACAGCCAACCGCCCACCGGTCCTTGGCAGCATCGGACTCCAGGGCAGAGGCAGCATCTTCCTGCACCAGACCAAACAGACCAGAGACGGATGGAACATGGCAGATTGGGTGAAGTGAACAGAACGGTGGGAACAAGATACAGCTTGCTCATTGATCTTTTCATGATGTTGTGACCAAGGGTGTTCTTAATTTCCTGCCTTTTAAATACACTAATACCTACCCCCCAATCCTTGGGAGCGTCGTCTGCCATCACAGCGCGCAATCCCTGCAGCGCGCGCCAACTCCCAGCAGCCAGCGCGCAATCCAGCAGCAGTGCGCGATGCAGCAGCGGCCAATGGGGCAGCGGCCAACGGCTGTGAGCACAGCTATAGATGCAGTTGGCTGTGACCGTGCCACCGTGAAAATATTGGGATTCAGCCTCTTGTAGACATGTAAGACTCAACATGGTTCAACCTCTTTTAGACATGCTAAGTTCGACATGGTTCACCTTGTTAATTTTCACTCTGGTTTAATGTATAAACACGGCATGTGGTTGAGCTGCTAAACCCGTGAAAAAATGTCACAGTCTTAGACCATGAGCCGCAAAACAGAGGTTGCCGCAGTGACCCAGTGCAGGGTTGAAACTGATCCCTGAACAGCCAACAATCATGTTTCCGCCTACAAGTTGTTTTTAAAATTCACTTTGGGGTCAACCCTCAGAGTACCCAACATGTGTGGCCCAAATCCCAACGATATCCGCCGACCCCGGCCTTCGCCAAGGCAGGGGCGGCGCCTGGGACCACCGGAGGTGTGGAACCTGCTTTGTCACGGCCATGGCCTTCACATTGTCCAAGGCTTCCACCCAGGCCTGTGGCCGTTTGGCCTTGACATTGTCCAAGGCTTCCACCCAGGCCTGTGGCCGTAAGCCTCGCCTGCATAGCTCCCTTCAAATGCTTAAACTGCTCCGCCGGCCTTTGCACCAAGCCCTGTGGCCGCGAGCCCCTGCTGTTCCAGCGTTGCAGCCTGCCGTTTGCCTGCACATAGACTCTGTTCTTAGGGCGTTCAAGCCTGCCGTTTGCCAGGCTTCAAACCCTTAAAATGCTTAAAATGCTCCGCCGGCCGGTTGCACCAAGCCCTGTGGCCCCTGCCGTTTGCGTGCACATAGCCTCTGTTGTTAGGGCGTTCAAGCCTGCCGTTTGCCAGCCTTCAAACCCTTACAATGCTTAAAATGTTCCGCCGGCCGGTTGCACCAAGCCCTGTGGCCGCCTCTGTTGTTAGGGCGTTCAAGCCTGCCGTTTGCCAGGCTTCAAACCCTTAAAATGCTTAAAATGCTCCGCCGGCCGGTTGCACCAAGCCCTGTGGCCGTGAGCCCTTGCTGCTCCAGCGTGGCAGCCTGCCGTTTGCCTGCACATAGCCTCTGTTGTTAGGGCGTTCAAGCCTGCCGTTTGCCAGCCTTCAAACCCTTCAAATGCTTAAAATGCTCCGCCGGCCGGTTGCACCAGCCCTGTGGCCGTGAGCCCCTGCTGTTCCAGCATTGCAGCCTCTCGTTTGCCTGCACATAGCCTCTGTTGTTAGGGCGTTCAAGCCTGCCGTTTGCCAGGCTTCAAACCCTTAAAATGCTTAAAATGATGCGCCGGCCGGTTGCACCAAGCCCTGTGGCCCCTGCCGTTTGCGTGCACATAGCCTCTGTTGTTAGGGCGTTCAAGCCTGCCGTTTGCCAGCCTTCAAACCCTTACAATGCTTAAAATGTTCCGCCGGCCGGTTGCACCAAGCCCTGTGGCCGCCTCTGTTGTTAGGGCGTTCAAGCCTGCCGTTTGCCAGGCTTCAAACCCTTACAATGCTTAAAATGCTCCGCCGGCCGGTTGCACCAAGCCCTGTGGCCGTGAGCCCTTGCTGCTCCAGCGTGGCAGCCTGCCGTTTGCCTGCACATAGCCTCTGTTGTTAGGGCGTTCAAGCCTGCCGTTTGCCAGCCTTCAAACCCTTCAAATGCTTAAAATGCTCCGCCGGCCGGTTGCACCAGCCCTGTGGCCGTGAGCCCCTGCTGTTCCAGCATTGCAGCCTCTCGTTTGCCTGCACATAGCCTCTGTTGTTAGGGCGTTCAAGCCTGCCGTTTGCCAGCCTTCAAACCCTTATAACGCTTAAAATGCTCCGCCGGCCGGTTGCACCAAGGCCTGTGGCCGTGAGCCCCTGCTGTTCCAGCGTTGCAGCCTGCCGTTTGCCTGCACATAGCCTCTGTTGTTAGGGCGTTCAAGCCTGCCGTTTGCCAGGCTTCAAACCCTTAAAATGCTTAAAATGCTCCGCCGGCCGGTTGCACCAAGCCCTGTGGCCCCTGCCGTTTGCGTGCACATAGCCTCTGTTGTTAGGGCGTTCAAGCCTGCCGTTTGCCAGCCTTCAAACCCTTACAATGCTTAAAATGTTCCGCCGGCCGGTTGCACCAAGCCCTGTGGCCGCCTCTGTTGTTAGGGCGTTCAAGCCTGCCGTTTGCCAGGCTTCAAACCCTTAAAATGCTTAAAATGCTCCGCCGGCCGGTTGCACCAAGCCCTGTGGCCGTGAGCCCTTGCTGTTCCAGCGTGGCAGCCTGCCGTTTGCCTCCACATAGCCTCTGTTCTTAGGGCGTTCAAGCCTGCCGTTTGCCAGCCTTCAAACCCTTCAAACGCTTAAAATGTTTCGCCGGCCGGTTGCACCAAGCCCTGTGGCCGTGAGCCCCTGCTGTTCCAGCGTTGCAGCCTGCCGTTTGCCTGTACATAGCCTCTGTTGTTAAGGCGTTCCAGCCTGCCGTTTGCCAGCCTTCAAACCCTTATAACGCTTAAAATGCTTCGCCGGCCGGTTGCACCAAGCCCTGTGGCCGTGAGCCCCTGCTGTTCCAGCGTTGCAGCCTGCCGTTTGCCTGTACATAGCCCCTGTTGTTAGGGCGTTCCAGCCTGCCGTTTGCCAGCCTTCAAACCCTTATAACGCTTAAAATGCTCTGCCGGCCGGTTGCACCAAGCCCTGTGGCCGTGAGCCCCTGCTGTTCCAGCGTCGCAGCCTGCAGTTTGCCTGCACATAGCCTCTGTTGTTCCAGCGTTGCAGCCTGCCGTTTGCCTGCACATAGCCTTTGTTGTTAGGGCATTCAAGCCTGCCGATTGCCAGCTTCAAACTTTAAAACGCTTAAAATGCTCCGCCGGCCGGTTGCACCAAGCCCTGTGGCCGTCAGCCCCTGCTGTTCCAGCGTTGCAGCCTGCCGTTTGCCTGCACATAGCCTCTGTTGTTAGGGCGTTCAAGCCTGCCGTTTGCCAGCGTTCAATCCCTTACTCCCTCCCGGCAGCTTCCACCAAACCGTGTGGCGGTAAGCCTTTGCTGTTCCAGCGTTGCAGCCAGCCTTCCAATCGTCAAAACTTTCAAAATCCTTGGCAGCAGCTTTCACCAGAGACTCTGGCCGCAGGCATTTGTTGGGGGACTGTTGACGCCCGCCGTTTGCTTCCATCGCGTCTGTTGTTCCCGCGCACATCCCTTCCGTTTGCCAGCTTTCACACCTCTCAAATGCTTCGCGGCAGGGGTTTTGCCAGTGCCATCTGTTCCTACGGCTAGCGCAGCGTCTTTCTATTTCATTTCCTTTTTTTCTTTGACTTTTTGTCGGGAACGTGCCAATGTTTCATCTCGCATCGTTTTCCCGACGGCGTGACATGCGTCACCGCAATGCGCCCACATGACTGCGATGACCAAACAACCGTTGAGCACACCGGGCAACTGTGCGCATGACACCGTGTTGTCTTGCTGACCGCACCGTCCTTCACATAAAATTGGTTCCCACAGACTGTTCGATGGTTGATTCGCCCTGTCCTGATATCGCTTCTCACACTTTCTCTGCAAAATGGACACCTGTAAACGATGCCTTTCTCTTTCACAACGCCATCCTGAACAGAAAATTGGTTCCCACAGACTGTTCGATGGTTTATTTGCCCTGTCCTGACATCGCTTCTCACATTTCTTTTGCAAAATGGACACCTGTAAACTACGCCTTTCTCTTTCACAACGCCATCCTGAACAGAAAATTGGTGCCCACAGACTGCTCGATGGTCTATTGGCCCTGTTGCCACGTTACTGGCCACATGCCCATTGCAGGTGGGACAAACGTAGTCATACTGTTTCGCACAGGGGCGTCCTTCCCTGACTCGGAAAAAGTTACCGCATGTGCGGCGGTGATTGACTTGGCCTGTTCGTAAGGTACTGCTTACAGACTGCTTGCAATGCGGGCACACGTATTGGAAAATCTTGCCCTTGGCCATGGCTTCTGCTGCCTTTCTTGGCCGCACCGCCCTCTGCCGTCCGTTGCTGTCGTCCTGTTGGCCATGTACCTCTGCAGGCCCCTCTGTGGTCATTTCTGTTCCGTTCTCTTGTCTGCGCTGTTTTGCCTTCGGCTCTGCTTCCTTCCTTTGGGGGCTCTCCTGTTCCCTCTTCCGTTTTCGTTCCGCGATGGCATCCCAGACATCAGCGATGGCGCGTGCCTTTTTTTCTTCCGCTGCCCTTCTCGCCACTTTCGCCTGCGTTGCCGCTACCCGCTGTACCGCTTTGCTGATGCTTCCCCGGGGAATGGGGCACTGCCAGCAGTTGCTACAGACTTGGTCACCATTACAAGACTGATGTTGCGCCAGCCAAGATTCAAAAGCGCACGCTGCTTGCTTTACCTTGCAGATGCTGCATCTCCACCAGCCCCATGCTCTACTTGAACAATCTAGACACACTCTACCGCCCCTGCGTGCTCGTTTCCAGGCCCCGCCAGAAAATTTCTTTTCGTCCTTGCGTGTATTGCAAACACTACACACTTGTGTCTGTTCGCACGTCTTACAAATACGATAAAATGTGGCTTGTGGCCTTGCATGTTCTGTCTTGAATGCATCTTCCTGTTTCCACGCCGTGCAGGCCATGCATTGCCACGGCTGCTGCGCTTCAACGTGCCTACGAATGCATTCCTTGCATACTCTCGCCGCATCTGCTCGTTTCCATCGACCAGCCGTGAATGCAGACGCCGGCTTTGCTTCATTACATTCTTTGCATTGTCTTTCGTCTCGGTATTTCGCTCGCAGCGCCCTCCAATCCATTTTTTCACCACCCCAGAACCGCAACAGCAATTCCCGTCCTACTTTTGCCTCTTTTTGAAATGGTGCTGCAGGGAACGGTCGGTACACAAACAAACCATACCTGTCTTGGACTCGCGTTAATGCAATGTAAGCTGTCAATGGGTCGCCTGCTTCCCCAATGTGCATGTCCATGACCACGCCTTCTTTGCACGTTTGCCCTTGGGCTGCGTGGGCGGTGGCGGCAAACCCTGGAGCCAATGGAAACTGCTTCCGCGTGACACGGAGTACTGGCCGCTTCCGCCCCTTGTCCAGATACCACGGCTTCTTTTGCGGCGCTACGGGAAAAACGTTGTCTTCATCAATCCCTTCGACACGCCAGGTGGTCTTGGTCTTGAACCGGACCAAGATGCACGCCGGCAACTCGTTCCAAATCTGCGTCGCCTCTTGACTCGCCCCTCCGACGGCATCCGCTAGGCCTGGGCGTTAGCTCGGCTTCTTCAGTGGCTATATGTCTGCGAACTTCTTCCTCCACCCTTGAAAAGGGGTCGGCGGCACCAGGGCGTTAGCCCATTTTATATAGATACAAAGTGAAACTACAAGAGCCAATCCCCTGAAAAATAACCCCTTGCTCTAGCCCTCACAAATGAACCATATGTGGCATTCTGGTTCTTACCCAATAAGCCTCACCATGGTTCCAAACCATGTGCCCCACCAAATGCCCATTTATGTATCTTGACCATTATAGGTAAATGCGCAGACAATGAGAAGTTTTGCAACGAAATGTAGTGCCCCAGCACTGCAACAATCAACAACCCTTAATTCAAAATTTGCACCCCACAAAATCTAAGTGTTTTGGAATGGGTTTTTGGGAACCACTACATGGGAATGTCTTAAAACAGGGGTGCTTAAAACTTTATGTTTTAATCAAGGGTTCAATAGTTCCAGGCGCCCCGTATTTTGAGACATTCTCATGTAAATTAAATGATGCCATGTGAAGAATGCTTGGTTCACAATCCGTCCAAAAAAATGCACATGTCAGCAGTGGAAAGCATTTAGTTGTTTTCCATCTCCAGAGCGCTGGGGCTCTGCTTCTCAGATCTCTTCTGCGTGTCACACGGTAAGCGGAGTGAAGTGGACTTTGCAAAACGTCCTCAAAACAATTGCCTCAAACCGGCTATGTCCTACTTTCATGCCGTCACTTTTTGGAAGGACTCATGGACTTCAAAACACGTCGCTTGGGAGAGACTCCCTTCTTAGTCTTAGTAGCTGCCTTCTTTGGGGATGCTGCTGTCTTATCCTTCTTGGGGGATGATGGTTTTTTGGGGGATGATTTTACCTTCTTGCGCTCACGTGTGCGGCCCCACTTCTCAGCATCTCGGTCAGATCGAACCATTGCCCTGAACCACATCATGGTGTCATGCGAGAACTCAACCCAAAGGTCTGGAGTGCTGATGCCATAGAGGCACTTGACGGCAAGCGGCCCGCACTCCTTGCCATCATGGGACACCGCAGGGAGGGTGGTGATGACCCATGGCTGCGACAGCAGGTCTTTGTCTCCTTCTCGAACAATACGCCCCTTCCTCTTTTGCTCTTTCTCATTGGGCACATCGTCATGTTCCAAGGCTTCATGGACAGCAGCCGAAGAGGCAGCCTTCCGGAGGTCCAACCATGTGTCAAACCCCTGGACATTGCAACTCCTGCCCTTACCAGCCCTCATATCCAATGATTCTCCAAGGGCCCACCATGTGAGCGCCCTGTCGAACTTGCTGAGCTTGATGAACATGCAGCCCTGGACCTCACGAATCTCAGGCAGCCACAAGCGCTGAGACTTTGCACCTCTGAGCACCCAGGCCTTCTCAAGCGTGAGTGTCTGCTCTGATCGATGCTCACCGCCATCATCTGACCCATGGCTCGACATGGCAACTACAGCACTAAGACGTTCCTATGCCCTTTCTACTGGTTTGAAAAGCCTTGACCCTGCTGCCGCGAGCTAGAAATGAATGCCCTGCGTCACAGCGAGTGCAAGGAATAAGAGTGGCATCAGTTTTTGCCACATGATGATGGGATGAATTCTTGCATTTGTTTTGAAGCAATGTATGAAATATGCGTCTTTGTGCAGCCACGCTCCCAGCCCAGGATACCAATTGGGAGCCCCAACCAGCAAGTTTAGCGCTGCCAAACTCAAGTAGGCCTGGCAGAAATGACAGAAGCCAAGAGCAGGGCACTTGTGCTCGCTCCAGCAGGGATGCTGTGGGGCATCTCGCTGTGCAAACTAAATGAGATGAAACCCTGTGAGCGCTGAGGAAACAGCTTGCCCTTTTTGACGTTTTCCAAGCCATTGCAAGCCATGTCGATCATATCCAAAAATGCCTGTACCAACTGTACCTTAAGGGCTTATAGGACGAACCACCTTGTCACAGCACCATCCAAAGCAGACACCATACTATGAACAAAGGACACCACTTCATACTCATTGCTTTGAAGTTGCACACCTGTGAAACCATGGGGACCAATTCTGACCAACTCTGCACAATCTGCTGTCCTAAGAATGGCGCTGCACCCTGCTCATGCCTGCTTTATGCAGTAGAACCCTTGGTCCTCTGCCGTTTGGCAGGAGCAGAGAGAATGTGGAGATGTTCTGGCTCTGGCTCTTTGGCCGGAATATAGCACACAAGCTCTTCTTCAGCACTCAAAGCCTTGATGTTTCTCAAGATAGGCACTTGCTGATGCCTGTTTTCTTTGTCGTATTTCAACACCTTGGGGTGAAACTCTAGGTTGGCTTCTTCAGCCTTGGTCGATGACTTCACAAACCAAAACGGGGCCAAGAATGATTTGTTCGTGTTTCCATCTTTGTCAGGAATGTAAACCCCTTGGATGTAGAAGACATGCTTCGGGTCTGCTCCAGGCGCAAGGGACCACTGACCCAAACACAAACCCAATTTGTCCTTGAGAATCGGATTGCCAACGTCCACTGCGTCCACCTTCCAAGAAGCCGGGACCAGCTTGAGTTGATGCTTGGGGAATGGTGCCGTGGTGAAGACACTCTTGGGCTTCACCTGGACAGTGAGGTTTGCCGCAACATGCTGGCAGTCTCGTTCCATCTCCCACAACTTTTGCACGATCTGGGCTTTGATGACCTGTGTCTGCCACTCCAGTGAAAGGACCGGTGAGTTGAACTTCACCTGCTCAGGCTTGTCTTTCATCTCAATGACTTTCCACTTTCCAGAAAGTAAAACTTCCACCGATAGCTCAGCCTTCCCAGCGATGAGAGGGCCTTCCTCGATAGAGATGCGGACTTTGTTGCCATGAAAACTTTCAATCTTGCCAATGCATTTGTCAGCCTTCCGACGGATGTACTTGCCCACTTCAAAGCCATGCTCCTTGGCCACCATCTCAGGGCTGGATAGGCCATCTGTGAAGTTCCGCACTGTCCTTTGCTCAAAACGATTGTCGCGTGACCAATAATGTTTGAATTTCCCTAGAAGCAAACATGTATAGCGATATATATATATATATGTATATGTATATATATATATATATGTATATGTATATATATATATGTAATAAATATATATATATATATTAAATATATGTATATATATATATTGATATTGATTTAAAGGATTTCATCAAAAGGGAACTCAAAGTCTCCATGGACCCCTGCATGATATATCCCAACTCAACTATATTATAATAAAAGGGTTCTTCAAATTGGAATATGTCAGAGTTATTATATAGAAATGGTCCACTTGTCAAACTAGGATCTCTTCAGGATTGGAACCTTGAGGGTCCAGGCTGGTCGACGGCCTCGATCCATCCCACTCATTCGAAGGTCTGATGCCCTGCAAGACTTCAATGGAGTCCATCAACTTGCACGCTGCCTCACCCTCGGTGAGTGCGACAACAAGAGATGCATGTCGCTTGTGGAGAAGCATCAGGATGAGGTCAATCTCAAAGGCTGCCATGGCGGTTTGGATAGGGAAATCCAACTTGATGCTTTGGTGGTCTCTCACAAGCTTCCAGCATTTGATGATGAGCTGATTGGCACTCTCAGCCTTTGCTTTCAAATCCTTGGACAACAACCTCTTGACATCCTGATCTGTGAGGAACTTGGTGACAGGAATCGTGTAAGCTGCCAGGAGCATGGCATGCCTCAGGTAGATGCATGCATCCGAGGTTGCTGGCTTTGGCTCGCAAGCTAAGCTTTCGAAGAATTCCGGCCCAAGCTGCCTGCCACTGTTGGCCGACGTCTTCAGGAAGGTTTCCACCCTCTCCCAAAGCCCAGGAGCACCGAATGACATCTTCTGCACAAACCGATGCATATATGGCGCTGCAGCTGAGCAGGCCGGTCTGCTCCTCAAGATGGTGGCCTTCACATCACTCCATGGCTTGCCTCCTTGGATCTGGATCAAGTTGTAGATTCTGCGCAAAACCTGGACCTCATGTTCAGGCTTGCCCAGGTGGCCACTGGCATTGAGGGCACTCTGCAGCAAACTTGGCACGTCTGGGAATTCAGTCACCACTTGGTGACTGATCACTCGCCACGTCAAGCCGTGCTGGCACGCTGCCAGGAAGGTTGGATCCTTCCTCCCAAGGAGCTCAAGGGAGAAGCGGCCCAAAACCATCAAGTCATCATGCATGCCTGGGCATCCCGCTGACCCATGAGACAGGCACCTCAAGGCTGCATTTGTATGCGAGCATGAAATGCTCGCATACTTCATGACATTGGCATTCAGTTCTGGCAGAACTCCGTTGCTCTGCTCAACCAAAACCTTGTTGAAACCGTGGATCTGCCTATCGGTCGAAGGGATCTCAATGCACAAAGGGTTTGGCACACTGTCATCGAAGCCAACTTCACAAATGGCGGCAATCAGTTCCATGATGTCATGCGAATTCAGACCCAGACCGTCCCTGTTGGCAGGGTGCGTGCCCACTTGGTCTGGAACAAGCTGCTGTTTCACCACCAAGCCATGCTTCTGGAGGATGTTAAGCAGACGTGTGGCTCCTTGCACCAGCTGATCACGTTCAGCTGCCTTGACTGCGTCGGCAATCTCTTGCCTAACAGTTGGATCCATGGCTCTCTTTCCTACAGTTCCCCAATATATGGATCAGCAAAAAATCTAGCGGTGGAACAGCGAGATGAAGGTCCATCCCTGCTGGAGCGAGCTTGCCATGCCCTGCTCATGCGTGCATTCTCTGACATGAGATGAAACCGCGTTCCCACCTGTTACGCCTCTAGCATACACCTGAAATAATATGATACATACATACATACACATACATACATACATACAAACATACATACATACATACATATATATATAGGATAATAGTTCCCCCATACCCCCAAACTGAAATTGAATAATATGGTACATACATCATAGGTAGATGGCTAATCCCCTTGCAATCCCACTACTTACCCATGTTTCATAGTTTAGTAAGCTAGCTTACATGGGGAACCCTTATGATCGCTACCAGCACCCCAACAAAAAGCAAACAATTCATGCCATCAAATCAATATTTTAATATATTAATATATCAGACAATTTGACGTGATTTGCCAATGGGTCCGTGTAAATATGTTGGACTGCACCAAAATATTTTCTTTAATTGTTACTGTTTTCTGAAATTATTTTTATATATATATATATGGATGGACATGTTTGAACATGGGCCTGGTATATGCCCTCCAAATTGTTATTTGAGAAACCAATAAGGAACCATTTTCAGACACATCCATATATATATATATATCCCTTCAAAACCCTGCCACCACAATCGGGCAGCTCTGCCTGCGTTTGCAGGCAGCCGCGGCGCCAATGCAGGTCCAGCCGTGCCGGGGCGTGACGTTGGCCCCGGTTATATATATATGTGTGTGTGTGTGTGTACATATGTATAGTATACATCCTTGTAGATGTATGGATGTCTGAATGCGTATAAAGACATGTGTAAATGTGTAATATATATATATATATATATCTGTGAATCTGAATATGTATATATGTATCTATCCAGGGGCGTTGTGTACGCATGCAATGATATTTCTGGTTTTTAGATCTTCTTTTGGGACAAACAATTTATATAATTCGTTTTGTTGGACCGCCAAAGGGGGAACTGAGAAACATATTAATCATATCATATCATATCATATCAAAATAAGTCTCTTGATTTCAGCTACCCATGATGGGGCCAAAAAAACACCATGCCCAAACATATCCAAACCCGTTCATACCTTTGAAAAAAAACATGTTGGATGTACGTATTCGTGTTTGGTGGGTGGATGGATTGACATATGACAAGCCCAAATGAAGGAAAACAACACTACAACCGCACTTTACCAGGGGGATTGCAGAGACAAACACTCTAGTATAACACATATCTTTTCATATCTTGTTCCCCTGCCGTATCTATATATATACAAATATATACATATATTGTTAGTTGGCCTGCTACTTATATCTCTACTTAGCCTACTTAGCAAAGTAGGCCAACTAACATAGAGCACTTATTGATAAGTAGTGTAAGTTCCACAAAACCTACTTGTGGAACTTACGTTTATCTCCCTTAAGTAGGGCGTATGTTGGCCAACATACTTGCACAACATATAAGTTGAAGGCTCCTACATAGAAGTTCACCAAGTAACGCTGGCAACTTATAAGTTCGCCAACATGATGTTAGCGAAGATACAACTGGTGTTACACCACTTGCAAGTTATGTTATAAGTTGTGCAAGTCGGCCATCTAGATACAAGAGGCCTGCCCATCCAAGCACTGAGCATGGATGGTCGTGGTTGAGGTCCGACAGAGAACACTGTGGATCGCGGGTCGCAGTTGGACGAGGAGGACGAGGAGGACGAGGAGGACGACGAGGAGGACGACGAGGAGGAGGACGACGAGGAGGAGGAGGAGAGGAGGAGGAGATGAGGAGGAGAGGAGGAGAGGAGGAGCAGGCAACTGACATAAAATCTAACAACCCTCACCTGGCAGGTGGGGAAAAATGTGAATTCTCCGAGGCACAAGTCCGTGCTTCGTTGATGCAAAATGCTCGAATCTGGGTAGCTGCAGCCCGCCATGGTAGGAACTTGAAGCATGTTGCCAGAATCTGGCAACTGCAGCACCTGTCCATGCACGATATAGACTTCTCTCATGGCCATGGTTGCCTACTGTCTTCTCATGTTGTGTCAGATCCATCTTGACTATTTTGAAACTTCTTCTCATACCTTTTCATCTTCTCTCCTGCAATTATTGTTCCTTATAGATCTTGCTCGCACTGATTGCCTCAAAATTCATGCTTCAAACTCACGGGCATTTCCTGGAACAAGACTCACCAGAAGTGGCACAAAGGAAGCAATTAACAGCAAGGGCGCGCAAGGAAATTAAAAGACTGCGCACCTGAGAGTAGCTTGCTTCTGTTGCCACTGATTGCTTTAGAATCTGTACTCGCATGTTGTCAAAGCGCACGCTGGTAGTTACCAAGCTGCCTTGGAATTGACACAGAACCTGGTTTGAGGGATTTGAACTTTGGATCAAAATTACGCCCCACTTGAATCCATTTGATGACTTCCATCTAGTGTGCCCATACGAACACCAAAGCAGTTGGATCTGAGTGGCAAATCACCGCGACCAAGAGCAATGCGCAAGTGATGGCCCATGGAATTCCCACAGACTCCTCCAATGACAAGCAGAACACCGGATACCTCGGGGCGACAGACATGAAAAAAAAGTTTCTTGCTAGGCTGAGCTGGGTGTTCCAGTATCATCATGGCCGTTTCCAGCTACAAGCTTGAAAACAATGATTAATCAAACATGTGAAATAAATGTGAAAACAAAAACATTTTAAAAATGCATTTTAAAAAATGTGAAACATGCATTTTAACATGTGAAACACATGTGAACAACTGTGGAAAATGTGGAAACATGTGGAAAAACAGGAAATTACATGCTCTTAATACTTTTCCTAATTTAAATTAAATAGAATTTACATTCATTGTGAACCTATTGGCATGAATCATTGAAAATGAATATATGCTTGTGGAATCCTAATGTTTAACTTTAATATTCTACCAGTAGTACCGCACAAGGCGGTGGCGGAAGTTTCAGAATAGGAAACCTATAGGAGACGTTGGTTGTTGTGAATCACGGATGGCAGAGCGAAGCCACTGATTGACCGAAAGGTGGTTGGAGCTGTGTTTGCTGGAATGGTTGCAATGGTTGCAGTGGTCACCTCACCCACAACTGCTGGATGTAGTGTGATGTACTGCAACTGTAGTTGTAGTTGTAGCGTAGTGGAGTTGTAGCTGTGGTGTAATGTAATTAGTGTAGTGTAGTTGCAGTCATATGGTTGTAGCTGTAGTTGTTTTGTAGTTGTAGTTGTAGTTGTTGTAGTTGTAGTTGTTGTAGTTGTTGTGTGGTTGTAATTTTTTGTAGTGTAGTTGTAGTAGTAGTTGTAGTAGTAGTAGTAGTAAGTAGTAGTAGTAGTAGTTGTTGTTGTTGTAGTTGTAGTTGTAGTTGTTGCTGTTGTTGTAGCTGTAGTTGTAGTTGTAGTTGTAGTTGTTGTTGTTGTTGTTGTTGTTGTTGTTGTTGTTGTAGCTGTAGTTGTTGTAGTTCTAGTTCTAGTTGTAGTTGTAGTTGTAGTTGTTGTGTAGTTGTAGTTGTTGTAGTTGTAGTTGTAGTAGTAGTTGTTGTTGTTGTTGTTGTTGTTGTTTTTGTTGTTGTTGCTGTTGTTGTTGCTGTTGTTGTTGTAGCTGTTGTAGTTGTAGTTCTAGTTGTAGTTGTAGTTGTTGTGTAGTTGTTGTAGTTGTAGTTGTAGTTGTTGTTGTTGTGGTTGGTGTTGTTGTTGTTGTTGTTGTTGCTGTTGCTGTTGCTGTTGTCGTCGAAGTTAGGGTAGTTAAGTTAGTGAAGTTAGTCAAGTTAGTCAAGTTAGTTAAGTTATCAGTGTCTACTGTTTCGACATCTTCACGTCAAAAAAGGCTCAAAACCCTCAGTTTTTTACGCTTTTGACTTCGAAATGTGCTTCGCGCCACAACGGCGTGCACTTTTTCGACACTTTTTCGACATCTGAGCCTCCAAAAGTGCTCCGAACCCCTAGTGTTTTTACATTTTGACTTCCAAAATGTGCTTCGCGCCACAACGGCGTGCACTTTTTCGACATCGCAACTTCCAAAAGTGGTCCGACATTGGTGTGTTTTGTACATTTTGACTTCAAAATGTGCTTCGCGCCACAACGGCGTGCACTTTTTCGACATCGCAACTTCCAAAAGTGGTCCGACATTGGTGTGTTTTGATAGGGGTTGGGTGTGCACAGGGGGGTAGTGCCAAGGTATTCAGCCACCTCTAGGCGGATGGATTCCTAGGGTCCAAGGTTTTTAAGGCAGGGTTGAAAACCTTGGCCTAACATTTTAGCAATTTTGAGGTTCTTCGCTAACCTAGAGGTGAAAACCTTGATCCCAACATTTCAACATAAAACAGCTTACTTTCGCATATGATGCTTAAAACCTTCAGCCCAAGATTCACAAGCCCAACTGTTGCTTAATAACTTGACCACACTCCATTAACGGTCGATCCAAGCTCTTGACAAAAAACTGTGGGTGGACGATGCGGCAGCGACACAGGTGGATCAGAAGACCGAGGTGCGTTGAAAGTTTCCGAATGCGTTGACGAAGAAGTGACTCCATTATAATGAAAATATGTAAAACCGATTGCCTGTGAAAACCAATGGAAGATTCAAAAATAAACTAAATTCAAGAAGCCAACTTTCGATTAGTTGTATGATCAATCTAATTTTGCGGAAATGACGCGATCTTGTTGGCGCCCTCTCTTTGCCCCGTGCCCAGGCAGATGGAAAGGGACAAGCAGTTGAAGAGAAGGCAAGGGTTGAAAAACTTGGGTCTGAGAACAGTGCCCGAAGAGAACCAAACAGATCCACATGTTCTTTGGGCGAATCCCTTCTAGATCCTCTGGGGTTAAATACCTGGTCCCAAGGTCCCAGATTTGTATGAGATGCTTGTTGACCTGCGGATCCTGGGGGAGGTGGCAGGTTTAACCGGGCCAACCATAAGCACTAAAATTGCAAAATTTCAGGCCAGTTGTTCTTCATTAAGACCCTTATTTAAAATTGTTGTTTTTGAACCATTTTTGCATCCACAAAGGGGGGTCCCCTTGAAGTCCACCGATGTAGCCTGTTTTGCATGGTTTGCGGGTCTCCGAGCTTGCTCCGTGCTTTGGTTCTCCGGGGTAAATACCTGGGCCCAAGGTTCATGCATGTTTTAGTGAAAACATCATAATCATCCATTTCCTCGGATCCCGTTGCAGATGCACTCAGATGCTCTCTCCAGGTGGACGATGCGCCGGCGATGCCGGATAAGAACACCGAGGTGTAGCCGAAAGTTTGGGATGGTTTGACTTGTTTAGGTTTTGTTGGTTTTGTTTTCCCAATCACTGATAACACTGTTTTGGAATGCGTTGACGAAAAAAATGCTCAACCAATCAATGTAATCAATTGTTTGGATTTTTGTCCGTGAAAAAAAATGATCCGCAGGAATCAACGGAAGATCCAGTAGATAAAGAGATAGAGTTCCGGTTAATGACGCAATCTTGTTGACGCCCTCAATTTTTGATTTATTTCCGGCTGCCCCGTGCCCAGGCAGATGGAAAGTGACAAGAAGCTGAAGAGAAGGCAAGGGTTGAAAAACTTGGGCCTGAGAACAATGCCTGAAGAGAGCCAAACAGATCCACATGTTGTTTGGGTGAATCCCTTCTAGATCCTCTGGGGTTAAATACCTGGTCCCAAGGTCCCAGATTTGTATGAGATGCTTGTTGACCTGCGGATCCTGGGGGAGGTGGCAGGTTTAACCGGGCCAACCATAAGCACTAAAATTGCAAAAATTCAGACCAGTTGTTCTTCATTAAGACCCTTATTTAAAATTGTTGTTTTTGAACCATTTTTGCATCCACAAAGGGGGGTCCCCTTGAAGTCCACCGATGTAGCCTGTTTTGCATGGTTTGCGGGTCTCCGAGCTTGCTCCGTGTTTTGGTTCTCCGGGGTAGATACCTGGGCCCAAGGTTCATGCATGTTTTAGTGAAAACATCATAATCATCCATTTCCTCGGATCCCGTTGCAGATGCACTCAGATGCTCTCTCCAGGTGGACGATGCGCCGGCGATGCCGGATAAGAACACCGAGGTGTAGCCGAAAGTCTGGGATGGTTTGACTTGTTTAGGTTTTGTTGGTTTTGTTTTCCCAATCACTGATAACACTGTTTTGGAATGCGCTGACGAAAAAATTGCTCAACCAATCAATGTAATCAATTGTTTGGATTTTTGTCCGTGAAAATAAATGATCCGCAGGAATCAACGGAAGATCCAGTAGATAAAGAGGTAAAGTTCCGGTTGTTTGTATAACCAATTTACTTTTTGGGAAATGACGCAATCTTGTTGACGCCCTCAATTTTTGATTTATTTCCGGCTGCCCCGTGCCCAGGCAGATGGAAAGTGACAAGAAGCTGAAGAGAAGGCACGGGTTGAAAAACTTGGGCCTGAGAACAATGCCTGAAGAGAGCCAAACAGATCCACATGTTCTTTGGGTGAATCCCTTCTAGATCCTCTGGGGTTAAATACCTGGTCCCAAGGTCCCAGATTTGTATGAGATGCTTGTTGACCTGCGGATCCTGGGGGAGGTGGCAGGTTTAACCGGGCCAACCATAAGCACTAAAATTGCAAAATTTCAGGCCAGTTGTTCTTCATTAAGACCCTTATTTAAAAATTGTTGTTTTTGAACCATTTTTGCATCCACAAAGGGGGGTCCCCTTGAAGTCCACCGATGTAGCCTGTTTTGCATGGTTTGCGGGTCTCCGAGCTTGCTCCGTGTTTTGGTTCTCCGGGGTAAATACCTGGGCCCAAGGTTCATGCATGTTTTAGTGAAAACATCATAATCATTCATGCCATCTGGAAAAACAGACACCATCAGACACCAGGTGTGTCTGACAGTACTGTGTTTGATCATCATTTTCCCGTTACAGAAACATGTGCGTGTATATCCTATATTTAAATAAATCATATGCGAACGCATATCTATATAGTGCATTATAGTGCAACATCCACAGTGGTCATATGCAGTCATCATTTTCCTTCACCGTTGTTCAAGGACAGGGGTTAAAAACCTATGATGCAACATTCCCAGTGTTTTTGAAGTTTGTTTTGTCACAGGGGTGAAAAGCTGGTGGCCAAACATCTTTAAAGATTTCTCTGTTCACGAAGCCCGGTGTCTGAAAACCTAGGGCCCTTGATTTCGACATCAAACCAGACTACCATCATTGCAGGTGGTGAATTGCTGAGTCTAAGGTTTTGCCCATATGTTTCAGCCACCACTCCGGTGGTAAAAAAAGGGTGGCACCAGCCTCAGGTTTTAAGACAGGGGCACCAGACCCCTATTACAAGATATGTCTAAAAACCCGTTTGATTTGTTCCCATTATACAAACATGTGTATATGCATATTCTGTGTATATGTATGCACTGTATATATATATATATGCATACATATCGATATAGATACATTTATGAATACATATCTATCATGCAACATCTACAATGGTCACATGCAGTATCATGCAGTCATCCACAGGGGCTAAAAACCTATGATGCAACATTCCCAGTGTTTTTCAAGTTTGTTGTGTCACAGGGCTGAAAACCTGGTGGCCCAACATTTTCAAAGATTTCTCTGTTAACGAGGCCCGGTGTCTGAAAACCTAGGGACTGAGATTTTGATAAAAAATCACATTACCATCATTGCACGGGCTGAATTCCTGAACCCAAGGTTTTGCCCAAACCACTCCGGTGGTAAAAAGGGTGGCACTAGCCCCAGGTTCTAACCCAGGGACGCCCAACCCCTATTGTTTTGTACATTTTGACTTCGAAATGTGCTTCGCGCCACAACGCTGTGCACTTTTTCGACATCTCAACTTCCAAAAGTGGTCCGAGGTTGCGGTGTTTTGTACATGTTGACTTCCAAATGTGCTTCGCGCCACAGCGGCGTGCACTTTTTCGACATCTGAACTTCCAAAAGTGGTCCGGAGCTGGTGTGCTTTGTACATTTTGACTTGGACATGTGCTTCGCGCCACAACGGCGTGCAATTTTTCATCTCTCATCTGGCCAGCTGGCTCCGCACCCGCCGCTTTAGCGAGCCTACTTTTCGACCTTCCGGAGCCCCAAATCATTGGAAAAACACAGTGTTTCGCGACTTTCCTACCTTTTCGCGCATCTGCATCTTCTTTCTTCTGATCTTTTCTCTTCTGACTCTTCTCACCTCTGCTTTTCAACTGTCCATATTGTCGGAAGTATAGCTTCTAAACTTCCTTCGATAATTTAACATTTTGGTTTTCAAAGAAAACCTGAACAAAAAAACTATATCTGGAAAAAAGTGGGAAACATGGAGCTAAGAAACAGGAACTTTTCAACTGCCTTTTGTTCCATTTTTCACATGTTTCATATGTTTCACATTTGGTCACATTTTTTCGCATTTTAAAAACACAGTTTTCAATTTTTTCAAACGCATTTTCGAAACGCATTTTTCGCTTTTTTCAAAAAACTGTGAAAAAGTGCGAAAAAGGTGCGTTTTGAAAATGCACTTGGAAAAAATGTGAAAAATGCGTTTTGAAAATGCACTTGGAAAAAATGTGAAAAATTGTGGGAAAATGGGAAAAAAGGACATTTGAAATCCAGTTGGGAAGATGGAACTCTGATTTTTTTCTTCAGGTTTGATCTTTTTGGGCCCAGTTTTGCTGCAGTTACTTTGCTGCCTGCCCAACTTCTGCAGGTTGAAAATCAGAGAGAATCGATCGGAAGTGGACTGTGCAGATCGCAGATCTGTTTAATTTCTCTATAGCAAAACAATGACTACCAGGAGCAAAAACATAAAATCTAATGCGAAGGAAAAGAGAACAACGCTTCAATTTGTTCGATATTTTGCATTTTGGAACCGCATTTTTTCACCTTTTTTTTTAAAAACTTTTTTTCACCTTTTTAATTCAAACTGCTGCAACCCTTCTGTAGCTCAGTTGGCCATGATAATTCCAGTAATATGCAGTGATCAAAGAAAATCAAATGGCTGGACAGGTATGACACCCGGCAATCAAACGGCAAGTGATGGCTACTAGTAGCTAGGGTTCTCGCCAAAACCAACTTGGGTTCACACTGTCACTCAAAGGATTTCAGGGTCGGGGTAAAGCTGAAAGATTCCAACATGGGTTGGGTATAAAGCGGCCGAAGGAGTGACACAACGGTGACATCGGAAATCACCTGAAATCCATTAAAATCCGTTGATTCCAAGTGCAGCTTCAGCACAACGAGAGCAGGATGGCCACCAGCGTGGCGCGATGCTCGATCTCGGCTGCGGCCTGGATCGCGAAGAGCAAGCTGAGCTCGGTCCAGCACCAAGCCTTCGACATGGCAATGAAGGTCTTCTAACACTGCAGTTGTTCAGGTGTGGGCAACCATGAACAACCAACAACCGGCCAAGGAGCTGTCTGCCAAACGCGCCCCAACTTCCAACAATGCCGCCACATGCGGTGCTTGGGGCAAAAGCCACTCAAGTTCGAATGGAAGATGTCGCAGCCGCCGTAGCTACATGGGAACGGTAGAGTCTCACTTCCAAAATTCTCCAACTCGTCCACACTCTTGCCGCCTGCCAACTCCACATCCTGCAACACACCAAGGCCCTGGTATGCCCTGGTTGGATAGGACATGAGCTCTCACATGATAAGATCATTTCCTCATAAACTGTCACTAGCTCCCCATGATTCCCTACGTGCTTTTCTCTTTCGTAACGGCGACTTGAGAATGTTTCGAAACACCGCAATGTGGCAAGACTCTACCCGAGAACGGCGCAAGACCATTTCACTTTTGGCTCCTTGACAGCTGGCCTCTGACATGGCACCCAGGGCCATGATCGCTCAGCCACACCCTGAACAAAACTGTGTGGGTTTGGGGTATCAAAACTTCAGATATGTTTAAATCCTGAAAGTTGAACAAATTATGAGATGCTATGGGATCTGAAACATGTGGTTCCCCTGGGCTGACACAAATTGCAACTCGTCCCTGTGATGGCGCAGCTTGGCTCAGCCTCGATCGTCAATCGCAGTTCCAATCCTCTCTGACGACGTTTCAGACGTTGGACGCAATCATACCTTGAATACAACATGTCCCAAACAGTGAAAACGCAGGAACTGATGGGATCTGATGAGGATTCCACACGTGACAATATCAATAATTACAATTTTAGGATATCGCAAATATGAATAAAGTTGGGAAATCCTTCGCCTTGTGCGCCTCTGTTGCGACCTTTATGCATGGCTCTGCTGAGAAAATCTACAAATCCCATATTTTGAGAACTGCCACAATCACAAGAACCTCAAGCACCAGATCTTTGACACATGTCGGGCGCAAAACCTCTACGCAGAATCTTTCCAAAAAACGTCTCTGGAGTGGTGCAAGATCCCTCCGATCAGTGAGATCCTGTGGGATGATCTTGTGGGATCACCAACATTTCACAAGATCTCTCGGTTCAAGATCTCTGTCCTATTGCATGTGTTACGCAAAAACGGTCAGGGGGTCATGAGGTCATGTTTGTGCTGCACCTGCCGTGCAAAATTGACGTTCACGTCCCATGCCTTTCCACATGGAATAACGCATCTACGATGCGCCACACCAGGGGAACCACGATCACTTCAAGTCGACCCAATCAACCCATGCCACGCAAAGCCGCGCAGTTGAACCACATTGACCGCTGCGACCGCACTCTGCATACACTTCCCGCAACCCCCTCACCTCCACCACGCTCTTTGGGGAACTATTTTGTTGAGAAATACCTGAAAAGGATGTAACGAAAGCTTCATCAAAGGTGAGACATGGGACTGACGATGGAAGTCAGCCAGCGAACCAAATGAGGAAAGTAGTATACTAGGGTCCCGTGAGCTAGGCCTAAGGCCCACATAGTGACATACGATTTTGTGCACCAAGTCCTAAGTCACTTGGGCTGTTATTGGACTCAAGCACTTTTTAGGGCTAAAAAAAGAATATTCTCTTAATGTCCTAAGTCATCAGAAAAGAGTATGGACTTGGTGCACAACATGTCTATATATAAGGGCTTTATAAGGAAATCAGCTGTTTGGTAATTGGATCAGATTTCTGGAATCTAAGCTTTTCTCAATGAAAAGTATAAATAAAATTTGAACTAAATTAAATTAAGCTAATTGACTTCTAGTATTGGAGAAAAATTTGGAGTTGCTGAAAAAAGCTTCCACTATTGCCATGTTGGGTCCACTATTGGCCATGCCCTCTGGACAAGGTCTGAACATGACTCTTTTGGCAATACTAAAAGTAAATGGAACTAATTGACTTTTAGTATTGGAGATAAAACTGGAGTTGCGGACAAAAGTTTCTACTATTGACAAGATATCACTATTGGTCAGAAACCATTACTGTAATATTTTTAACAATCTTTTTAATTGCAATAATTAAAAAAATGTCTGTATTTTGGATATCTAAATCGATTTTTTGGAAATATTTTGGAAAAATAAAGACAACGGAAACCATTACTTATATTTTTCAATGTCTGGACTTGAATCAATCTTACTTGATTTTTTGGACATATTTTTTGAAGATCGGCTCAAGTCCTAAGTCATCCATTTTTTGCGTTGGCTCGGGGACTTCGACCCGACAAGGCAGTGCAACGAGTGCAACGGGGTTTGTTGCAACGGGGGTCATAGGGAAGCACAACGGGGAAACAAAACGGGAAAAATGAAAAGTGAAAAACGGGAGATAAAATGGGGGAAAAACGGGAAAAACGGAACGGAAAAACGGGAAACACAAAATGGGGGAAAAGTGAAAAAAAAAGACAAAAAATACCTCCCTCATTTTCTTTAGGGAAGGGGAGGGGTCAGAGAAAAACGGAAAGTGGAAACAAACAAAATATATACCTCCACCCTCCACCCTCCGAGGAAAAATGGTCGTTCAAAGAAGATAGGTCAAACAACCCAATGATTCACTTCGATCCACGTTTCTGGGAAAATCTCAGCACTACCCCCGCGTACACAAAAACGTGAGGAATTTTGGAACTCTACAAAAATCCGAAAACTAACTGAAACAAGGAGATTTCAGGATTTGCGGTTTTTTGCGGGTTTTTGCGTTTTTTTTGGCGGGTTTTTGCGAGGTTTTGCGGTTTTTTTCCTTAGTCGTCTGAAGCGCTGCAGACATTTTTTGGCCTTTGTCTCACCAAGCCCAAAAACATGCAATCAAAGTCCTAAAATCGAGGACCAAAGTAGTATCTAGGTGTTTTGGGTTAAATCAGTCGATGTAGGTCAAACTCCGAAAGCACCTATATTTTCCTAGGATTTGGAGGGTCGTGGTATATTTATATTTTATTTATAAGCTTTCCAGGACGTCATGCCACCGCCGTGTTACCCCTGCGCCAATACCTCAGGCATGAGCCCCTTGGGAGCCCCTGGGAGCCCACAACGGGAGGCACAACGGGAAGCCAACAACGGGAGGGAAGCAACGAGGAAATGAAAAATGTGACGACCCAAGAAATAACTTAAATTGATCAAATGGATAGACTTGGTTCTGATGACTTAGGACTTGTGCCCCTCCGATGACATACGATTTTGTGCACCATGTCCTGTGCATGTATGTAATGCAATGTAATGTAATGTACTGTAATGTAATGTAATGTACTGTAATTGCATTACATTACGTTACATTACATACATACATACTTGTTGCAGCCCACGAGCATGATGACTTAGGCCCATCTTAATATATTTCTATTAGTTCATTCCTAGGTCATCATGATTTACGAGCGGTCCATGCCGCACTAGATTCTTGAAAAAAAACAATACTTTTCAGCAAATAAAAAAAATCAAAAATATTTTCTGTTTTCAGACGGACACCTGATGAGTTGGGGGTCCGGCGCATGATGAGATAGGACTTGTCCACCCCGGGGTATCTTTCACAAGTCCGAGTTCACGGGTACCTAGTATAAATATTTCGAAATTTCTCACCCACAAACTTCTGACCCACCCGATTCTCACCCGCAAAATTCTCACTCCCAAACTTTTCACCTATACAAACTTCTCGCCCACACGCTTCTCACCCACAGACTTCTCACAAACAGACTTCAATATACTTAAAATCTCTACATGCTCTGTTCTCATCACCAATTCTTTGGCTTCACAATCCTCTCAGAAGGCAGGTATATTGATTCTCATCACTCGCACTGTCATCACCCTTTTTATGGCGTCTCAATGGCTTCAAAAGGCACGCTCCACGCCACCTATTTACGCGTTTTTTCTTCCAACTGGCAAGGCCTGCCCCCAGACCCTTAAGCTCACTATGTTCCCGATAAAAACCTTCAGCTCTAGCCTACGGCTGGCTTTCATAATTTAGAACATCAAATTTCCATCGGCGGGATGGCGTGGCGACTCTCTTGGGACTCACCGCAATTCGATCCGTTTTCGCATCTCATCATCTCCAACTGCAATCTGAGAGGCAAGGATTGCTTGGCTTCGTCAGTGATGGCCTCGCAAGAGTTCAGCTGCAACACCAATTCTTCCAGTTTCAGCTTCGTGAGAGGCTCCCATGAGCCCAGCTCCACCAAGGACCTCAAAGAATCGCTCAACATCCATGGCTGATGCTGCTTTGAGCATCTCAAACCTCAAATTTCTAAAAGGTGAAATTCTCCTTGTGACGGCTGAGCTGCGCACGGCAAATTGGAAAACCAGAGCTGCACAGAGCGCAGTGACTGCGACATCGGCTCGGCACCGAGCATCTGCCCCAAGCCCGAAGCGTTCGCCAGGTGGGAGCCCGTGAAGCGCAGGCTGAGTTCCTGCAGTGGAGGCATCTCCATCTCCTCGACCTCTTGGCAAGTCTTGGCGCGGGGCATCTTCAAAAAATCGAAGAATATCATCATAAGACAATTGACAATTGATATTGTGGATATTAAATTTCTTTTTGAAACATTGTATCTCATGTTTTTCTTATTCAATATCTCAAAGTTGCCAACCTGGTATATACATATAGAGGACGTCAAAGCACCCTGGCGCACGGCACGGAGCTTGTGCCTCTGGGAAAGCCCAGCATTGGACTCCACTGAAGCCCATATCTAAACGAAGCAGCAGCAGCTGCCTGCCAGAATATCCAGAATTCGGCAATCAAATTCATTTCCATGGCGTCACACCCTGCACCGGTTTTTCAGCCGATCTGCCTGGGAAGGTGCCGCAGCAGCTGGCTCAGCTCCACATCTGTGAAGCCACGGCAGCCCGTGAAGGACAGCTGCACCACTCTCCGAAAGCTGTCTGCCGCCAGGGCGCTCAGGAGTCGCTCTAAAACCTTGGAGTCGAACGAGTGGCGTTTCGCCACGAACCCGAACCACGACGCCAGTGCAAAGTGCGCCGCCAACGCCCGGTTCCTCAGCTTCCCACCATGAAACAACGCATTCTTGTTGAAACAGGCACAATTTTCAAACAAAGCAAAGCCAACGAGGCATAAGTTCATCTGCCGAGCGGCACAGCCGTATAATTTGGATCTTCCAATGGTGCAGAGTCAGAGAGTACCTCTACCAGCGGGAAACGTAATTGTCCACGCCATCTACAGGGTTTCTGCAGTTCATGTTTGATTCCATGGAATGGAACTACCCTTCACGTGCTAATTGTTTTTGCTACTAGATGCTACTAGTCAAAAACCCGATCAATTTCATGCCCACGGGACCGCAGCTCAACTAAACTAAACGGGGCCACATGGCAGCAACGAGAACGTTGAAACCACGTTCAGCAACCAACCTGATAAATTTGACTGGAGATGGTTGACAGTGTATCTAAGGCGGTGTTCTGCCTAATAGGCAAAATATTTTCCACTGAAAGTCTAGAGTCTATAGCCTTGAAGTTGTCGGCGATACCTACCCTGTTTATTTTCAAACCGCGTTTGTTTGAGAAGGAAACTCCTAGGATAACTTCACAAAACATTCACATCACAATATCTCATATTATTTAATATAACATATCGCGCTACTACATGGACCACAAACATCTTGAGAAGATGAACTTTGCACATGGTCTTTGCACACCGCAGCTTTGCACCCGCAGCTCTTGTAGGTTCTCTATTTGGGCAACTTCTGTCCCGCCTTGTGCGGCTACAATTGGTAATTATTGGTAAAACCAAACATTTTTGAAAACAATGTCTTGTTTTCTGTTCTATTGTTTTCCAAATCCGTTTTTGTCAAGTCTTTGGACAACCCATTCTCAGCTGCCGGAGCCTGGCCTTGGTCCTTGCGCGTGGCAACCTGATAGAATTCAGGATGGCTGTCTTGTCTGACGCTAGGCTGGCATCGGCTTGCGCGATGTCAACGTCCAAGCCCTAGCGTTGGCACTTTCACATACAATTCGACCTGCCATGAAGTAACCGGTAAGTCACAGGCTTGCAGTTTTTGGCCATGCAGGTTGCAGCAAACATTTTTTTTGCATCAGATCCAAACAGGAATCTCATGATACTAGTGCAAATAATATGTTTGACAATGCAAAGTTGAATGAAATATGCAGATTCATAGTTGATCTACTTCAGAAGACCGATGCCTACCCCAACTTCACGCGGCCTTCTGCACCAGTGGTGTGGGGAAGGCCGCTTCACGCACAGACTTGGCTAGAAAACCAAGCAGCGGCATCCGGAACGCCTCTGCGGCCGCCAAGCCATCAGTCAGCACGTGCGCCTGGCACACGGTGCTAAAGAAGCCTGCCATCATGCCATCAAACAAAAAAAACTTAGAGCCACCGAAATCCCTGTAATTTGAACCTATTTTTCGGTGGCCTAAGTTTTGATTTTGTTTTTAGCTGACCCTGGAAATCCCGTCTGGCTTTTAATTCTCGCCTGAAGGGAATGTGTGCGTTTTGGATTATATTCACCGTTCGCATTTCTGCTGTCATTCCTGGAAATACGAATCCCTTGCCAACAGGAAAGGAAACCTGGGGTGGAAGGAAGCTCACCGGCAGAAAAACGACATAATAACAATCTGCAACTAAAGTTGACAATTATGCTAAGCAGCGCCGCGTTGACAATTCTACTCTTTACCTGCCTCCTTCTGTATATAAAATGGTGTTTCCCACGCGTCTCACTGGATCCCAGGCTTTGCATTTCACCTGGCTCCCGATTTCTTTCAAGAAAACAGACTCAGGCTCCCGGGAATCCATCTGTAGGTCGTGTTTCCCCTTTTTGGAGGACGCCGAAGACATGAACCACTCTAAAAACGACTTATATGTTTCCTCGTTTGTCGTTTTCCCCTTTTGACCCAAAAACTGGATTTTTGCAAACATGTGCAAACCATCATCTATAAAACACTGGAATTTACGCAGCTTTCGTATTGCAACTGTTACCTTTTTGCCATGTGCCAATACAAAAACGACGTGATCGGCAATGATTTTGCGGTCACCACGTATTCTGCGGCCAAAAACTAGAGTTGAACGGTGTTTAGCTTGGGACAATGCGTTCACTTGCGACCTTTGCTTCTTGGCGTGCAATATTTTCGGTGTTTTTGGTTAGCCATCATCCAAGAACACTGGTATTTACGCAGTTTTCCCAATATTGTGGGATTTACCTTTGCCATACACCAAATACAGAAACACCGTAATTTGTGATGTTTTTGTTTACATTTTTCCGGAATCCATGGCTGCTATGACCAAACCTTCCTTCACTTTTTTGGCCTAATCCCCTTCAGCTGCTCCAGCCTTCCCAAGCCCTCTGTGCAACTCCACCTCCCCTAGATCCCTTTAGTACCCACTTCGTTCGCCTGAATTCTGTCCATTCTTCAGCTGGCTTTCAAACCCGAATCGAATGAAGTGTTGTTGGAACAGTTTCCTGTGAAGCAGCGTATGAGACAGCCTATACCTGCATCCTCGCGCAGAACTTTTTTTAAGCCTGAAGCTGCAGCTGTTCAGCCTAAAATTTCAGGCGTTTTTTCTGCCCGATCAGTTTTGTTGCCTTTTGGGTCTCTGAACATAGTGTACCCAAGGGGCATCATTTTACACAATCATTTTAGAAGACAATTTTCCGGTTGTCCAAACCCCCATCACACCAAATCAGGCCAGCAGCAGGCCAAATCATCCCGATTCCTTTACACCAAAATGCTTTAAAAGAAACATATTTTCTGCTTGGGAATGTTTCATTGATTTTTTTAATTGTCTGCGGTTTTCCCATCCAAACTTGGCAAAAATTGCTCGAATATGGAAATCAGCCCGCAGGCTGTTTGTTTGCCCGATACCCCATTCAGCCTAAATTCCGTCTCAGGCTGAAATTTTAGCCCGTTTGAGGTCCTAGGTATGCAACCAGCAGCATTGAGCCCCGTTGGTTTCTTTGGCCTCGTTGGCAGGATCAGTCGCAGCCACATCCAGGAGCAGGGGCATCCCAGCATTGCGTTCTTCCACCTCGAAAGTCATGTGAAATCATTCGGAAAGTCTGGAAATGGAACTCGAAGCACTGGAGTTGCGGTTGTCATTTTTTCAGAGTCTTTAGCCGGGCAGCGGCGATGCTTTCCTCAAAACAGCACCAAATCCTTGTGAAAGGCGTCGCTTGTTGTTGTTGTAAGCGGACGTCAACCTGCTCCTCACCGAAGTGAAGTAGTTAAGACGCCATAGTATGCCATCTGCGAGAATCAAGTTCCCATACTTCTCCAAGCAAAACTCAAAGGAAGCGAAACCTGCCTGAAATAAAAAAGAAGTAAACACAGTGCGCCAGCTAGCATTCCGCATGGAATGTTTGTTGATCAAGTACGACTTGCCAAAAAGGTAAAGTCCGTAGCCTCTGCAGACGCCAAACTGCTGCAGCCCAAGCCACGGCTCGCTGATGTCGCTGCACAGCCGCAGCGATCATGGAGCGTGAGTCACGCAACACCTCACCTGCCTGAGCATCGGCTGTCGCATTGAGAACGCGGCAGAGATGAACATCAATCCAACCATCTGGTGGTGTCCAGTCAGGCACCTTGTTGTGAGAAGGGATCCAAGTGCAAACAGTGCCCTGAATCAATAAGCCGCTGATCCGCTGCCAGAAAAGCGGCAAGTCACCCTCCCAACGGCCAGTGCTAATGCCTCGCTGAAGCCGCCGCACCAAAGCCTGATTGTCAATCAAGAGCATCACCGGTCTGTTAGCTGCAGAAGAGGCTAAACAAGCTTGCAGAAGAGCAGCACGCTCACCTGCAGCAGGTGTTTGCTCAAAACCAGTCACGGCACCTTGAACAGTGGTGCCTGAAAGTGTCGAAACCGCCCAGCTAGCTCTTTGCCATCGATCACAGGAAGTAGCTATGATACAACTGCCGTCCAAACCCAAGGTGGGTCGCTGAAGAGGATCGAATTGCTGAATAAAAGTAACCAAAGCAGGATCTGCAACCATGTTGGAAAAAGGCAACACAGGAGGAGCATCCACAAGTGGAACCAGCAAACGACGTTCAGTAGCGCTCCTGAACTCACCATCCCATGGCTGCGCTTGGCAGTGAAAAGTGAGATGTTCTCGATCAGGAGACCGCAATCCACATTCACAACTCAAAGCAGAACCAAAGCGCTCTGTGACCCTGCCATCCACTGCAGCACCAGTCAAAACCCTGCGACTGTAGTAATCCATGCCTAAAGCTGCATTTGCCTGAAAAAGGAAAACCGGCTCCTTGCCGTTTGGCCATCGACCATCCGTTTTGGTGTCTTTAGTCCACAAACCAACGAGCCATGAATGGATAGCGGCTTTTTGCAAGCTTTTCAAAGACATCCACCCAGGTTTCAAAATCCCAGCAGGCGTGTGCCACAGGCCATCGTCAAGTCGCCATTTCCAATCTTTAAGCACTGCTTTCCAGCGAGGAGCAGGCGAGGTAGCTGCAGGCAACCCTTGGGCACGGCGGCATTGCCGATTCCATTCCGCCCGGGCGGCGGTGAACTGGAGCGCAAACATCGGATGTAGTCTTGCAGAACCCAAAGAATTCCAAAAGAGCAGCCGGCTCCTACCTGGAGGAGCCCTTCGACCCCAAAGTGCAGTTTCGATCATAGATGTCCATGTTCGAATGGTTCTTGCACTGAAGTGATGAAAAGCACCGGACCAAGCAAATAAAGATATCACCAACTTATGCACCAATGCAATGCGAGTGCCTAAGTGCTGTGCTGCCAAACGAATTTTGAGACATCGTCGCTGAATGTTGTCACTGACAATATCCGCATCAACACAAGAACTGGGGCGTGACAAATTGTATTGAATGCCAAGCAGTGTGAAAGTATCCGCAGGTACACCTACTAAATCTTTCTTCTTGCGCACCTTGGCAACCAGATGCGGTTTGGTGGCGAAGCTAGCCAATTTGTCAGGGTGAAGTTCGAAGCCGAGAATAGCATCGGCTTGCGCTCCCGCAGTCATGGCGTTGATGACCACTTCAAAACTTTGACAACCTTGTTTCCACATGGTGCGATCGTCCAAATAAATAGCCAAAGAAATCCTTGGTTCCTGCCGTTTGACAAACCTCACCCAAACTGTCATCAAAGCGTTCAGTAGCGCAGGGCTGGCTGGACAGCCTTGCAACAAACCCCGTTGAGCAATAACCGGATGAGGGTGATAAGAACCTTGCCAAGCAAACCAACGACGCTGTTCACTGTAAAAATCAGCGAGTAAATCACAAATTGATGAGGGAGCACCGAACCATCGCCACACTTTAATGGCTGTCTGAGGGCAAACTGAATCAAAACACTTGCGAACATCAGCTTTGCACCCGACCAAATCGACACGAGACTGCTTTGCCGTGCTGACAGCTTCGTAGAAACGTTCATGGACTTCCATGATGCCCTTGCCTGGTAGACCACCAAAAAGTTCGGGCGAAGCCCATTCAGCAATCCAAGGCTGTAATTTTTTCAGAGTGGCACTCATGCAAATACGCCACAGGACAGTGACAATGGCTAAAGGGCGCATGCCACCAGTAGCTTTTGGTAACAAAGCAATTCTAACATCTTTCCACATCGCAGGAACACAGCCATGTCGCAAGCAAGCATCCCAAAGAGCACCGACCTGATCCCAAAAAACAATGGGAAGATTGCACAAATGGAGAGCTGTCCAGGCATCCATGCCCGGAGCCTTGTCCTTCGCTTTGAGCGCAATCCGAACCAATTCAGAACCACTAACCTGAATACAGTCATCCGGCAATGGATCGCTTGCAGAGCCAATCTGAGAGTACAACTGGTCCCCCAGATTCAAATTCGGAAGCGACCCTGGATTCCAATACCTCTCCCAATCCAATGCTGCGCACTTGGCCCTATCTGCAGGTAGAATGGGGCCATCAAAACTTGCAGTAGGGCTGGCGGGCGGCACCTGTTTGACCCACCTGCCTAGTTTGGTGGCATTTTCCTGCACGCTGTCCTTCCACGCCTCCAAGCGTAACTTGGACGCTGCTGTAGCTTCTGCATTTGCCAATTCTAGCACTGCACTAACCAACCTGGGGTCATCCAAAGAGAAAAAAGCCAAAGAATGATGTAAATGAGGGCCATCACGAACCAACTTCTTCTCCAACTCTGGCAACGGGGCCTTTTGGTACTCCACCACTCTTCGTGCGAAGCGTCTGAGCTTGCGCTCTTTCACTGTTTGCAAAGAAGGCGCTTTTGAAGACGGAGGACTGGCAATTTGCTGCGGGCCCTGGCGCATAGCACGACCAGTTTTGCCACGTGCGAGAAGAAGAGATTCTGCGCAGTTGCTAAGTAAGGTCCAAGCAGAGTCCACGTTGCCTGTACTCAATGCATTTCCAAAATCGTCACATACTTCTTCCCAAGCACTTAGCCAAGAAGCTTCAGCAACCTTTTCAGAATGCAAAGGGGCACCAACTGGGAGAGTCCACGGTGTGGATAATGAACCAGGCACATGCAAGTTGTAAACCACCGCGTCATGGTCAGCCACGCCAAGATGTTGCTCCCTACCAGTAATAATTAACCGAGGAGTGCACAAGCCATAGTCAATGACCACACCTGTATAAACACCTGCAGCAGTTCGATGTGTACCACCTAAAACACGATCTCCGCAAACCAGCTCATCACAGGACCGCCACTGTCCAGTAGCCAAAACGTTAGAAATTGGCCAACAATGAATTTCCAAATTGAAGTCACCCATGATCACTGTATCTTCACCACAAGTAGCAACAAACTCGAACAGCGCACCCAGCGCACGGCTGGCAGCTGTGCGATCTGAAGCATGTAAGTAAACATTGATGAGAATCAACGGCCTTTGCTGAGGTCTATAGAGTTTGACGGCCATGGATCTTTCCACAGACACCATGTCGACAGGAAGGGCCAAGGCCTCAGCAGGCCACTTTGTTAGAACCAATGTACCACCTTCCACTACATTTTTCGAATTTCTTCCTTGAGGGCCAGGAAAAAGTTGCCACCCGCGTGCCTTGACGGCACGAGTCACAGCATTCCAGCTGTGATTGTTAACTCTAGTTTCTTGAAGACACAGAACATGTAAATTCTGGAGCTGAGCAAAGTCAAGCACACCACCCAAGCGGCCTCCCAAGGACCGTACATTCATAGTCCCCAACCGCATAGTGCTGTCAGAGCCCGTCATGGGTTCTGATCCACAGCGCCATCCTGCTGCAATCCCAAAATGTCCAAAGCTCGCGAAGCAGCTCGCTGTCTGGCACTTGGAGCCTGAGCCGCAAGAGGCACCAAAATATCCCTCTGGCCCTTTCGAAACTTAGTCCAAACCATTTTACGAGGACACTGACTTCCTGTAAGCCGTCTGATGTTGTTGACACAACGCTTGCAATGCACACAAGCAAAACGCACCGTAAAATTGGCAGGCCACACAATGGCGTCGCTTTCTCATCCAAGATCAGTACGATGCCTATGGATAATTGCATCGCGCGATAAAATGAAGTTGAGCGCGGATTTGCACAGATTTCTTCCTGCCAGCAGTGCCGTGTGATACAATAACCCCGTCGCTAAACCAGTTGTTTAACTCATCCAAACTCATTGCCCACAGCAGTGTCTGGCACTCCTTGAGCCTGTGCTGATTATTAGCGTAGGCGCATACCCAGTACGCGCCATCCGCTACATTTCGCAGCGCGGCATGCTGCCGAAGACAAGCCACGAATTTGAAGATGGCTTCCTGCGAGTGAGGGATCAAAGAAGATAAAACACAGGTATCAAAAAATGATACCAGCATAGACCCCAGATAATGATTTTTTGGTCAGTTTCCAAATTTGCAGACAAGACTGAGAGAGCAGGGGGACAAGCTGGCGAGACACAGCGGCAGCAAAGGTGGCGATCATGGAGGGAGACAAGAGTGGGAGACAAGGCGGCTGCAGCGGCAAAATTTTCGTCGATCAGGATCCCCGTAAGAACCCCTATAGCTGACGCTACTTGGGGAAACATATTTCCTATAGAAATATACGTTGATGGTGGGTTAGATATAATTAATGTTTTTTGATCTGGAAGATCTTTTTGATCAGGCAACGAGGGGGTCGAAATACTCTAGACTCTAGGTTGACGACACTTGCAGGTAGCAAAGAAATATTCCATACAGAAATAGATTTTATGTTATGTGGTCTCGATTGCCACTTGGAGCGGCTACCCCAAATATGATTCCATTTAGGGTTGGTTTAGGTTTCATACAGGGGTGGTTTAGATTCTATTTGGGGTTGGTTTAACGTTTATTTACACAAGACGCGTTAGGGAGTTTTTCGGCGCTTCTTTGTGGCTTCTTAGTCCTTCACTGGCATGGTGTTTCCCTGTCCGAAGCTATGTTTTATGGGCTGTCGTGTCTGTTTTTTGGTGTGCTATGCAGCCGTGCTGGCCACGTCGTTTTCAGCTTTTACACTTTTCACTCCACACTCCATACTTTACACTTTATACTCCACTTCATACTTGACACTTTACGCTCGACACTCTGCACTTTACACTCTACACTTCACACTTTCCTACACACTACATTCCTCACTCAACATTCGACTTTCTTCACACTCCACCCATGCTTCATCTTCGGCGGCAGCCCTGAAATAATATTGTGTAATATATTTACACCTGTGCAAGCTTGGATTGGAAGGGGGAATTTTGGACGGGGGGACTGGGAGGAGGCGCTGCGCGCAAAGCAGGACGACAATAATTATTCTCACATGTAATGGAAAAACATGAAACAAAAGCAACAAATCACTGACAAATCACATTCTTTGTTTCTTCTCGTCTCATGTCCTTCCTTTCTTTCATTCTTTCCTACCCTTTCTCCTCTGTTGCTTCCTTCCTTCCCTCCTTCCTTGGTTGCCTTTTTCCTAATATGGTTTGTGTCCTTCCTTCCTTCATTTCTTCATTCCTCCTTCCTCTTCTTTTCATTTGTTTGATTCTTTGATGAACTTTGACCAACCCCTACCTGCCATGCGTGGCTCACAAACCACCATGGATACTGTGCATCAGCATCCGTTGCCACTAGCTCCACCAGGCTGCAGCAGAGCTTGCGCGTGGCAGGCGAAATGATCCAGTGACACGCATGGTGGAGGTTGAATTTCTCGAACTCCAATGGCAAACCGAAGCTGGGGCTCTGTCGAAACCTGGAACGAACGGAACGTTGGCGGCTTTGGCGTCTCGTTGGATCTCAAACTTTGACGCCTAAAGAAATGCGCTCGTAAGCAACATGTAAAATGCTAAAAGCGTCAAACTTTATGACCAGAAAGCTCCAAGGGACGTTTCCACCCAAAAACGGACATGCTTCTGGATGAACTTCTCGATCTGTAGCAGTTGCTGCATGGTGATCCCACGATGCTCAGTTTTCGCGATGGAGACGGCAGAGGTGCCGAGGGCATCATAGCTTACGAGCGCATACCTAAGGCCAAGTTTCGCTGAGAAAGCGATGACCGAAACTTTAAAAACTCCAAAAAGTTGGAGAACCACATTGAACAAAATCTGAACCACAACTTTGTTTCATACTCCCCGGTGCGGTCTCTGCTCTTCTCACCAAGATGCGTGGAGTTGTCCAAGGCCTTGCCTGGTTCTACCTGGTCAACTCCACATGACCTGGGATTTGTTTCAGAGACATTCCAGGTATTTTTTGTTGACATTCAGAGACACATTGGAAACAAAAAAAAGTGAATCGCCCGAAGCAATCCAAGGTCACAGCAGCACATTGTCCCAATGTTCCTCCGGCAGCGCCTGTCGCACGGCAGCGATGGCAGTCTCAAACGTGGCCGGCAGCGGGCAGTGGATCACCGCGCTCGACGTGACCACCGAAGCTGAGGTCATGCCCAGAGTCAAAAAGCAAGGGGATCGGAAAACTAAGCAGATCTAGACAGCTGAACCCTCTGAATTAAGAAATACTGCGGAAAGGCCATGAATTCAAGTGACTCAACAATCAAAATCCAAATCTGTGACACTGTGAATCCATCTGTTGTCCAAGTCTATGGCTACTCCTATCTGCATTTCTATTTCTGTTACGTATTTGTGTCTATTTTTTCTTCCTCCAAAAATCACAGGGTCTTCATCTTGATCTCTGCCTAGCTCTATTTCTATCTTACCATTTTGCAATTTGGCCCTGAGGGCCCGGACCAAGCAGGGCCTGTGGTCGCCGTGTCCCAGGTTGGAGCCTTACTCATCTTACTCGAGGAAACAAGATATAACAAGTATATACTAAGTATAACAAGATATCTAATTTGAAGCTTAGGCCCTAAAGCTCATTGTTCACCCTTAGGCCAGATTGGTTTGTCTTTTGTCAGAATTGTGAATGCAAATGCCATTCCAAGAGTCGCAGCTGCAAGATGAAGTGGAGCATTTCCTCGTGGAGCCCAACTTGGCAGTTGCAGAACTGTCAGAAGATCAGAAAGCAAAGTCAAAACTTCAGAGGTTTGCAAGGACTTTATGACTTCATAGAGCTTGCTAGGTTTGATCAAAATATCGGTGTCCTCGGGATGCTCTAGCCAGCCCTTGCCAGCCCTTGCCATCCGATGACCACATGTCCAGCAGCGATTCGCCTAGGATTCACCAATCCATTGTTAGCCTCACTTCGAAGACACCTGTGCAGGCTAATGACCAATGCTTGCCTTTGAAAATATCACGAACAGTCAAGAAGCATCGGTAACTGCACCAGCATCTTCCAGCAAGATTACACCGCTTGCAAAACATGCGATTTCTCAAGCCTAGTCTATCATTGCAAAATCTTTCTTGATTACTTGTCAATTGGCGATGGAAACCCTCATTGGGCATTGCGCTCCTGGTGCGGGATCTCGTCCATCAACAGTGCTAGCAGAATCGTGCCCAATCCTTCGTGGGAACTTGCGTTCGCCTTTCAACCCTTCAAAAAGAAGGCCAGAATAGGCCAGATCTGCCTGTCAGCACTCGTTGGCGACAAAACTGGGAGCCTCCCGAACTTGGGGGAAATGTTGCCATGTAGCACTGAAGCAGCGGTCGGAAAGACAAAACATCCTTTCAAACAGGTCCTGGTTTCTTAATGTTGATTTTAGAGGGAAAATAGCCGCTGACAACGACGCTGAGAGAGGATATCCCGCCTGTCGGATCTCGTATGCGACGACATGGCTTGCTGACGAGCTGGTGAAACTATGACTGAATGCAACACTGGGATCAGTGGACAAGCATTGTACCCCATTGTACCCTTGTCCCAGTCGATTCTTGGTGCCAGTTTATAAGATCCTGGATCTATGCAATACCAGTAGGTTCAAAAAATGCCGACCTTTGGCAAGAGTGATTACTCGAACCCACCTTGCAATCACATCCATGTTCGTCTGTATGAATGTGTCTTGCCGGTTTGTGCAACATGCTCTTCCCAACATGTGTTCTTCCTTCTGCCGGCATGCGGAATTTAAATCATCCCCCTGTAGTGTCCCCAGGTGGGGTTGGGGACCCTAAACCAAAATAATTTTTAAAATAAAATTATAGGTGCCCAACCATGCTGGGAAAACAGGGAAAAACAACATATTTATACATGAATTCCTCCATCCTGACTGAAAATTATTTTGCAAAATCTGCGAAATAAAAATAAAATAAAATCTAGTTGGGTACCCAAGGGTGCCAGGAAAATAAAATGCCAGGTACCCAAGGTGAGCCATGTTGTCCCAAGGACTTCCAAACCCAAAAAATAAAATAATTCTGGGTTACCCAAGGTCTCCATGTTCTCCCTTTGCATCCTTTGTTTTTTTTTGCAGCGCCTTTCATCTTGATTTTGATCATATCGAAGCACTCTGCACACTTGCAAATCGTACAGACCAAGCATCAAAATACCAAAAGCCATTATCATCATTATCCAACAAGTCTTGTTCATAAAATGCAGATTGTTGTGAAAAAAATGTTAAACATGACTTGTTCTCACTTGTTCATTTTTGGTTTTCCATTTTGTTTCCTGTTCCCTGCTGTTCCCGGTTGTAGTGACATCGTGTTTTCTCATTTTCACAATTTTATTTATTGTTTTATTGTTATTTTTCTTTCTGGTAAATCATATGTTTTTCTTTCTGGCAAATCATATGTGTTTCTTTCTGTCATCATTATTTTCGTAAAGTTTTTTCTGGTTTCCCCATGTTTCCCCCTGTTTCCCCCATGATTTTCAGTGACATTTTTCTCATTTTGCATCATTACCCCAAGGGCCGTTCGTTACCCCGTTGTGCCCGTTCTACCCGTCGTTCTACCCGTTGGGTTACCCCGAGATCCAGCAACGGGGAATCTCGGGGAACCACCAGAGGTGCATTGTTAAAGGTCTACATGTTGTGATGTTGCTGGGTTAGGTCTATCATTCTTTTTCTGTATATAATATAAATATAATATGGTAATCATTTTTGGTTATGATAATGTATATATAGATATATTACAGATTAATTTATTTATATCAGTTATTTATTTATACATTATATTATATGAAGAATTGTTCACAATGTGCTATTTTTTGGGTGCCCAAAATGAACAAAACACCTGGCTCAAAATAAAATCATAGGTACCCTACCTGCTTAGCTGCATTTGTCCCCAAGGGGGGTCAACCAGTATATCCAAAATAAAATCATAGGTACCAAACTTACTTAAGGCCCGAACCCAGGTGCCAGATGGGCCTCCATGCATACGATCGTCTCCCTTTTTTTGCTCCTCCATCCTGCAGCCTTTTTGGTTTGGGCATGTCAGAGCTACAATCACGCTGGACGACTTGCCTGACAACATTCCACTTTGAGATGCATTATGAGCTATCTAGCTTCTAATTTGGACAAACTGGCATTTTCTTACCAACGGAATAGCCAAGCAAGAAAGGCATGGGCAGAAAAACACACACTAAATTTTTCGTCTCACTGCATCTCTACATTGTACACATGTTTGGAAGATATCTAACAACATCTTTCAACAAACCCTGAAAAATAAACATGTTCGTCAGAAGTCCCTTGAATTTTCCATGATATTTCCCTTCACACTGGACCCTTCAGACTGGATCATTTTGCTCCCAGGGCGACACACTTGAGCCACGCTGACTCAACAAACGGATAACAACTGTGATTCTGCACAAGAAGAAGATGCTACAAGACTCCCTGAAATTTTCATCGGTTTTCAAGACAGAGTTTCAAACAAAGGAATTTGCAGCTCATTGATTCCAATGTCGTTATTTTCTCTATCCAGCAACTCCCTTTGCTCAGAGATAACTTCCAGATCTACAACGTTTTGGCCTCCTTTCTCTCTTTTTGTTGACGAGGCGTTTTCAGGAATGCACAAGCTGATTTCGTCCATGCTGTCCACGCCACCCACAACTCAGAGCTCCATTCTGAGACACAATAGATTTGTCTCCAGACGTCAATCATCGAGGTCTCCACTGTACTAGAATCACGGCTTTCCAATCTTCTTCCCAATCTTTCCCAACTTCTGCCTCCTTTTTCTTTCGCATCTTTCTAGTGTCTCTATCCCTCCCATTGCCGCGAACCAAACATGATGTTCATTTGCCTCATCTGTTAGATGTTTCAAGGCTTTGAGGCAAGCTTTATTGAAGCGTCCCACGCCCATCTCGCAGTTTTTGAGGCACTTGCTTGCCAAGGATTGACTTAACTCGTCACCATGTTCCAACCAATGCAAAACATCCCGCGCAAAGAAATGCCGTAAAGACTTGTCGTCTATCTGCAGTGCATCGACGGCAATATACAAAAGAAGATGGGCGACTTCCGCATAGTTGGACTCTCGAGACCACCTCCGCATAGTTTCGAAGAAGCGCAGCATTGCATGCTGATCACCGAACTTCCACCAGTGCTCCGAGTGCTTCACCAAAGTTTCAAAGCCTCGGACGGAACGAACCACTGTCTGGTCGATTGAATCTCAGATCTGACGGGTCGATTCGGTCGATTCTCCAAGTGTCTGGCCTTTACAGTTGCGTGGCAAAGTGGGCGGGGGCCCAACTAAATTAGGATCTGTCGAGGAGAACAGGAACTGAAAGTACTCGACGTAGCCTTCAACCCTGGCAAAGTATGACAAAGTGACGGCAAGAATGATTCCGTGAATTGCTGTTCAAATTCATTTCCACACCTCATAGGCTTCACTGCTGCGATGATTTGCCGATTCCAGACCTTCGCTGTTTCAGCGCACGAAAGGATGCGAAAAATATTGCAAGACGGGTTCAAACTGGGCCTTCCGATCAGAAGTTTCACGGCAAAGAAGTCGAAAACTGAGAAAGTCTTCTACCTCAGCGGTGCGATCTGAATTTGCCAAATTTGAGGAATGGCGCATCCAAGGACGGTACTGACAAATAGAACGGCAAACATTGGAGCAACCTCAGCACCATTCAGAGCAGCTTATAGCTCGCTTATAGTTTGCTGACATCTGAGCCAGGCAACACTGCAGGCGCAGCCTGACATCGAATTCCAAAACCACAAAGAAGTCTCAAACAGAACTTCTATATGTACACAACATTAGTACCCAACCCAGCGGTCGCCTGTTTCCGCTGCGCCTCACCGTGAATTCTGAGAAAGGCAGAGCTCCGAATTCTAAGAATTTACAACTTAGAGTAAGCGAAGTAAGCAACTCCAGAGTTCCGCAACTTCGGCAGAGCGGAAAGCCTAAACTCCGCCGAAGCCGGGCCTCGAAGGGCAAAAGCTCCTCGAAGGCCTCGGAGCTCCAGAGCTCGTGCCACCAGAACATGCACCAGGCCTAGGCCAAGGTCGGCCCAAAGGTGTTTTCAAGACGAAAACAAATTCAAACCAATGTCAAATGAATTTTGCAAATTTTCACAAACGAAACATGAAAAGAAAATTGGTGAAAAGATCACTTGGTTAAGCTTAATTTCTCTCTCTCTCTCTCTGTATTCCGCTTCTGGTGTGGCCTGCTCGTCAAAGTCTTCTTTTTCTGATGCCCTTGCCAAATTGCCCAAGCAACATTGCCACATGGAGGGAACTTCACTACAGTTACATGCAGAAAGCATTCAGCCTTTGAAGATTCTCTTCCTTCACTTCATCCAGCAAGAGGCTTGCTGCAGAATCCAATGAGGGGCTCGCTGCCCCTGACAATTGCCAAAAATCCTCGGGACCGGACGGAGATCCATCATGTCAAATGCAAATCTGAGCCAAGGCGTCAACATCAGTTGCCGATGCTAATGGCGATGCGAAGGCCTCAGCCGGCCGTTTCCATCTGGCTTATGTGGCGAAAACCGTAGAAAGCCCAAGCAAAAGTTCTCATCGTTTCAATTCTTCCACCACGACAATGTGTGGAACATGCCCGGCCGCCATAATAAAGCAAATTCCATGAGGCCATTTGGATATCTTTTGTTAACACAGTGAACACCAAGACTCACCCCAAGAGAAGCCTCGGGGTCTTCGTCGCCGATCCAATAGTTCACTGGCCCTGGCACCTTCCAAAGCTCAGCTCAATGAAATATGATGAAAATCTGATGAACATATGACGAAATCTGGCGATGTCCCACTGATTCTCGTTTCACCATTTTCACCATCTTCAATGCCCATTCCAGACCAAACACCGGACCAAGCCTATGGAAATTACAGAGATACAGGACGATGTGCCCGTGATTTATGAAACGAAGACTTTGGGCAACGGTCAGTCCGCTGTGCTCGACATGCAAACCTTGTGGTCTGTCTCTGGTGGCTGCGGTTCTGAAAGCGAAGAACTCATTGCCTCGAAAAGTTGAGCTTTGTGCTCCACAAAAAGCTTTCAAAACGCGTTTAAAGTATTTTGAGATCCTTGCCTCGCAATCCGAACTGTAAACATAGCTGTGGATTTTTGCCTGAAAACAACATGTCATGTCTTAGAGCGAGTCACATGCATTGAGACTCTAAGACGGCACCTGTCTTCTCTTTCTACGTGCCCTCTCTTTGGCCACCTGTGCACAAAATTCCACAGGATACACGAACATGTTGTTGCCACATCCACCACTGCCAGAGCCAAGTCTTTTGGTTGCACAACCATTGTTTGAATTGAATCAAGAAAAGGGGAGCGAAAGTTGGGAGGTGACACAACCTGGACGAACTTCCTTGTTGGCGCCTCTTACCTTGACCTTTCTTGTCCGCTCGCAGGCCAGTTTGCAACATGTGGACTCGACCCTCCCTCTATCACACTTCGCAACCTCCTTCAAAACCTCAACGCGCACAGCCTAACAAATCCAGCCACAATTTTTCCACCCGAACATGCACCAGGACTGATCCAATCGGCACGAAGACGCGATTCGACCAAAAAGTTTTGCAAATAACCTAGACGAAAGCAACACAGTGTGCAAACAATAAGAGGTGAAAGCAAAATTGTATAAAATTGTGGTTAGATACTTGGTTGATTTGATCTCTTACTGTCTCTCTCTGTATTCCGCTTCTGGTGTGGCCTGCTCGTCAAAGTCTTCTTTTTCTGATGCCCTTGCCAAATTGCCCAAGCAACATTGCCACATGGAGGGAACTTCACTACAGTTACATGCAGAAAGCATTCAGCCTTTGAAGATTCTCTTCCTTCACTTCATCCAGCAAGAGGCTTGCTGCAGAATCCAATGAGGGGCTCGCTGCCCCTGACAATTGCCAAAAATCCTCGGGACCGGACGGAGATCCATCATGTCAAATGCAAATCTGAGCCAAGGCGTCAACATCAGTTGCCGATGCTAATGGCGATGCGAAGGCCTCAGCCGGCCGTTTCCATCTGGCTTATGTGGCGAAAACCGTAGAAAGCCCAAGCAAAAGTTCTCATCGTTTCAATTCTTCCACCACGACAATGTGTGGAACATGCCAGGCCGCCATAAGAAAGCAAATTCTTAAATCTACGAACTCTGAGAAAACATGTTGCATGCAGGTCGCCTTCCTGTTGAAAGGCACAGGAACCTCATTGGGCTCCGGCTGCCGCAGCCTTGGCAAGAGGACTTTCGGAATGCAGCTTTCGAAGAAATCTCGGTGCAATTTTCCCAAACTGAGAATCTGGGCATGTCATGCGCAGCAAAGTGCGGGTCTGCCATGAGTTCCTGTTGGGAAAAAGCTCAAGCGAGTAAAGCGAAGCCTTGCGAAGCCAGAGCAAACCGAATCAAAAAGAACAACACATATTTTCAGTAGAAACTGTTTCAATGCAGGCTGGTTGTCCTGGAGGAGCAAGCCATGTCGCTTTTCCTGAGTGACTGCTTCAATATTCCTTCACCTCAAGTCTTATCGTTCTCATCACAAGCAAAAAATGAAATATTTCAAGTGTCTTCACCGAGCTTTGTCTGATTCATCGCCAGGTTTCAAGCTCGGCTCGTTCTTCGGCCAAGCATGCCTCCAGCCGCTCGAAGAGACTCGTTGAACCCATGGCGCCCAGGCGAAGACTCCAAACTTGCTCGTAGCAAAAAATGGTTCGAAGGAGACAACGCTTGGGAGAAATTTTGGTTTTTGAAAAAATGGTATGGCCAAAAAAAAAGGCTAGATTCCTTGAAATGCCGGCTCATTTTTGCAACAAAACTTCAGTCTAGCAAATTAGAACCTGAAAAGGTTTGGGTTTGGACTGTTGACGTTGAAGGACTTTGTGTCAAACCCATTTCAAACGTTTCGAAAGAGTCTGCTATGATGTTAAAGAAGGACTGAATTCTGCCGGGGACTGGTGTTAGAAAGGACAAGGACATGATGCAAGCAGCAATTGATATGCATTATTTTTGCACGATTGATATGCACTATGCTTATAGGTGAAAATTACTCGAAAAATATCGATCACATATACAGCTAATGGACAGTATGCCTCCTGAATGAACAAAACAAGCAGTCATTGGAAGAAAGTCGAAGTCTCGAGAGCCAAAACAGTTGCTCAAACAATCCAAGTTGCGCACTCAAACAATCGAGATTTCCAGTTGCTCGACAGTCTGCCACAGGTTTCAACCACAAGCCCGTTGTTTCAATTGGTACTACTCTTTGTTTTCTAGATGTTTGCCCCTGAAGCTCAAACACAAGGGTTGACGTCTTCTCATCGCTTTTTCCTTTCCATACTGTCTATGTGGTGATGTTCGGTTACAAAAACATCATGAACTTCATTTTTTCAAGCGTCGATGGATAATCTGCTTGCTCATCGTGCATGTCTTCTAGATGATCTAAATCACAACTTCTAGTATGTTTCTACAAAATGCTCTTGTTTCGGCCCAGTCGTTCCTATTTTCGGTCAAGCTTAGCGCCCAAACGCACTGCGACAACCTCCGCCCACCATGCAACTCCACAAGTGTCAAGCTACAAGTGGTTGCTGAGAAAGCTGAGAAACACACGTCCTCAGTTCTGATGTTTGTGCTAGAAATGGCAGTCTGTCCTGGGCAAACAGTCAAAATACATCAGAGATTTACAAGAAACAGCTCAAAACTTGATCAATGATTTTTGGTCAAAAAATTGACGCTGCAAACATAGGTTGGGGCACTGGAGTGACGAGGGTCGACGGCCCTTAGGTCGAAGCGCATTTTCCAATGTTGTTGAGCAACCATTCATTTTACCTTTATTGACCATCAGTTTTACCATCATTAATCGTGAACTATATCCAATGATTGAGCCATATCCAATGTCAAGGTTGTCCTTCCGAAGGTCGCCGCTGACCAACGCTCTTGGCCTCCTGAAAGCGCTGAGCTGCAGCCCACTCTGTGCTCCCTCAACACATGCAAATGATGGTTGGCTCATGGTGCTTAATAACGGTTTATGATAGTTAATAGTTGTTACAAACGGTTTTTGTTTATGCTTGATGCTTAATGGTTTATCGGTTGATCCATGATTGGGTAGCTTGATCGCCCCCAACGGCCCACAGCTGGAAGGGTAAACTGACCATGGCTCTCGTAATCGCAAGGAATGCTCGTGGAAAAATTGGTCCTTGAGCACTGCACACTCCCCGGTGCGGTCTGCGGTCTTCTCACCAAGATGCGTGGAGTTGTCCAAGGCCTTGCCTGGTTCTACCTGGTCAGCTCCACATGACCTTGGTTCAGAGACATTCCAAGATTTTTTGTTGACATTCAGAGACACATTGGAAACAAAACAAGATGGAAGCCACGAACCCGAATGTATTCACGTTCTTGGACTACGAATGCAAACCTCTGCAATAGGAAAACGAACCTTTTTTTGCATGCATCGTGCCCTCATACCGTCTCAGCGAAGGCGCCTGAGCAACAGTTCACAAAGAGACAACTAACCAGCACAACAACATCACCACCAGCACAACGAAATCACAACCAGCACAACAACATCACCAGCGCAATGAAACCACAACGAAATCACCCGCACAACGAAATCACCAACGCAACAAAATCACAAGCACAACAACATCACCAGCGCAACGAAATCACCAGCACAACGAACGCACAAGCAGAATGAAATCACCAGCGAACAGCACCAGCGCAACAAAATCACCAAAGCAAACGACATCACTAGCACAACGAAATCACCAGCACAACAAAATCACCAGCACAACATAACCAGCACAACAACGTCACCAGCACAACGAGATCACCACCACCTGCCACAGTCCACACTTTACCCACTGCACACTCCACACTCCTCACTCTACACTTTACACTCCACACTCCACACTTTACACTCTGTACTCCACACTCTACACACACTACACTGCACACTGCACACGCCACACTTGACCCACTGCACACTCCACACTCCACACTCCACACTTTACACTCCACACTCCTCACTCCACGCACTACACTCCACACTCTACACCCTACACACACCACACTCCTCACTCCACACTCCACACTCCTCACTCCTCACTCCACGCACTACACTCCACACTCCACACTCCACAACACTCCACGCCCCACCACACTCTACACTCTACACACACCACACTCCTTACTCCACACTCCACGCTGTACACTCCACACTCCACACTCTACACGCCACACTTTACACTCTACACTCCACACACCACACCCCTCACTCCACACTCCACACTTTACACTCAACACTTTACACTCCACACTTTGCACTTTACACTCCTCACTCCACACTTTACACTCCTCACTCCACACTTTACACTCCACACTTTACACTCCACACTCCACACTCTACACTTTACACTTTACACTCTACACTCTGCACTCTACACTCCACACTTTACACTCCACGCTTTCAACTTTACACTCGTCACTCCACACTTTACACTACCGCTTGACACTTCATACTCGACACTTTACACTCCACAATCCACACTTTAGACACTGCGCACTCCACACTCCACACTCTACACTTTACACTCCACACTCCTCACTCCTCACTCGACACTCCACACACGACACTCCACACTCCACACTCCACAATCCACACTCCACACTCCACACTTTACACTCCACAGAGAAGAGAAGAGAAGAGAAGAGAAGAGAAGAGAAGAGAAGGGAAGAGAAGAGAAGAGAAGAGAAGAGAAGAGAAGGGAAGAGAAGAGAAGAGAAGAGAAGAAGAAAAGAAGATCAAAGAAGATCAAAGAAGAGAAAGTCAGAAGCAAGAAGATCCAGGTGCGCGAAAAGGTAGGAAAGTCGCGAAACGATGTGTTTTTCCAATGATTCGTGGCTCCGGAGGGTCGAAAAGTAGGCTCGCTAAAGCGGCGGGTGCGGAGCCATGTGGTCAGATGAGAGATGAAAAGTTGCACGCCATTGTGGCGTGAAGCACATTTCCAAGCCAAAACGTGCAAAGCACACCAGGGTCGGACCACTTTTTGAAGTTGAGATGTCGAAAAAGTGCATGTCATTGATTGTGGCACGAAACACATTTGCAAGTGAAAAAAACTAAAAACATCTCACGTTCGGAGCACTTTTGGAAGTTGAGATGTGGAAAAAGTGCATGCCGTTGTGGCGCGAAGCACATCTCGACAACAAAATGTACAAAACACACCAGGTTCGGACACTTTTTGAGAAGTTGAGATGTCGAAAAAGCGCATGTGGCGCGAAGCATATTTCGAAGCCAAGAGTGCAAAAAACTGAGGGGTACGGTGCACTTTTGGACGTTCAGATGTCGTTTTGCGTGGCAGGCGCAGGGGATTGTGCACAGTGTCAAAAGTGAGCAAAATGTGAAGGTTTTGTAGCAGCTTCAACTACAACCACCACTACACTACACCCCACTCCACTACACTACACTGCATTCCACTACAACTACAACTGCAACTACCACTACACTACATTACACTACACTATACTAATCACGCCACTAACTACAACTACAGCTACAGCCACAACGACAACTACACTACACTACACTACACTACGCTACGCTACGCTACGCTACGCTACACTACGCTACGCTACGCTACGCTACGCTACGCTACGCTACTACACTATACTAATTAGATTGCGCTACACTACACCACGCTACACCACACGCACTACACTATACACTATACACTATACAACATACAACATACAACATACAACATACTACATACTACATACTACATACTACACTACACTACACTACACTACACTACACTACACTAAGTACAACTACAGCTACAACTGCAACTACGCTATTTTACACTACGTCACACTCCACCTCACTACGCTACACCACACTACCCTACATTACATTACGCTACGCTCATTGCACCACCACAAATGCAACTGCAACTACACTAATTACACTAATTAACCGAAGGAAGTTTAGAAGTCAAACTTCCGACAATATGGACAGATGAAAAGCAGAGAAGGGAAGACGCAGAGAGAAGAGAAAGATTAGAAGAAAGAAGAGTAGAAGGGAAAGGGTCAGAAGAAAGCAGATGCAGATGCACGAAAAGGTAGGAAAGTCGCGAAGCACTGTGTTTTTCCAATGATTTGGGGCTCCGGAGGGACGAAAAGTACGCTCGCTAAAGCGGCGGGTGCGGAGCCAGCTGGCCAGATGAGAGATGAAAAATTGCACGCCGCTGTGGCGAAGCACATTTCGAAGTCAACATGTACAAAGCACACCAGGTGCGGACCAATTTTGGCAGTTGAGATGTCGAAAAAGTGCACGCCGTTGTGGCGCAAAGCACATTTCGAAGTCAAAATGTACAAAACACCTCAGCTTTGCACCACTTTTGGAAGTTGCGATGTCGAAAAAGTGCACGCCGTTGTGGCGCAAAGCAAATTTCGAAGTCAAAATGCACAAAGCACACCATGTACGGACCACTTTTGGCAGTTGAGATGTCGAAAAAGTGCACGCCGTTGTGGCGCGAAGCACATTTCGAAGTCAAAATGCACAAAACACCACATGTTCGCGCCACGTTTGGAGGTTCAGATGTCGTTTTGCGTGGCAGGCGCAAAGGATTGTGCACCTTGTCAAAAGTGAGCAAAACGTGAGGGTTTTGCAACATTTCCAGAAACGATGGCAGGCGTGGGGCATTTGAAGAGGATCTTCAAAGATGCATTTCGCGTGGCAGGTGCAGTACAAAAGACTGGTTCATCAGAGATGTTCGGAGGTCAGGGCGCTCATTTCCTGAGAGGGGTTGCATTTTGGAGTATCAGATCTTCAGGTTTGCTGAGATGATTTTGCGTGACAGGTGCAGCACTTCGTATGACCTGGCATCAATTTTTCGTGGCAGGCGCAGTACTTTACACAGGTGGAGTGGAAAAATCGCAAAACGCATTGGTACGAGGCTCCCAGCGCTGCACTCAACTTTCCATTTTTGAAGGAAGTCTCGCAGAATTGCTTTGTTTTGGACGTTGTTAAGTTCAAACATTGAGGAAGTCTCGCAGAATTGCTGCGGTTTTGGACGTTGTTAGGTTGAAAAATAAAAGAAGTGTCGCAGAGTTGTTTTGTTTTTGATGTTGTTAAGTTCAAAAAATGAGGAAGTCTCGCAGAAGAGCTTCGTTTTCAATCTGGCAGATAGACAGATAGATAGACAGACAGACAGACAGAGATAGATAGATAGATAGATGGATAGATAGATGGATAGATAGATAGATGGATAGATAGACAGATAGATAGATAGATGGATAGATAGATAGATAGATAGATAGATAGACAGATGACATGGATAAAACAGATGAGATTGATAGATCGATAAATAGATCGACAGATAGATGGATAGATGGATAGATGGACAGATGGATAGATGGATAGATGGATAGATGGATAGATGGATAGATGGATAGATGGATAGATGGATAGATAGATAGATAGATAGATAGATAGATGGATAGATGGATAGATGGATAGATGGATAGATGGATAGATGGATAGATGGATAGATAGATGGATGGATAGATAGATCGATAGATAGGTAGATGGGTAGGTAGGTAGGTAGGTAGGTAGGTAGATAGTCAGAGAAAGAGAGAGAAAGAGACCTCAAGCACCTTTCGGTCCATCAGTGGATTCGCTCTGCCATCCCTGATTCACAACAACCAATCTCTCCTATAGGTTTCGTATTTTTGAAACTTCCGCCACCGCCTTGTGCGGTACTACTGGTACTAATTACGCTACACCACAACTACAAAAACTCCACTACACTACAACTACAGCTGCACTACACCACACTACATCCAGCAGTTGTGGGCGAGGTGACCGACCAGGTGACCACTGCAACCACTGTAACCACTCCAAAAAACACAACTCCAACCACCTTTCTGTCCATCAGTGGATTCACTCTGCCATCCGTGATTCACAACAACCAAGCTCTCCTATAGGTTTCCTATTCTGAAACTTTCCCCACGGCCTTGTGCGGTACTACTGGTATCCTTGAATGGTATTCTTAGACTATTCCTTTCTATCCCTTTCTATTGCTGCAAAACATTGGAACATATTGGAACTTTGTGATATTTTGTGATCTTCTACTCTGAGCTGCTGAACACATCAAACACATCTTCTGGGATCATGAAAGTGACAGTGTGTAAAGGTGGTCTCCAATACTTCCTGTGAACTGGGCTGCCTGCCCTGGCTTTGTACATGTCAAGTCCAAATCGGCACTGAATTCAGCCTCGCACGAAACACGAAGCTAAAAAAAATGGAGAAGGATAAACGGCTTGGCTTTGCCTTTGTTGGGATGAAACTAAGCCCTGCTACGCTTCCAAGAGCGTTGATGACGCTCAATGGACTCGACTCAACCTGCGCCAGAGAAAAAAAACCATATATGCGCTCAACGCTGCTGTAGAAACAGCTCCAGAGAAGCGTGGCGAGCTGTACTAAACTGTAACTTGGCAAAACCGAGCCAACGTGAAACACATTGAAACACTCTTTGACAAACGAATGCTGAATTCTCTTGGTATCTCTTGGTGGCACGACCTCAGAGAGGTCTGAACTTTGCCTCTTGAGAAACGGGCAGCATGCAGTAACTACATGGAACTTCAACGAATTGCCAAGTACACATCACCATACAACACCTCCTGAACCTTGCGAATCTTGCGCCTGGATGGGAGGACCCAGTTGGGGATCAACGAGCTGTGTCACATTGGACTCATTCGTGGCGTTGGTGTCATTGGATTCGTTGATCTCGTCAACATCCTCCGATTATGCAGGCAGCCCCTTGGCATGGAACGCAATAGGTCCAAACGGATGAAACAGGAGTAGCATCAGCAAAAATAGCCAAAGCAACTAACGATAGTGAAAGCAAAGAACTGGAGTACAACGGATCACTAAGGCAGAGATCAGTGTCGTTGTGGATTCGCTCAGTGGCAGGTTTGTTCTGTCTCTTGACTCGCTCAGCTTCGATTGAAAAGCTCTGAGAATCACGAGGGCATGTCTTGACGGACTTCAAACAAGCTCCCTCAAGAATACCACTGCGGCGCTTGTCCTGCCCACGCTCCAATGGCCAGCATGCGTAGCTGTGCAGGCATCAACGGCGGGAGTCCGCCCACATGCACGGCTGCAAAATGTGGACGCTACGGAAACGAAGGATGGTGGTGTCTTTGAAAATTTTCATCACCTTGAGCCGAGCCCACTAAATCAGTCAGATAACTTAATGGATTTGTGTGAGGGAAATATCAAAGAAAACCGGTTTAGACTCCGAAATATAGCTGCCCCGAGATCAACTCCGAATGACCGTCATTCACTTGATTCAACAGTAGGATGTCGAGGTCATCATCTCGGAAAATTCTGATGCTACGCGGCTATTCCTCAACTAATGAGTCAGTCTCCAAGGCACCTTTTTGAACCCCTACACATATGATCTGCTGGCAACTGGTTACAGTGGCTGACGAGCATGGTCTTAGTCAATCCTCAAAAACCATTTGGGCGTGCGTGCCATCCGCTTTTCACCAGCTATCTGCTGTGCAGGGTCCCCCCAAGGCATCTACTCCCAAGGACTTCCCCCTGCATAGGCCCAAATGAAAATTGCACAAGGGCACCGTAAATCATTGGTAATTAGTCTGTACGAGCACGCCTCAAGACCCAGCTGCATTCAGCTACTCATTGTTCTATAGCTGCAGTGAGGATCGCCCTCGGTCCATGGCACGTGAGCACCACAAGCATACCAGGGGCTAGCGCAGGACCTCCCTGATGGCCAATGCCGAAGTCAAAGCTGGAGACTTCCTCGGGGTTGTGAAGGTCACACAGGCCATCTTTGTTGATGTCACGCAATGCATAGGTGACACCGCCGAAGGCCCAGTTGATATAAACGATGCCATCCTTTGAGATAACCGGCGCCGACCAGGCCAAAGGCCAGCACATTTCTTCCAGGGTGCCACCCCGGGCACCCACAGCTGTGCAGGATGGCGTGTTGAAGGACCAAATCATATCTCCTGAAAGCTCCAAAACGTCTTGATCAAAAACGAAAGAACCCAAACTACAAAGCGCCTAAAATAGTGATTGTATACCAGTAGTACCGCACAAGCCGGCGGCGGAAGTTTCAACAATAGGAAACCTATAGGAGAGGCTGGTTGTCGTGAATCACGGATGGCAGAGAGAAGCCACTGATGGACCGAAAGGTGGTTGGAGTTGTGTTTTTTGGAGTGATTGCAATGGTTGTGGTGGTCACCTCGCCACAACTGCTGGATGTAGTGTGGTGTAGTGCAGTTGTAGTTGTAGTTGTAGTTGTAGTTGTAGTGTAGTGTCGTGGGGTTGTAGTTGTAAGTTGCAGTTGCAGTTGTAGTTGTGGTGTGGTGTAATGAGTGTTGTGTATTGTAGTGCGCTGTAGTGGTGTGCACTGTAGTGTGGTATAGGGTAGTGTAGTCTAGTCTAGTGTAGTGTAATGTAAAGTAGTGTAGTAGTAGTTGTAGTGCAGCGTAGGGTAATTAGTGTAGTGTAGTGCAGTGTAGTGCAATGTAGTGGTAGTTGTAATTGCAGTTGCAGTTGTAGGTGTAACGCAATGGAATGTATTTAGTGTAGAGCAATTAGTGTAGCGTAGTGTTGTGTAATGTAGTGTAGTTGTATTTGTAGTTGTGGTTGTAGTGTAGTGTAATGTGGTGTAGTTGTAATTGTAGTTGTAGCTGTGGTGGTGGTGGTGGTGGTGGTGGTGGTGGTGGTGGTAGAAGTATCAGTAGTGGTAGTAGTAGTAGTAGTAGTAGTAGTAGAAGTAGAGGAGGAGTAGTAGTAGGAGTAGTAGTTGTTGTTGTAGTAGTAGTAGTAGTAATAGTTGTTGTTGTTGTTGCAGTTGCAGTGTCATTAGTGTAGTGGAGTGTAGTGAAGCGTAGTGAAGTGTAGCGTAGTGTAGTTTAGTGTAGTTAGATGCAAGTGGTGTAGTGTAATTAGTGTTGTGTAATGTAGCGTCGTATGTTTGCATTTGGAGTTGTAGTAGCAATAGCGCTAGTTGTAGTTGAAGCTGTCTATCTACCTATCTATCTGTCTACCTGAAAGCTTGAAAACCAAGCTATTCTGCGAGACTTCCTCAATTTTTGAAATTGGCAACATCAAAAACAAAGCAATTTTGCGAGACTTCCTTCAATAATGGAAAGTTGAGTGCAGAGCTGATGGCCTCCTACCAATGCGTTTTGCGATTCTTCCAGTCCATGTCTCTGAAGTATTGCTTGCGCCTGCCACGAAAAAGTGATGCCAGGTCATACGAAGTGCTGCACCTGTCACGCAATATCACCTTAGCAAACCTGAGGATCTGATGCTCGAAAATGCTACCCCTCTCAGGAAATCAGCGCCCTGACCTCCTAACATCTCTGACGGACACGTCTCTTGTATTGCGCCTGCCACGGAAAATGCATCTTTCCAGATCCTCCCCAAATGCCCCAGGCCTGCCATGGTTTTTGGACATGCTACAAGACCCTCACCTTTTGCTCACTTTTGACAAGGTGCCAATCCCTTCCGCCGACCAAGCAAAACGACATCTGAACGTCCAAGTCCTCTGAACCCGTTATATTTTTTTACACTTTTGGCTTCGAAATGTGCTTCGCGCCACAACGGCGTGCACTTTTTCGACATTTCAACTTCCAAAAGTGGTCCGAACATGGTGTGTTTTGTGCATTGTGACTTCCAAATGTGCTTCGCGCCAGAACGGCGTGCACTTTTTCGACATTTCAACTGCCAAAAGTGGTCCGCACATGAAGTGTTTTGTACATTGTGACTTCCAAATGTGCTTCGCGCCACTTTTTCGACATTTCAACTTCCAAAAGTGGTCCGAACATGAGGTGTTTTGTACATTGTGACTTCCAAATGTGCTTCGCGCCACAACGGCGCGCACTTTTTCGACATGTCAACTTCCAAAAGTGGTCCGAACATGAGGTGTTTTGTACATTGTGACTTCCAAATGTGCTTCGCGCCACAACGGCGTGCACTTTTTCGACATTTCAACTTCCAAAAGTAGTCCGAACATGAGGTGCTTTGTGCATTTTGACTTGGAAATGTGCTTCGCACCACAACAGCGTGCACTTTTTCGACATCTCAACTTCCAAAACTGGTCCGAATATGAGGTGTTTTGTACATTGTGACTTCCAAATGTGCTTCGCGCCACAACGGCATGCACTTTTTCGACATTTCAACTTCCAAAAGTGGTCCGAACGTGGTGTGTTTTGTGCATTTTGGCTTGGAAACGTGCTTCGCGCCACAATGGCGTGCACTTTTTCGACATTTCAACTTCCAAAAGTGGTCCGGACATGAGGTGTTTTGTACATTGTGACTTCCAAATGTGCTTCGCGCCACAACGGCGTGCACTTTTTCGACATTTCAACTTCCAAAAGTGGTCCGAACGTGGTGTGTTTTGTGCATTTTGACTTGGAAATGTGCTTCGCACCACAACGGCGTGCACTTTTTCGACATTTCAACTTCCAAAAGTGGTCCGAACATGAGGTGTTTTGTACATTGTGACTTCCAAATGTGCTTCGCGCCACAACGGCGTGCACTTTTTCGACATTTCAACTTCCAAAAGTGGTCCGAACATGAGGTGTTTTGTACATTGTGACTTCCAAATGTGCTTCGCGCCACAACGGCGTGCACTTTTTCGACATTTCAACTTCCAAAAGTAGTCCGAACATGAGGTGTTTTGTGCATTTTGACTTGGACATGTGCTTCGCACAACAACGACGTGCACTTTTTCGACATCTCAACTTCCAAAAGTGGTCCGAACATGAGGTGTTTTGTACATTGTGACTTCCAAATGTGCTTCGCGCCACAACGGCGTGCACTTTTTCGACATTTCAACTGCCAAAAGTGGTCCGAACATGAGGTGCTTTGTGCATTTTGACTTGGACATGTGCTTCGCACAACAACGACGTGCACTTTTTCGACATTTCAACTGCCAAAAGTGGTCCGAACATCAGGTGCTTTGTACATTTTGACTTCGAAATGTGCTTCGCCACAACGGCGTGCAATTTTTCATCTCTCATCTGGCCAGATGGCTCCGCGCCCGCCGCTTTAGCGAGCCTACTTTTCGACCCTCCGGAGCCCCAAATCATTGGAAAAACACAGTGCTTCGCGACTTTCCTACCTTTTCGCGCACCTGCATCTTTCTTCTGACTCTTGCTCCTCTCTGATCTTCTCTCTTCTGCTCTTCTCTTCTTTGACTCTTCCCACCTCTGCTTTTCCATCTGTCCATATTGTCAGAAGTTTGACTTCTAAACTTCCTTCGAATAAGGAACTAGACGACGGATGGCCCGAGAGCGTAGAGGAGCAGAGTCTTCTGTTGTTAGTATGGAGACACTATATTACAAGATAATATATTAAAGATGTATTATAGGCAGACGAGAAGAATAGTATCAAGACAATATATGACTAGTACAAGACAATAGTTTGCATCGTATTTTTGTAAAGTTTTTCATACACAGAACTTTTTACAGACAGACGCTTTTGCACACAGAGACTTTTACACACAGAGACTTTTACACACAGAGACTTTTACACACAGACGCTTTTACACACAGACGCTTTTACAGACAGACGATTTTGCACACACACAAACACTTTTACACACAGAGACTTTTACACACACAGACGCTTTTACACACAGAAGCTTTTACACACAGAAGCTTTTACACACAGACGCTTTTACACACAGACGCTTTTACACACAGACGCTTTTACACACAGACGCTTTTACACACAGACGCTTTTACACACAGACGCTTTTACACACAGACGCTTTTACACACAGGCTCTTTCACACACAGACTTTTACACACAGAGGCTTTTACAGAGACTTTTACACACAGACGCTTTTACACACAGACGCTTTTACACACAGACGCTTTTACACACAGACGCTTTTACACACAGACGCTTTTACACACAGACGCTTTTACACACAGACGCTTTTACACACAGACGCTTTTACACACAGACGCTTTTGCACACTTTTACACACAGACGCTTTTACACACAGACGCTTTTACACACAGACGCTTTTACACACAGACGCTTTTACACACAGACGCTTTTACACACAGAGGCTTTTACACACAGAGACTTTTACACACAGAGGTCACAGAGGCTTTTACCCGCAGACGATTTTACACACAAACACTTTTACACACAAACACTTTTATACACAGAGACTTTTACACACAGAGACTTTTACACACAGACGCTCTTACACAGACGATTTTACACACAAACACTTTTACACACAAACACTTTTACACAGGGAGACTTTTACACACAGACACTTTTACACACAGAAGCTTTTACACACAGACGCTTTTACACACAGACTTTTTTACACACAGACGCTTTTACACACAGAAGCTTTTACACACAGAAGCTTGTACACACAAACACTTTTACATACAAACACTTTTACACACAGAAGCTTTCACACACAGACACTTTTACACACAGACGCTTTTACACACAGATGTTTTTACACACAGACGCTTTTACACACAGGCGCATTTACACACAGACGCTTTTACACACAGAAGCTTTAACACACAGAAGCTTTTACACACAGACGCTTTTACACACAGAGGCTTTTACACACAAACACTTTTACACAAAAACTCGCATCGGTTTGAAGCCCCTCCCACCTCCAAACAACAAATAAACTTAGTGAGTCTAAAACAAGCTGATCTCCCAAAAAATCATGACAACTCAACTGCACTGCTTCCTGTTCTGCTGAGCTCCCAGTGACTTTTGAACTCGTGGATGGCTGAAAATGTCGGGCCTTAAAATTGGTGGCAAACTTAAACCACCTACCTCGGCACTGGGCCAAACTTGATGACCTGACGTTATTGAACCCACTTGGAAAGTTCAACAAGAAGGTGCAATCTAACGCACTGCCAGTTGGAAAAATGAACGTGTCACTAAGCCCGGCGAACTAACAGCCGGCAGGTAGGCCAAACTAAATGGCGGTGTTTGGGGATGGTTGGAGGGATGAAGACTCAAGTGAGGAATCATTCGCGCATCTTTGAAACATCTTGCAGCCAAAATGGTGGAGACTCAAACTTGCAAAGACTTCAACTCAACTGACTGCAAGATTCAAATCTGCACAAAACAGGTGTACCTGACCACCTTCAAACCTTCTGCTCATGTTTTTCCTAGCACAATTCTTGTGCCTCACAAAAACTCGCATCAGTTTGAAGCCCCTCCCGCCTCCAAACAACAAATAAACTTAGTGAGTCTAAAACAAGCTGATCTCCCAAAAAATCATGACAACTCAACTGCACTGCTTCCTGTTCTGCTGAGCTCCCAGTGACTTTTGAACTCGTGGATGGCTGAAAATGTCGGGCCTTAAAATTGGTGGCAAACTTAAACCACCTACCTCGGCACTGGGCCAAACTTGATGACCTGACGTTATTGAACCCACTTGGAAAGTTCAACAAGAAGTTGCAATCTAACGCACTGCCAGTTGGAAAAATGAACGTGTCACTAAGCCCGGCGAACTAACAGCCACTTATTTTCAGCCTCTTAGCTACTTGTTGATTAAACTACGTAACCAGTGTCCAATCTTTCATGGAACCCAGTCTGGAAACATATCTCGACATTTGGCGCACCTCGTGGCTTCTTCTGGGATGTCATCTGCTGAAGCAACGACCCTGGTTAGCCTTCCGGCTCTTACCCAGTTCCAACCACAAGAGGTTGTCCAATCCGTTGGGGATTGCAAAAACGAATTACCTGCTGTTGAGTGAATTTTCAGGGTGCCAACATTGAGTACCACACCAGGCCTCAAATATGATTCTACTAACGTTCTTGCCTTTGCCTCATTAAAGCTGGGAGAACTGTCACTTGAAGCCATGGTTGCGAGAGCAGCTGCAGTTCTATTCTGTAGCTCCTCAACCGTGGACACTTTCTCAACCAGTTTTGCAATCTGTTCTTGCAAGGACAAGTGTTCCATCAGTTTGCTCGCCGCTGTTGGACATCTTTCCACGGCATCTTCAACATAAGCCGCGATGGCTTGGCTGGAATGTCTAGCCAAAAATTGAATGAGGTCCAAAGGAACACCCTCCAATGCTAGTTGCTGTGCTCCTGATCGTCGAAACGTATGGCCAGAAACTAAACTGACATCAAAATTTGTGGGAATATATTCTGAGGACTGCAACATGCTGAGGTCTTCGCGAAGGGCTGCCACTACTGCTTCTTTACCGACAAATTCAAATGGGTTGTCCACCCGACCAATCAGCGGAGTCTCCCAGGCCAGAGGATCGCCTTGACATCTGCCAGTTCTGTGAATTTGCTCTTTTAAAAGGTGCTTGGCTGCATGGAATGGACAGATTCCCCCATTCTCCTTACTGCAGCAGCATGACAGCGTCCTGCTGCACCCTTTCGCTTGTGGGTCCGATTTGGACACCGACAGCCTCAGCGTGACATTCTGTTTCACGTGGTCCAGCTTGACTTCTTCCTCGGAAATGGTGAGCGTGGAAAGCTCTGTCTCTCTGAGCAAAAAACTAGTCGCCAGAATCCATGCAAATTTTCTGTCTCGTGGCCAATGACCTGCCTGCACTTCTGGAGAAGCAGGCAAATGTTCCAGGAGTGGGACTGCGAAGACTGCAGCGCGATTGGGAGGACCTTGGCCCCTCAACGCGCCCCTCTTCACATCCCTGATGGCTGCTTCCAGCTCCTCATTCCACGGGAAGCCCCGCTTTATGTGAACCTGCCTTGCTTGGTAAACATATGCCATGACGGATCTAAAATTTGCCGCTTTGAGAACTGCTGCAACTTGAGTGACGGTGCACGCCGTCAAGGGGTACGGAGCAAGATCCCGTGCCTCGCAGATCTTTATCCACAGGGTATCCAACGAGCCTTTGACTTTGAGTGTGTTCGCAGAATAAATCAAATCCTTGAACTCCGCATCTGCTTGACTGGCCAGCTGAGAATTTCCCGCAATGTTCAACGCCAGCTCAGCAGAAGCTTTCCTCTTGTTCCCGTTGTTGTTGGGGGTTGCCGGAACCAGAGGAGCTCCAGGTCTTCTGCGCACCAACTCGTTGAATCCAGAACTTGGTGGCAATGCCGGCGATGCAGGCGCAACTGAGCCACCCACGGGTCGCAATTGTTCAGCCACCCAGCTCTGAGGAGCCACTAATCCTGTCAAGGTTTCCGAGCCATTCGCTGCTGGCGAAATTGCTGCGGGTAACAACCCAGCAGGCCACAAGCTGCTGGGAGTGGAGGCACAGGAGTTAACATTCCAAGAATCGCAATCCGCACAACATTTACCAGCTCTAGAGTTTACCACATCAAGGTTAACCCAAGCAGACCTGACAGCACCTTTAAAGCCTTTGAGCTTCTTTTGGTCAACCGCACCCCTAGGAGCCACCTGAACTGGAAGCAAGTTCGCGGTTGAAAAGGCCATGTCATGTTTGAACCCTAAACAAACGGCCGCGGGCGGACGCAGCTATTGTTTTTCACAAGTCTGCCGTGTGAGTGGGCCAAGCTTGAAAAAGGCTGGAGTTGAATGGAGGCAACTGTACTTGAGGGATGTTAACCAAACAGGGTGGTACTTCTCCACGGCTAAGCTTATCAGCAGTGTCATTCAGTACCCCTTGTATGTGCCTACCTTTAAGGCACGGCCACCCTCTGGCATGTGCTTCCAGCATTAACTCCACAGTCAACTGTACCAATAATGGGCTCTTGGCTTTGTACTCTAGTGCGGCTTGCAAGGCTGCTGAATTATCTGTCCTGATAAAAAATGCAAAAGGTTGTGAAAGATCTTCTTGAAACACTTTCACAGATAAAAATAACGCAAACATTTCAAACTCGGTCTGAAATTTTGGTGAGTTCTCAGCGCCACTACCTAAAAGTGACAGGATATCTTCACCAATTTTGGCTTTCCAGAACTTGACTGGTTTACCATATAGAAGCAAAACGGCCCCCATTCCTGTTGGACACGCATCGCATTCGATGGTGTACCACGTGACATCCTGAGGTCGAAACTGAAACCGGTGCTGGAGCGCTCCATCCAAGCTTTTCGTTTGCAGCAACCTTAACAACCAGGTGCAGGCATGCTGGATTTGCTTTCTGTACACCAACCCTTTCTTCCTCCGTGTGGTCACTTTTTTGGGTTGGTATTGTTCGGTTTGAATTAGTGCAGCCCACAGCATTGCCAACCACGGTCTGGCTTCAATAACTATGCCTGACAACCAACCCAAAAGGCCGGCCGCGTGTCTGAGGGTCTTGACCGAGACCATGGGTTTGTCGAGGAGTTCCTGAAGCATGCTGGCGAGCTTAACGCACTTATCTTTAGACAGTCTTACTGACAGTTCGCGTACTGGGGTACCGCTAACTTCCAGCTGTACCCCAATCCAATCAATGGACTGACCTCTTGTGACTTTACCCCAAGATAGCTTAAACCCCAGGGTGACCCAAAGCAAGAGAATTAAACACATTGGCAAACTTCTTGCCCTTGCGTTCACCCCCGCTACAGAAATAATTGGGTCATCAACGTAAGTGTGGATCATGGCTTCATTCGGAAGGACACATGCCTGAGCCAGCCTACAACCCATAGCTGCCAGACGTGACCAAATCAAAGGTGCACTGGCCAAGCCAAATGCAGCTACGGAATATGCCACATACCGGCCTAGATTGTCTTTGACTATGACATGTGGGCGTTCCGACGGATGCAATTTCAACGTGAGAAACGCATCTTTGAAATCACAAACCAACAATTCAATTTCGTGAGGAGATGCGGCTGAAAGTGATCTAACACCTTCTGCTACATCACACACCCTGGGGAGGATGACCCTTTCTTTAAGGTCAATCTGCCCATTTACTGAACTCCTCCTCATATCCACAACCAGCCGGATCTTCTCCCGACCATGCGCCTGCTTGATGATGCAAGCGAGTGGTGTGAGCTGCGCTTTCTCCCCAAAGGCCTCAACAACTTCGGGCCAGGAGTCAAAAACATCGGCCCAGCCAGAGTCTATAACTCTTTGAATTTCAGCTTGACCTTTCGTTCCTGCCTCAACAAAACTAGAATAATTTGCGGCAGTCCCATCCCAATCTTCAATCCGGATCCCAATTTGGCCTGAAATTTTGACAGCCTCCGAAACTTGATCGGTTTGTGGGAATACACCGGTGTTGGGGATTGGACAATTGATACCTAATGGAAAACCCTCGTCCAACCACAGTGGGATGACCTTGAAGTCTGGATCTTGGGACTCACTCAGCAGCTTGCGGATGAGATCGTTTTGGTAGCCGTCGCACTGGAGTACAGCCGCTCCGAACTCAACTGCCAAGGCATGTCTCACTTCCATCACCAAATCGTCAGAGAAAGGGTTCTCGGTTGGACGAGCTTCGAACTTGTGGAGCAAGGTGGCAGAAAGAAACTTTTGGAGAACTGAACGAACTTTAAGGCCCGTCAGTCGGAGCGCGGAGTTTGCGCGGACTGCTTTACGTGGATTGCGAAGCCCTCCCACTGCCTGCTGGTTCTCAAACTCTCTAGCCTCACGCTTGGAGTTGAAGTCATGCACTGTAGCCGGCAGGGGAAAGGATTCGTCTTGAATTCTCCCAGCGTTTTGTTTAGCTGGTTGGTCGGGCCGCTTCAAATCGGCCCTCACCAATACATTTGCATGTTGACCCACCTTTACATAGGTCTGTCTCATCCTCAGCTTGATGCCCTCCTGTGAAAGAAGAAACTCTTTCAAAGCTCTTGCCCATGCCAAACATAAGCCAGTGGGATACTCTGCCGCTTTGCTTGTTTTCCAAACTGACTTCTGGGTGAGAGGGTCCCAAACTTTGCCTACCAGTTTTGCGTGCTTGTGAGGACCAACTTGTCGACATGTCAGGTTTGTTCCCTTCATCCACGCAGCATCGGTTGCAATCTGAGTCGGCTTCACGGACATTCCACCATAGGCACATTGTTCCAGGTAGATCTCCTCCATGCTCTTGCGCTTCTTGGCCTTGATGATCGGTTTGCAGTCCCAAGCAAAGGAGTCCCAAGGGTTTTCTAGAGAAGCAGTGGTGCCATGGTTCTCGGCATGGGCGCAAATCTTTTCCACCCGGTCCAGGTGGCCGTTCCCTTCTTCTGCAACGGGATGGCCCCAGCCCATAGGCGATTCTGATGATCTCACCACTTCTACTTCTCCATGTTCGTCGGATCTCCTTGCCCGACTGAATGATCTGCATGGCCAAGCAATGTGAACATGGTCGGCACGTTCCACTGAGTCCAAAGCCAATTTCATACCTTCCGCGGTCTCTATTTCCCAACCATGGTGTCTTTCCAAAGGAGGCAAGACGTGCACCAAACCACCGCAAACTTCTCGAACAATGTTCGAAAAGCCTGCAAAGCCTGCGTAGAGCTCTACAAACACGTAGGGCTTCAAGTCTCCAGGCGAATCCAGCTTTGAAGGGATAACCAGATTCTCTTCGTGTCACTTGGCAGGCCCGGAAGGCTTTCCCTTCCCCGAACCTTTCTGCTTTTTCGCAACCGCAGGACACGCAGAATTGATGTGGCTCCCAAGGCAATGTTGGCATCGATGAGAACGGCCCTCTGGACAAGGATCTGAGCAGTCGCCCAGTTTGCCCTTGGAGTACCTGAAGCACAACTCCACACCATCGTAGTCTGAGATGTAGTGAGTGCCCCACTTTCGCGGGTGGTTTCCTTTGGCTTCCTTTCCCGTGGGGCCTGCAGCAGCCGCACCGGGTTCTCGTTTTCTCTTCCTCTTTGAGGGTGATTCTGGTTGACCGTGATGCGCAGGTTTTTCCAAAGCCGCCTTTGCTTCCTGGGACATGGTGGCTTCCCCGGCGCTCTTTGCAGTCATGTTCTTTCCCCCTCTGGCCAGGAAAGTGTGAGCTGGCCTGACCACATTCTTCTGCCAAAACTCGAAGTCTCGAGCTGCGAACATGAAGGCTCCGTTCCAAGGAGCAGAGGCATCGAAGTTGATCCCCATAGGCAAGTTCCCCTCGACCTGGGCTTTTGTCAAATTTCTTCGGTAGCGGTCCAAGGCTTCTCCTCGGCAACGATCTTCCGCTTGCATTATCAAATGCCAGGCTTCCGGGAACTCTTCCACCAACTTCGCGATGTTCTCGCAGTACTCTTCCATCACCGCTGGTGTCACCACTTGCTTCAGTGTTGACGGCGCCGGTTGCTGATGCCTCAACATGTACAAGGCGGCACGGTACACTTTCCAGCACCCAGCCCAAGCAGAAAAACTGTTTGGACCCGGTATGTCGACAGTTCTGAAAGTGCCGTCTGGCTGGAACACCCATGACTTTGTGCGCATCTGTTTTTGCATGCGCCTGCCATATGGTGTGAAGAGGCTGAAATCTGCATATGGAGCTTCTCCTCGAGCTTCCACGCGATCCTTTAATGCTGCAATCTGTTCTGGGGAAGGCTCTGCATCCTGACTGGGTTCGGCGCCCGTGATTTCGATGTGGTTGAGGTAGCACTGATCTATGTCGCTGCGACTGAGCGGGTTGATCTCGGTGTCGTCCAGCTGGTCGATCACAGTAGATGCTTTGACTTTCTTTGCCGCCGGTGCTGGTGCAGCAGGGCCTGTGGCGATTGGTTGCACTACTGGATCTGCTAAAGGGTCCTGATCTTCCAATCCACAAGTCCTTCTGCAGGCTCTCCACAACAACCCAACCTGGATTGACTCCGCGGCATTCAGGGGACGGCCAGCGGGGTCCCCAGTGACGGCAATCCGCACAGCGCGCATATGGGCGAGCAAGGCTGTGCGTGGGAGAGCTGCAACCATACGGATATTGCTCAAGGTACCGCAGCCAGTACTGAATGCTGTCCAGATGGCTGCTGGGAGACCTGCCCATTCCCGGACATCGTCTAGAGATTGGAATCCTTGGATCTCCGTATCTGTTGGCAACAGGGACACCATAGCGTAGTCTTGGTGGGTGTAGGACTGGAACGGAACACGGGCCGTCAGTCCAAGCTATGGCTCTTGTCAAACCAAGAACCCACAGCACCAGCCCACCATGAAGACTCAAGTGAGGAATCATTCGCGCATCTTTGAAACATCTTGCAGCCAAAATGGTGGAGACTCAAACTTGCAAAGACTTCAACTCAACTGACTGCAAGATTCAAATCTGCACAAAACAGGTGTACCTGACCACCTTCAAACCTTCTGCTCATGTTTTTCCTAGCACAATTCTTGTGCCTCACACAAACACTTTTACACACAGACGCTTTTACACACAGATGTTTTTACACACAGATGCTTTTACACACAGAAGCTTTGACACACAGACGCTTTTACACACAGACACTTTTACACACAGACGCTTTTACACACAGACGCTTTTACACACAGAGACTTTTACACACAGACGCTTTTACACACAGACGCTTTTACACACAGACGCTTTTACACACAGACGCTTTTACACACAGACGCTTTTACACACAGACGATTTTACACACAAACACTTTTACACACAAACACTTTTACACAAACACTTTTACACACAGACGCTTTTACACACAGACGCTATTACACACAGACGCTTTTACACACAGACGCTTTTACACACAGACGCTTTTGCACACAGTCTTTTACACACAGACGCTTTTACACACAGAAGCTTTTACACAAAAACACTTTTACACACAAACACTTTTACACACAAACACTTTTACACACAAACACTTTTACACACAGAGACTCTTACACACAGACGCTTTTACACACAGACGCTTTTACACACAGACAAGTCCGGCACAAGTAAAATCGCAATTTTACCTCAATTTTTGCGCATCGACCCTCATTTCGTGTGAAAGGGTTGCTCCAGGACAAGTAAAATCGCAATGTTTCCTCAGTTTTTGCGCGTCGACCCTCATTTCGTGTGAAAGGGTGCTCCTCGGGCACAAGTAAACTCGCAATTTTTCCTCTGTTTTTGCGCGTCGACCCTCATTTCGTGCGAAAGGGTTGCTCCAGGACAAGTAAACTCGCAATTTTTCTTCATCGACCCTCATTTCGTGACGATCGACCCTCATTTCGTGCGAAAGGGTTGACGTTTCGTGACTCCCCGCCGGCACCACCCTCGGCCTAAAGAGAGAAAGATAAAGAAGGCGAGAGAGAGAGAAAAGGGAGAGAGAAAGGAGAGAGAGAAAGGAGAGAGGAAAGAGGAGAGAGAGAGAGAGAGATAGAGAGAGAGAGAGAGAAGATGTGAGTATGTGAAGATGTGAGTGCGAGAGAGAGAAAGAGAAGATGTGAGTATGTGAAGATGTGAAGATGAGCAGATGTGAAGATGAGAAGATGTGAAGATGAGCAGATGCGAAGATGAGCAGATGTGAAGATGAGCAGATGTGAAGATGAGAAGGTGTGAAGATGAGAAGATGTGAAGATGAGAAGGTGTGAGAGAAGGTGTGAAGATGAGAAGGTGTGAAGATGAGAAGATGAGATACAGACCCCCACTATTGGAAGAACCCTGCGCTCAGACGCTCTCGGGAAAAAGGATTCAAAATCAAAGCTTGTGGGGAACGGTTGCATTTCATTTGGGGCCGTGGGCAGGCTCAAAACGCATGAAAATTAAAACATACCGCAATCAGTATCTTAGGTTCCGGTGTTGGCGTCCAGAGCCCACAGAGTATGATTCTCTGTTGTTTTGTTGGGATACATCCCGGGAGTTCCCATAGCGACAATAATAGCTGTCCCAGCATGTCCTTGGATCCCCCCTACCGCGACAGGCGTGTAAACCCTATAAGGGAAAGATCTTGTCCAAAGCGTGTCGCCCGTTTTAATGTCGAGGGCGTATAAACCACCAACGTGGCGGTCGTTGGCATCATTGCGGCTATAGCCACCGTAGCCTGCAAACACTTTTCCATCTTGAGTGCAAGAGACTTGCGCATTGGTGGTCCGGTGCAGGCCCACATCAACTTTCCAAATCAGAGAACCGTTTTGAAGGCTGAGGCGAAAAATGCTTCCCATACCCCCACTGAAGATCACTGAATCCGACAGCATACATGGTGTCAGTTCTCCCGTTATTGCATTCCATTCAGAAAGGTTCGCTTTCCAAACGAGCCGGCCATCCTCGCGACGCAGCAAGGCAACAGCCGGGGAACCAATATCGAGTGGCTCATGAAAGGGACCTACATAGTTACCGTGCTGGTCGACTCCAGCCGGCAAAAAAATATGGTCCTTTGTCACTGAAATACTGTAATGCTCAAATGGCAATTCCTTGCAGATTTTACGTTGCCACAAGAGCTGGCCAGTCATCATATCAAGGGCTAATACTGACCCATCTCTGCATGCAGTATACAAAATTCCCTCAAAAAGGGAAGGGTCTTGACAATGCGTACCGGTACCATTCACCTCCCATCTCTTGGCACCATATTTGTCAAAAGAAAAGATCTTGCCCGCGTCGCTGCCCATGTAAATGTTCAATTTGTCATCGATCATCGGCACTTGGTGGAAAACGACCCCAGGCACATTGAGTTCCCAATGCGCTGTGTCAGGCTTATGTAGGGGGAAGGGTCCGGACACGCTGGACTGACCAGAGCGGTTGTTGTCGACGGACTTGGTCGGAAACCAGTACCTTGAGGCCTGCAAGTCACTTGAAATCACACGCGCCCTGTCCTTTGACAGTTCCAGCTGCAAAAATGCCGAGCCTGCCTCACAACTATCGCAATTATCATCCCAAAGCGGCGTGCCCTCCGCAAGGATGGCCACCACCAACATATGAAAAAGCGCCATGGCCCAAGTAACAAAAAGGTTTTCCTGCTCTGAACCAGCACTTGAGCCACAGCCCCGCAAAAGCCACAAGTAAATCCAGTGGCAAGGCTGGCCAAATGCAATTCATGTCCATGCAGCGATAATTAATGCAGGATAATGCAGCGATTGGTTTTGGGAATTGCTTCCCGCAGAAGCTGTATAGGTGACACACCGAGATGAAATTGATAAATCCGCCGACTCCAGGGAACCAGGGGGAGTGCGCGCCTGAGAAGCAATGCCAAATGGGAAGAAAGAGTTTGCGACGACGGACGAAAAACGGAAGAATGCGATCAGCAAGATGAAAGTGCAGAATGCGTTAGGATGCAGCAAAGCCAAATAGGGCAAGAAAGAGGTTGCGACGACGGTGACGACGGATAAAAAACGGAAGAAAGCGATCAGCAAGATAAAGTGAAGGACGCGTTAGGATGAAGCAATGCCAACTGGGCAAGAAAGAGGTTGCGACGACGGACGTAATACGGAAGAATGCGATCAGCAAGATGAAAGCGCAGAACGCGTTAGGATGAAGCAATGCCAACTGGGCAAGAAATAGGTTGCGACGACAGACGAAATACGGAAGAATGCGATCAGCAAGATAAAGCGAAGGACGCTTTAGGAGGAAAGGAGCAAGAGCAAGAAGCAAGAAAGCCAACGTTCAGTGAAGAAAAGTCACAGAAGAGCTTGTGCCACATATGTGCAAGAAAAAATTGCAGCCCGATAGTGGCAATGCTGGCAAGTTTGGAGCAAGTCTGGATCTTGGGTAAGCAGTTTGGAGCTAGCTTCTTGTGGATTCAAAAAGTGACGATAAGCACGGCCAGCGGCAGGCCGCAGGCGCCATCCGGCCGTCACTGCCATGGTGTTTGAATGTGGCGGAGGCCGGCGGAGGGGTCTGTTTTGGGAGCTTGGGTAAGCAGGTTGAAGCTATAAGCGGTTTGGACCTAGTCTGGTGATTCTTCTGGATTGAGAAAATGACGTTAGGCACGGCCAGCTGCAGGCCGCAAGCGCCATCCGGCCTTCACTGCCATCATGGGGTTTCAGTGCTTTGTACTACAAAGCTTGCACAAAGCACGTTCCAGTACTACTTTGTACTACAAAGCTTGCACAAACTACTTCACAGTACTACTTTGTACTACAAAGCTTGCACAAAACACTTCCCAGTACTACTTTGTATTACAAAGCTTGCACAAACCACTTCCCAGTACTACTTTGTACTACAAAGCTTGCACAAAACACGTTCCAGTACTACTTTGTACTACAAAGCTTGCACAAAGCACTTCCCAGTACTGCTGTGTACTACAAAGCTTGCACAAAGCACTTCCCAGCACTACTTTGTACTACAAAGCTTGCACAAAGCACTTGCCAGTACTACTGACTGTGTGCTACAAGCTTGCACAAAACACGTTCCAGTACTACTTTGTACTACAAAGCTTGCACAAAGCCCTTCCCAGTACTACAGTGTACTCCAAATCTTGCACAAAACAATTCCCAGTACTACTTTGTACTACAAAGCTTGCACAAAGCACTTCCCAGTACTACTTTGTACTACAAAGCTTGCACAAAGCACTTCCCAGTACTACTTTGTACTGCAAAGCTTGCACGAACCACTTCCCAGTACTACTTTGTACTACAAAGCTTGCACAAAGCACGTTCCAGTACTACTTTGTACTACAAAGCTTGCACAAAGCACTTGCCAGTACTACTGACTGTGTGCTACAAGCTTGCACAAAACAGTTTCCAGTACTACTTTGTACTACAAAGCTTGCACAAACTACTTCCCAGTACTACTTTGTACTACAAAGCTTGCACACACCACTTCCCAGTACTACTTTGTACTACAAAGCTTGCACAAAACACGCTGCAGTACTACTTTGTACTACAAAGCTTGCACAAAGCACTTCCCAGTACTACTTTGTACTACAAAGCTTGCACAAAGCACTTCCCAGTACTACTGTGTACTACAAAGCTTGCACAAGCACTTCCCAGTACTACTTTGTACCACAAAGCTTGCACAAAGCACTTCCCAGTACTACTTTGTACTACAAAGCTTGCACAAAGCACTTCCCAGTACTACTGTGTACTACAAAGCTTGCACAAACTACTTCCCAGTACTACAACCTTAAGGCAGCCATTACATTGCGATCTGCAGAGACTGAATTGCAAAACGCAACAGGTTTACGCGCAACGGTGTCGGCAATTGCAGCTCCAAAACCGGAATCTCGAAGCCAAAGCAGAAAAAAGACGAGTTTGAAGCACTTTTGAAAAGGATTTTTAAAAGGAAAATTACTAGCGCCAAAATTGCGAAAATCTGCTGACAAATCACTATCGCAGCCTGGATGCAGCCACTCCAATACGATTTACAATCTTCAGCTGCAAAAGACAATAGTGTCACTCCCTCACTTTGTCAGCAGCTGCAATGCACATCGAAACTTTTCTGGGATGCGCAAAGTGCTTTGTCGCTGCTACTCTTACTGTGCTCTGACCTTTAGTCAGGACACATCTGTATCCGCTCCTTTTGAACAGATACACTCATGGCGATGGCTTGATCCATCACCTTTCCCCACTTTAGATGATGGATCTCGCATCGATTCTTTCCTTTACCAGGGATCTTTCCATTTCGTCTCTCCTCTTTTTCTTTTGAGATGTTTATCACCTGGTTTATCCCCTTTGGCTTCTTTCGAGGATTTTGCCAGCTTGATGTCAGCATCAAGCTCCCCGGCCTTCATCATCAACTCGTCCAGAATCTCAAATTCCAGATCCGCGAAATCTTTAACTATCCTCTTCTCCAATCCCTCCGAATTCTTTGTTCGTGAGGGCGTCTGCTTCTTCGTTTTGGCTTCGGGGTATCCATCCCAATTCCAACTCCAGACCTCGCTTCTGCAGTTGTACTGACAATTCCATGACAACAATCGAAAGTGGGTACTTGCAAGACATGAAGTGTTGCAAGACATATGTGTTGCCAAGATTGTCAGTACTTGCCGTGAGCATCAGCCGGTTCTTGCATGCAACATCCACCAGCTTGTCTCCAAACAGCATCACCGCAGTCAAAACTGCACAGAGCTCAAGCGAGGCGATGTTTCTAAAGGGGTCTCCTTTTAGATACGCCCAAGGGGCGTTCTTCCGGTTCAGCTAAATAGCGAACCACCGGCCCTTCTCTTCCTTTCCCTCTTCCAGGATTTCCCATCCACCGATCATGATGTGATCGCCTTCAGCCTTTGCGTCTATCCTGAAAGCTTCCCTAGTGTGCTCCCTCACTTTCTTAGGAGCTGACATAGGACAATCCTTCACTTGGCTCAGCACATACTTCATCAGAATTTTGATCGCATCTGGAAACTTTGCGTATGTGCCCGGCGCTAGTCGAGCCGACCACGCGAACATGGGACCCAGAAACGGTCTCACGTGTTGTAGGGCCCCAGCCACAAAACCAAACCTCCCCAGGGCAGATTTCATGTCTCTGCCAAGGATACCTCCTGACTTCTCATATTTCTCAAACCATTCCATCAACCAACGTACCTTCCTTTGAGAAATACCCTTTGTAAACTTTTCCACGTCGAGCTGATATCCTATCCATTGCACCGATGTGCCACCCCTCACCTTCTTCCATGAGAGTGGAATCTCACAGACATCTAACACGAACAACCAAAACAACAACCTCCTCCAAAAGAATGAGCCGATAGCCAGCATCCATCCATCATCGGCGAAAAGAAGGTGCAGCAAGCCTAACTCTACACCGGACAGCTTGTGTGCCAACCTCACCAAGCCCGCTGCCAGCCTCTGCCACCAATAGGCTGCTGATGCTATGCTCCACCTTCTCCTTCTCCTGGCAGCCTGAAGGATTGCAATCCCCCAGTCCCTCTTCTTCACTGGCAGGAGCTTGTGGGCTCTCGACACATCGTACAGCATCGAGAACCTTGCTGCACCTCCTTCTTCTTCCACCTCCTTTTCTGCTTGCTGCAGTACACCCGATGCGTCATCTATTGTGGGGAATCTCATCCGATCCCTCACCTTTATCCGATGGTTGATGTCCACCGAATACGACCCATCATGTACTATCCTCACCACAGTCGACCCAAGCTCCTTCGGGGCTCCCAAAGCGGCAACCGCCAGTCGCCCCTTGTAGGCCTCTTTGGCTTCCTCCTCACTCATCTTGATGATGGAACCCAGCTCCACCTCTTACATCACCTGCCTCTTGATGTCAGCTGAGTTCTCCTCAGCTGACTTGTAGTTATCTGCAGTGACATCACGGAATTCTTCTTCCGTGAAGCTCAAGTTCCATTTCTCCTTTGCTTCAAATACCTCTTCCACTCTTGGGAGCTCTTCGTCAACTCCCAAGGACACTCCTTCCTCGGCCACTTCTGTCAGCCAAGAGCAATCTACATCCTCCACATAGCCTCCACTCTCCTGAAGTTGACTTCAGAAGCTCTGTCGCCTTTCGGTCGGGACGGATTCAAACCCATCCCGACCAGCTTTTCATCCACGGCGGCCCTGGCCTTCTCGATGAAGCCCTTAAATGGCGACTCCTTCGTCTTTCCCCCCGCCATGGACCAAAATATTTCTTTTACGCCCTTCTCTGAACCCCCTTCATCAACTTCTTGCAGCCATTTCATAAATAGCTGCTTGCAGGTCGACGCCAAGGCGATGCCGTTCTCCCCTGACATCGGTCTGCGGCTCTTCACCGGCCATCTCCCTTGTGAGATCAGCCCTCCTCCATCATGTATGGTCCTATACTTCCCTTTGTAATAGCACCTCATAGGCAGGCCATACCCAGGGCACTCTCCTCTAATGCCCTTGCCTCTGAGTTCCCTCATTTCGCCTTCTTCTTCTTCTTCTCCAAGGACCCCTTCGTCCTCAGAGTTCCGGTCCAGGTTCCGGTCTCCTTCATCTGTTTCTTCTGTGGGCATCCCCTTGCCCTCTTTAGAGATGCCCTCAGAAGCTTTTCATCTCTGAGAGCATGTGGACGACAATGGCATTGGCTATGCCTTCATCCAACTGTGGAGGGTACACGTCTGTCCCCGTAGTCCTGAATTCAGAGTCCGTGGCCTTCCTAGCCAGAGACATTCGCACCTGGCAATTACACCGTGCCTTTGTCAATGGCCCTACATAAACACCTTCGTCATCAAAAGCAGGCCATTCGTGGGGACCCCATTGCTTGATCCCTACGGCTGTGGCAAGCAGCCGAGTCGGCTTCCTCCATGGAGCACCCCAGCAACATTGACAAATGGCTAGTAAAAATATTGTTGCAATCATTTTCCACCAAAGCCCTCAGGCGTTCAATTTGCCAAATACTTGCTGGGAACAAAACCAGACCATCTTCTTCCCTTTCCACTCGACCCAGATCTTCAGGGTGCTCCCCAAAGAGAAAGATAAGAAAACCGTCACATGACCTGGGGTTTCCAGCTACCGTCTCCCAAATTCGAATGGAAAATCTTACCAGTTCGTTCCCCAGCTCCAGCTCCATCTGAAACTGCCTCTTGACCCATGGGTATCCCCACAGGTGCTCCTTGCTCCGCAGCGGAGGTGGTCCTCGCCTGTTGGCCATGCGAACCCTACTCCAAGTGCTGCATGGTGGGGTGCAAATAATAACGTGAAACAAACCTTGTTCAACCTCTTTGAGGATAGAATCTTGCAACTGAGACTGAGTGAGATCAAACTCTCGCCCCCTCTTTAAATCAACCTCCCTGGCATCCAACGCCCAACCCTGTTTTTCTGCCAGGCGTGCCAGGTAGTGAACCACTGAAGTCTTTCTTTCTGCACCTGCAAACAGGTACAGCACCTTCAAAGTGAAACGCTTCCCTGTGGCGTCCTTGTCGGCACAGGCACTCCTGCTATCAGATGACTCTCCTGTCACCTGATCTGCTCTTGCCTCTCCCTTATGTTCCTTCTCGTGACCCAGGGGTGGAGAGACCCCCGGTGCCTCCCGTCACTTGCTGGAGGCCTCCGCACCCCCAGCAGTGTCCTTCTCTTTCTTTCCTTTGCAACTGTGTGCCGGGTGCGAGCCAAAACAAATCTGGCAGCAGTGAACTCGCCCGCAGTTGAAGCGGCAACGCTGGTCCCGGTTATTCCAGGCAAAGCAGATGTCTCTGCCATCCGGTGTTTTGGTCTTCAGACCTTTTCCTTTGATTCCTCTTCTCTTGGATTTCCCACCACTGTGTTTGCCCTTTCCTTGACGTGATCCTCCATAACTTCCATAACCTCCATAACCTCCTCCCTCCCAGGAGCTCTCTCTCCTGGGAGATCTTGATTTTCTTCCCCCCCCTTCTCCTCTGTCTGTAGCCGCGTCCAGTGCCGCTGGGGTGAGGAAATATCTCTCCTTCACAGTGGTGTCTTTCATGGCTGCTTCCAGTGCCTCCCACATGTCTGTGTTCTCATTCATCAGCTCATCTGCTTTCTCACCTGGTATTCATATGACAACACCAGGTCCAGACTGGGCAAGGGTTCCTCCTCCTGGTCCTCTTTGCTGAGGAACTGCACCAGCGACATCACCTTCAATTCGCCGGAGTCCATCTGCTCAAATAGCGACTCCAGCGTGCCAATCGATGGAGACACCTTATCCTCCAACCGATAATGAAGGCCTTCAAACTTGGCCCTCAGATCCTGTGCCTCCGTCTTATTAAGCGGTGGCGGCATTGCCGAGGAGACTGCTTCTGCCTCGGCCTTGTGGCGGGTGACCATCCTTGTCTTGCAGGCATTCCACAAGTCTATCAAGCCCGCAATTGCCACCACCTGCCTTCCCCTATCCAGATTGCAATGGTCTGTTGCAAACTGGCGGATGTCGGCTGCTGTCTCTCCTATCACGCTGTATATGCCGATGCTTTTCACACCGGCATTTGACAACGTGGCTTGTAGGACCTCAGTAATCCCTTTTCGTTCCATCATCCCGTGAAAGTCGGGATCCAAAAGGCTGATAGCCTCTTGGCGCCCCTCGGCCGTGTCCAGATCGGGAAGCGCCATGTGCACACCTTGGCAGAGCTGGCGCGATCAGGAAACACCACACCCGGTTGCTTGAGCAGACATGTCACAGCAAACGATCCAAACCTGTCACAACGAACATGCCACAGCAGATCAACACAGTCAAAATCGAGAAACCCCTCAAATATCAGACCAAGAAACAAAAGGGTCCCGACCTCAATTACTTAAAGTGTCCAAAACTCTGTTCCTACTTTCTTATCTTTTAAAATCTCTTTCTTCTTCCCCTGTTCAGGTTCTCCTCTACCCGACAGCCTACTTCATTCGGCGTTTTCCACCGGCCGACTGACTGCCAATCTTCGTCTTAACGTCAGCAGGCTACTGTACTATCTGTCATACCACTTTGTGGTCTGACGACTTATTCACTTGAGCTCTCAACCGATGTACTGCTATCGGATGAGCTGACTTCTCCTTCATCCCCCTCTTCTTCGGAAGATGCCCCCTCTCCAAGCCCTGCCCCTCGAGGAAAACAAATCAAGCAGGACTGGTGAAACTCTGATGCTGCTGGGGGGTTTTCCCCCACCACTTCAAACTTCCCATAATGTACACCTGGCACCCGGTGGCATTCGCCAACCCGATGCAGCGTTTTGCGGCCCCCGCGACCCGTAACGCTCAGTACATAAGTTCCATGTGGCACCTTCTCGGCGCCTCCACCGCCAGGACCCAGTGGCACGTCGTCCTCCTCTGGCTGCTCTTCGTCCTCTAGCGTTGGCATTGCGTTGAAGACAGTCGGTCTGACCATCTGCACAACGCTCCATTCCTCATCGGAATCTATTCGTTCATCCAGCTTTCCCAATCCCTTCAATCGAGCCCTCTTGGTGCCAGGCTCCACGTTGAACTCCATCAACTTCTCCATCTGGAGATCGATGGCACCTTCGGGAAAGCCCCAGTCTGCCATCTTCCCGGCCAACGCCGAGAAGATCAACCCCTCATCAAAGGGGTCACCTCTCCTGGGGTGGCTCTTGATGAACTCCGCCACCCCAGCTTGCGCCCTCAGCACATTCGATCGCCCAGTCCTTTCGTAGGCCTGGTCTGCAGTTGGGATCCATCTGCCCATCTGCTTACGCACCTCTTCCGGCACGCCGGCTGCCTCCGCCCACGTGCGCATCGTAGCCCGCTCACTGTGTTCTGTCCACAGCAAGCCCGTGCTCACAGCTAACAATGGGACCACCGCCCCATCGTAAACACAACGCAGGTCGTTGAAGAGAGCCTGCGAGCACTTGCTGGCCACCGAGTAGGTTGCCATCCTCTTGGCAAAGCTCCTCAGGTGCTTCGATGGGCAGGGTAAGGCAAAATCTCTCTCTGCCAAACCTGCCTCCCTGCCCATTTCCTTCCAGAGCTCGAAGCCCGTTTTCAATCATCCTTCTCTCCTGAGCCAACATGAAGCGTTGACCCAGATCCTCAAATGCTGGACCTTCTTCCCTGGTCCAGTGGTCTTGGTCTTGGCCAAAACCGCCGTGAGACCATACGTGTGGAGCTCCAGTGTCTTCTCTAGCATCCCACACGTATCTGAAAACCTCATACCCGTCCACAGCTTCACAAGCCTGTACCAAGCGTAGCAGCGGACATATTCTTTGGCGTCCCGATCGACCACCACATCCTCCCATGCAACTACTATGGCGATAGGGATATGCCACGCTCGCCGCGTGAACCCTCCGCTCTTCTCAGCTAGCTGCATGTTGACTTCCTCAAGAACATTCTTAACTGCTGGATCCCGATTCAACTGTTGTTCAACAGGCACCTCTCCAGCACACTCCATAAAGATGAGAGTTTTGAATATGCTGCTCGGGACTGACCTCCCGCATGGCTCGTCTGCTCTACTTTCCAGATAAGCCGCCACCTCTCCAGCGTTCTCTGGCCACGGATGCTGGAATGTGGCACTGACCCAAGAGCTAAGTTTCTCCCAGGTCCTTACATGCTTCCGCAAGGTGTTTGCCCTGCGGCCCTTCCCGAACCTTCTCGTCAACTCTGCCGCATCAGCACGCGATGCGACAGCAGGACACTCACCGTCTTCTAACTGCTTCTTAAGCTCTTTGATCCAGCGTCCCCTCTCATCTTTCTCTGCCTTCTCTCTCAATGCCTGGTCGTCGCCAGCGGCATTCATCTTCTTCTGTAACCTGGTAGGCCACCGGGTTACCTTGGCCGTGCCCTTCTTTGGGACGCACTCAATCAGCTTTTTGAAGGAGTGATTTCTCCACTCATTCATTTTATCCTGGAGTTTCTTCACCTCGGAGGCCACCAAAAGCTCGGCCCCTGTCGTCCCTCCCTCAACTCTCCAGGATACCTCCGCAGCCTTATGAGCCACCTCTATTAACCCAAGGAGAGCTTCTACCTCCATAGGTCTCCCCAGCTTCTTCTCGAGTGATGATAGCACTTCCCCTATCACCACGTCTTCCTCATCGCGCAACGTTCCCAATCGCTGCACGTTCCATCCAAGCTCCTCCAACCCTCGGCCATACTCTAGGGGCAACCCAGACAACGCCCCCAGAGTGGCCAAGGATTCCATGGCACCCAACGGCGAAGCTAACCGCCCCCTTAACATCCTTTGAACCGAAAGCTGACGCGATCGGTCATGACGATATGAGGAACATGTTCCACCACTCATTACGCATGCAGCCGCGGCACCAAGCAACCTTGACGCAGCCATTACCATGCGTATTTGCAAACCGGAGATTCCAAAACACCCTATAACGACGCACACACAAGCAGACCCAAAGCAGCTTCAAGCCACCATTACACTGCGGCAAGGAAAAAAGGCAAACCGACCGCAGCCGCAACCGCCGCACAGACGAGGTACCTTTCATCGCCGGCTGCAGCCACTTTACACAGAAAAACACAAGGTTTCGTGCCCCGGCTTCCTCCCCAAAACTGTCCCCATGCAACATTCATGCAGCCATTACAATGCGATCTGCAACCACAGATTCCAAAACACCCTATAACTACGCACACACAAGCACACCCAAAGCAGCTTGAAGCCACCGTTACAATGCGGCAAAAAAAAAGGCAAACCGACCGCGGCCGCAACCGCCGCACAGACGAGGTACCTTCATCGCCGGCTGCAGCCACTCTACACGGAAAAACACAAGGTTTCGTGCTCCGGCTTCCTCCCGAAAACAGAGCCCATGCAACATCATGCAGCCATTACAATGCGATCAAATCTGAATGACCGTCATTCACACTTGATTCAACAGTAGGATGCCTAGGTCATCATCTCGGAAAATTCTGATGCTACGCGGCTATTCCTCAACTAATGAGTCAGTCTCCAGGGCACCTTTTTGAACCCATCTGCTGGCAGCTGGTTACAGTGGCTGATGGGCATGGTCTTAGTCAATCCTCAAAAACCATTTGGGCGTGCGTGCCATCCGCTTTTCACCAGCTATCTGCCGTGCAGGGTCCCCACAAGGCATCTACTCCCAAGGACTTTCCCCTGCATAGGCCCAAATGAAAATTGCACAAGGGCACCGTAAATCATTGCTGATTAGTCTGCCCGAGCACGTCTCAAGACCCAGCTGCATTCAGCTACTCATTGTTCTATAGCTGCAGTGAGAATCGCCCTCGGTCCATGGCAGGTGAGCACTACAAGCATACCAGGGGCCAGCGCTGGACCTCCCTGATGGCCAATGCCGAAATCAAAGCTGGAGACTTCTTCGGGGTTGTGAAGGTCACACAGGCCATCTTTGTTGATGTCACGCAATGCATAGGTGACACCGCCGAAGGCCCAGTTGATATAAACGATCCCATCCTTTGAGATAACCGGTGCTGACCAGGCCAAAGGCCAGCACATTTCTTCCAGGGTGCCACCCCGGGCACCCACAGCTGTGCAGGATGGCGTGTTGAAGGACCAAATCATATCTCCTGAAAGCTCCAAAACGTCTTAATCAAAAAACGAAAGGACCCAAACTACAAAGCGCCTAAAATAGTGATTGTATACCAGTAGTACCGCACAAGGCGGTGGCGGAAGTTTCAAAAATTGGAAACCTATCAAAGGGGTGGGTTGTTGTGAATCACGGATGGCAGAGCGAATCCACTGATGGACCGAAAGGTGGTTGGAGTTGTGTTTTTTGGGGTGGTTGCAATGATTGCGGTGGTCACCTCACCACAACTGCTGGATGTAGTGTGGTGTAGCGCAGTTGTAGTTGTAGTTGTAGTTGTAGGTGTAGTGTAGTGTAGTGGGGTTGCAGTTGTAAGTTGCAGTTGCAGTTGTAGCTGTGGTGTGGTGTAATGAGCGTTGTGTATTGTAGTGTACTGTAGTGGTGTGCACTGTAGTGTGGTATAAGGTAGTGTAGTCTAGTCTAGTGTAGTGTAGCGTAAAGTAGTGTAGTTGTAGTTGTAGTGCAGCGTAGTGTAATTAGTGTAGTGTAGTGCAGTGTAGTGCAATGTAGTGGCAGTTGTAATTGTAGTTGCAGTTGTAGCTGTAACGTAATGGAATGTAATTAGTGTAGAGCAATTAGTGTAGCGTAGTATTGTGTAATGTAGTGTAGTTGTATTTGTAGTTGTGGTTGTAGTATAGTGTAGTTGTAATTGTAGTTGTAGCTGTGGTGGTGGTGGTGGTGGTGGTGGTGGTGGTGGTGGTCGTCGTCGTCGTCGTCGTCGTCATCGTAGTCGTAGTAGTAGTAGTAGTAGTAGTAGTAGCAGTAGTAGCAGTAGTAGCAGTAGTAGCAGTAGTAGCAGTAGTAGCGGTAGTAGCAGTAGTAGCGGTAGTAGCAGTAGTAGCAGTAGTACTAGCAGTAGTACTAGCAGTAGTACTAGCAGTAGTACTAGCAGTAGTACTAGCAGTAGTAGTAGTAGTAGTAGCAGTAATAGAAGTAGTAGTAGTAGTAGTATTAATAGTCGTAGTAGTAGTAGTAGTAGTAGTAATACTACTAGAAGTAGTAGTAGTAGTAGTAATACTACTAGAAGTAGTAGTAGTAGTAGCAGTAATACTACTAGAAGTAGTAGTAGTAGTAGTAATACTACTAGCAGTAGTAGTAGTAGTTGTAGTAGTAGTAGTAGCAGTAGTAGAAGTAGTAGTAGTAGTAGTATTAGTAGTAGTAGTATTGCAGTTGCAGTTGCAGTTGCAGTTGCAGTTGCAGTGTAATTAGTGTAGTGAAGTGTAGTGTAGTGTAGTTTAGCGTAGTTAGATGTAAGTGGTGTAATTTAGTTAGTGTTGCGTAATGTAGCGTAGTATATGTGCATCTGGAGTTGTAGTAGTAATAGTGCTAGTTGTAGTTGTAGCTGTCTATCTACCTATCTATCTGTCTACCTGAAAGCTTGAAAACGAAGCAATTCTGCGAGACTTCCTCAACTCTGCGAGACTTCCTCAAGTTTTGAAGTTGGCAACATCAAAAACGAAGCAAATCTGCGAGACTTCCTTTAATATGTAAAGTTGAGTGCAGAGCTGATGGCCTCCTACCAATGCGTTTTGCGATGTTTCCAGTCCATGTCTCTGAAGTATCGCGCCTGCCACGAAAAAGTGATGCCAGGTCATACGAAGTGCTGCACCTGTCACGCAATATCACCTTAGCAAACCTGAAGATCTGATGCTCGAAAATGCCACACCTCTCAGGAAATCAGCGCCCTGACCCCCTAACATCTCTGACGGACATGTCTCTTGTATTGCACCTGCCACTGAAAATGCATCTTTCCAGATCCTCCTCAAATGCCCCACGCCTGCCATGCTTTTTGGAAATGCCACAAGACCCTCACGTTTTTGTTCATTTTTGACAAGGTGCGCAATCCCTTGCGCCGACCACGCGACACGACATCTGAACGTCCAAAAGTCCTCCGAACCCGTTATTTTTTTACACTTTTGGCTTCGACATGTGCTTCGCGCCACAATGGCGTGCACTTGTTCGACTTCTCAACTTCCAAAAGTGGTCCGAACATGGTGTGTTGTGTGCATTTTGACTTCCAAATGTGCTTCGCGCCACAACTGCGTGCACTTTTTCGACATCTCAACTTCCAAAAATGGTCCCATCATGAGGTGCTTTGCACATGTTGACTTCCAAATGTGCTTCGCGCCACAACCGCGTACACTTTTTGGACATCTCAACTTCCAAAAGTGCTCCGAAGATGGTGTGTTTTGTACATTGTGACTTCCAAATGTGCTTCGCGCCACAATGGCGTCCACTTTTTGGAGATCTAAACTTCCAAAAGTGGTCCGCACATGAGGTGTTTTGTACATTGTGACTTCCAAATGTGCTTCGCGCCTCAACGGCGCGCAATGGCGTGCAACTTTTCATCTCTTATCTGGCCAGATGGCTCCGCACCCGCCGTTTTAGCGAGCCTACTTTTCGACCCTCCGGAGCCACAAATCATTGGAAAACGCGAATTTTCTACCTTTTCGTGCGCTTGCATCTTTCTTCTGACTCTTTCTCTTCTCTGATCTTCTCTCTTCTGCTCTTCTCTTCTTTGACTCTTCCCACCTCTGCTTTTCCATCTGTCCATATTGTCGGAAGTTTGACTTCTAAACTTCCTTCGAATTAAGGAAAAAGGATTCAAAATCAAATCTTGTGGGGAACGGTTGCATTTCATTTGGGGCCGTGGGCAGGCTCAAAACGCATGAAAATTAAAACATACCGCAATCAGTATCTTAGCTTCCGGTGTTGGCGTCCAAAGCCCACAGAGTATGATTCTCTGTCGTTTTGTTGGGATACACCCCGGGAGTTCCCATAGCGACAATAATAGCTGTCCCAGCATGTCCTTGGATCCCCCCCTACCGCGACAGGCGTGTAAACCCTATAAGGGAAAGATCTTGTCCAAAGCGTGTCGCCCGTTTTAATGTCGAGGGCGTATAAACCACCAACGTGGCGGTCGTCGGGTAGAGCCACCGTAGCCTGCAAACACGCGCACCGTTCTGCTTTCAGGTTTAAAACCCCCCAAATACCAATAAGATGCTCTACACATGTCTACACGTAGTCCTGGCAATGAAATTTCAAAACCCCTCTTAAAACAATCCGAGGGACGGAAACGACCTTGCTGGTGTAGCCCGCGCGCTGCCGGTTCTTAACTTTTTCAGCTCGGCAAAGTTGTGGTGATTGAATAGCGAGCTGACAGGATGCCGAACTCAAACTGCAAGAAAATAACCACATGAAGTCACAGGGACCGAATACAATAAAGCATCTGGCATCATTTCTGTTGCGCTGTTGGAAGCTTGTCACTTGTCTTTGCAAGTACCTGCAGTAGCCTTCCAAACCGATGCTATGAAAGCAGCAGACACAGGAAACTTGAGTGCGATCTCTGCTTGCTCCATGACAGACAATGAAGAAAGAAAAGTGGGACAGTGAAAGACCGTTTGAACTCCTCCATCCCGTGCTGAACGCTCGCTCAGCAGCTCTGAACAAACTCTATGGAAGATTGCCACCTCAGTGCTCAGCGCAGAGCGCAAAAAATTGAGCAAACCGCGCTTCAGAAAATGTTGGTGGATCCCTATCCGTTGCATTTGTGGCAGTTGTGATGGTTTCTGGTTCCAGTTGAGTTGCGGCCTTGTTATGGCCGGCAATTGTTGGGGTATGGCTTTCCACCCTGAAATAGGCAGTCTATCAACAGGGCCGCCAAAGTTTCAGTCCAGAATGATGCCCAAGATGGAAAAAAGGCGGCAGCAACAAAAGGGCGCGGTAAACATATTCATATGCAAGCACGCCGACCCATATCGACATGTTTTCACACACTCAAGCTTTCTTACGGTCTTCGGAGCAAGTGACCAGTTTCATTGCTGCTGAGTTCCCTCTTAAAGACGATTGTCTTGAGTCAAACGATTTTTTTTAAACCTTGCGTTCAGAAAAGATTCTGAACCTGAAAAGGCGGAGCCGAAAGCCTCCTGTCGGTCCAGCTTGAGCCGCAACGATTTATCTTCGCATTGAAGCGATCCACCTTTTCGAAAATCACACCGGCAAGAGACCCCAAACAGTGTGGAGGGTAGGAAGTCAATGTACCTGATAGAAGCAACAGCAGCTATGGAACAGTAACAAATGAGGTTAAACATTACCGCAACTGCAGCAGCAGCAGCAGCAGCAGGACTTTCTACATAGATCCATCTAGAGAAGCTCACCAGATCTTCATACAATAACTTCTTATGAGCATTCAAGAAGGAACTTTCATACAAGCACCAATGCAGACGATCTTCAAGATCTTAATGCAAGGACCTCTTGGGGGGTCTGCCATGCACTTACGACGAAATTTTGCCGATCACTTGCAGCGAAACTGTGGAGCAAAAAGCGGCACAAGCGACATAAATAAAAAGCGGCACAAGCAAACGCCTCACCTCTTTGGGGGGCTTTCAACAGGATCTCCACAAGATCTTCTCACAAGGACCCGTACCAGATCATGTAAGGACATCGAGCGGATTTCACCAGGACCTCTTCAAGAGCTTCTGAATACCTGTGCAAGATCATGCTAATAAAGCTCTTGTGGTGAGCTCTTGGGCGGTTCTTGTACCAAAATCTTGTACGATCCGCTCCAGCAGCAACAGGTGTTTTTTCTCCCCAGACAGTGTGGCCACACTATACAGCATATAAATCTACATCCCAGAGTCAAAGACTCAAGGGACTGCAAGTCACCTGCACAAGAGGCACTGCAGCATTCTCCAAACTAAAACCGTCCTCTTTTGCAACTTGTTTTTCCACGGGGCTTACGGGATGCTGCTGCAGACGTGTGGTTCAACATGAACTACATGGCGGCATGGCGCTTATTAAAAAAAAAACTTGGCCACACTGAGGGGCTCTGACGGTCAGGGTGAAGGCCCGGTATTCATTCAAGGTGGTATCCTGGGCGCTCGGCATTTTCCCAAAAAAAATGCGCGTAAAATGGCTATTGCGGCATGTCCATGTGCATTTCGACTGCGCAGGCTCGCACAAAACGTGCAGCTCACTTCTGGGGCGCGGCATTTTTTCTGTAATTTTCCGCATAAAATGGCTCTTGTGACATGTCCATGTGCATTTCGATTGCGCCGGCTCGCGCGAACTGCGCGTCCCGATCTTGGGATGAGACATTTGTAAGGTTTTGCAATTGATCTGGGGTCTCTGGAAATGGATGTTTGGGTCTTTCGAAATATTTTATATATGGCGGAATTGAATTGTATTATAGGTACCTTATTATTTCCCCTATGAGGTAACCAATTGCTTGATTAAATGGGTATCATCGTACCATTGGTTATTTAATGTATCTATTCGTTTTCTACCATGCTCATGGATAATCATATGCGCATTAGTTTCACTCTTAGGCAGCCAATTAATTGGTTGATTAAATTGGTATCATCCCAGTATTGGTTAGGATTTTTTTCCCGAGAGCGTCTGAGCGCAGGGTTCTTCCAATAGTGGGGTCTGTATCTCATCTTCTCATCTTCACACCTTCTCATCTTCACACGTTCTCTCACACCTTCTCATCTTCACATCTGCTCATCTTCAGATCTTCTCTCACATCTGCTCATCTTCACATCTGCTCATCTTCACATCTGCTCATCTTCACATCTGCTCATCTTCACATCTGCTCCTCTTCACATCTGCTCCTCTTCACATCTGCTCCTCTTCACACCTTCTCTCACACCTTCTCATCTTCACACCTTCTCTCACATCTTCTCATCTTCACATCTTCTCTCTCTCTCTCTCTCCTCTTTCCTCTCTCCTTTCTCTCTCTCCTTTCTCTCTCTCCTTTCTCTCTCCCTTTTCTCTCTCTCGCCTTCTTTATCTCTCTCTCTTTAGGCCGAGGGTGGTGCCGGCGGGGAGTCACGAAACCTGAACCCTTTCGCACGAAATGAGGATCGACCGTCAAAAACTGAAGTAAAATTGCGATTTTATTTGTCCCGGAGCAACCCTTTCGCACGAAATGAGGGTCGATCGGCAAAAACTGAGGTAAAATTGCGATTTTATTTGCCCCCGAGCAACCCTTTCGCACGAAATGAGGGTCGATCGGCAAAAACTGAAAAAAATTGCGACTTTACTTGTGCCGGAGCAACCCTTTCGCACGAAATGAGGGCCGATCGGCAAAAACTGAAGAAAAATTGCGACTTTACTTGTCCTGGAGCAACCCTTTCGCACGAAATGAGGGTCGATCGGCAAAAACTGAAGAAAAATTGCGATTTTATTTGCCCCGAGCAACCCTTTCGAGGGCCGATCGGCAAAAACTGAAGTAAAATTGCGACTTTACTTGTCCTGGAGCAACCCTTTCGCACGAAATGAGGGTCGATCGGCAAAAACTGAGGTAAAATTGCGATTTTATTTGCCCCCGAGCAACCCTTTCGCACGAAATGAGGGTCGATCGGCAAAAACTGAAAAAAATTGCGACTTTACTTGTGCCGGAGCAACCCTTTCGCACGAAATGAGGGCCGATCGGCAAAAACTGAAGAAAAATTGCGACTTTACTTGTCCTGGAGCAACCCTTTCGCACGAAAGGAGGGTCGATCGGCAAAAACTGAAGAAAAATTGCGATTTTATTTGCCCCCGAGCAACCCTTTCGCACGAAATGAGGGTCGATCGGCAAAAACTGAAGTAAAATTGCGATTTTATTTGCCCCCGAGCAACCCTTTCGCACGAAATGAGGGTCGATCGGCAAAAACTGAGGAAAAATTGCGACTTTACTTGTGCCGGACGTGTCTGTGTGTAAAAGCGTCTGTGTGCAAAAGCGTCTGTGTATAAGAGTCTCTGTGTGTAAAAGTGTTTGTGTGTAAAAGTGTTTGTGTGTAAAAGTGTTTGTGTGTAAAAGCTTCTGTGTGTAAAAGCTTCTGTGTGTAAAAGCGTCTGTGTGTAAAAGCGTCTGTGTGTAAAAGCGTCTGTGTGTAAAAGCGTCTGTGTGTAAAAGCGTCTTTGTGTAAAAGCGTCTGTGTGTAAATGGGTTTGTGTGTAAAAGTGTTTGTGTGTAAAAGCCTCTGTGTGTAAAAGCGTCTGTGTGTAAAAGTGTCTGTGTGTAAAAGCTTCTGTGTGTAAAAGTCTTTGTGTGTAAATGGGTTTGTGTGTAAGAGTGCTTCTGTGTAAAGATGTTTGTGTGTAAAAGTGTTTGTGTGTAAAAGTGAATCTGTGTAAAAGGGTTTGTGTGTAAAAGTGTCTGTGTGTCAAAGCTTCTGTGTGTAAAAGTCTTTGTGTGTAAACGGGTTTGTGTGTAAGAGTGCTTCTGTGTAAAGATGTTTGTGTGTAAAAGTGTTTGTGTGTAAAAGTGAATCTGTGTAAAAGTGTCTGTGTGTAAAGGCTTCTGTGTGTAAAAGTGTTTCTGTGTAAACGGGTTTGTGTGTACGTGTGTTTCTGTGTGAAGATGTTTGTATGTAAAAGTGTTAGTGTGTAAAAGTGCATCTGTGTAAAAGGATTTGTGTGTAAAAGCTTTTGTGCGTAAAAGTGTCTGTGTGTAAAAGGGTTTGCGTGTTAAAGCGTCTCTGTGTAAAATGGTGTGAGTGCAGAAGGGTTTTTGTGTAAAAAAGGTGTTTCTGTGTGACAGCGGCAATGTGTGTGTGTAAAAGCGGCTTTGCTTACAAGTTTTGTTTTCTTGCCTTGTTGATTGTTTGGCATGTTTGTTTTCCGGTCACCCCTGTCATGTTTAGGTCTTGCTGGCAAGTTTTAAGCAATCCTGACTTGTTTGCTTGGCATGTTTCGTAGGCATGCTTAATTTTACCCACAAAGTGATATGAATTGATTCATGAGGTTACATTGAGATTCACTGATTTTGGGGTTGTGGAGTTTGTGGGTAACA